TATATTAAATATAGTAATATAGTTTAATAGAGCACTACGAATCTCCTTACTATATAGCTACTATACTTTCTATAGTTCTCCTTCGTAGTCAACTTCGTTTATAAATAATTAAGTTCCTCTCGGTTATACGCTTTACGTATAGCTCGTATACTATACTCTTAGTTTCGTCTTAGCTACTCTATCCTACTACTATATTACTAAGTAAACCTTATAGGGTTTACTAGTAACACCTCACGTGTGAAGCGACTCGTAATAAAGGAGGGGATCACTTACCTTAAGTACGTCGAGGACGACGAATAGGCTAAAGAGGGGGAGGTATTACGACCTAACCTTTTTAAGGCCACGAAAAGAAGAAGAGAGGGAAGGTTATCTAAGGAAATATATATAAAGCTAGCTTACGTAGGTCGCTAAGGGATATATATACTAATATATTAGGACTAGGTAATATATCAACATATACTACTAAGGGATAAATAGGTTAATATATTAATATATGTTAAATATAGTAATATAGTTCAATAGAGCATCACGAATCTCTTTACTATATAGCTACTATACTTCCTATAGCTTTCCTTCGTAGTCAACTTCGTTTATAAATAATTGAGTTCCTCTCGGTTATACGCTTTACGTATAGCTTATATACTATACTCTTAGCTTCGTCTTAGCTACTCCATCCTACTACTATATTACTAAGTAAACCTTATAGGGTTTGCTAATAACACCTCACGTGTGAAGCGACTCGTAACAGTCCTAATCAGATAGGTTCCATGACTAGATAGATAACTTAATCGCTCTCTACCTATATATCTATCTATCCGTCTACTTAAGGAAAAAGAAAAGGAAAACTCGGACCGAATGCCCGTGTCCCCACCAACTAATGATTAAGAGTGCCTACCTATACAATATACAGGCTAATTCCACGAATCACGTTCCAGCTTGCCTTTCTCCCCCATTACAATATATAACACTCTAAGTCCTTAGAATAGGTATAATAACATCCCTAGTGGTGAATCTTGACCTGTCTAAAGTTTATTTCCATTTCCAGACCTAACTATCTCGCCACTTGACATCAGTTGTGACAAGGCCATTCGGGGCTGTAGCTTTACGATCCTAAGGCTGAGCTGAGGGTAAGCTAGGCCTCCTGATTCCTGAGTTAGGGGGGCTAAATAGGTGCTAAGTACAAGTGCCGTTGTCGCCACTGAATACCCGGGCCTCCACTTGTTAACAGGCCGGCCCGGGCAATATCAAGTTACCGGGAATCCACTTTTAAGTTCGAATGTTTAATATAGAAAGGAGTAACCGGCTATTAGTGATCAAGGATGATCTAGTTATAGAGGCTGCAGACACCTAAGTAAAGGCTTACACGCCCATTATCCCATGTATGATCATTAGAAAAATTCCTGCAATACGGATACCCGGTCCCGTAATCCCCTCAGTGACAAGGGGTCTTAAAACTTCAGCAAATATCCGTCTATCGATCTGATTTACTCTGCTTGTAGCCACCGAGGAGACGACTAAAAGACAGTAAACATGGTCTATACAGTCAGATGGGGAATCCTTGGTAAGATGGATTTTTGAGCCCTCTTCTACAGCTTCGGAAATTTCCAGTCTTTTGCAACAAACCTGAACGGATATCACTGACAACAGATTCTCGATCTTTTTAGCCACTGGTTGGATTGCTGAAAGTCAGTATTTTCCGTCAAATGTCGAATATGAAGTTGAAAGAGTTGGGCCTGATAGCTGGAGCACACAGAATTTGCTAGCGATCTTCTCAAAGACCCGAGCACACGCAACACCACAGATGTAGCCCATGTCGTGGCGGCGGTCGCGTCGTCTTCGGGCAAAGACCGTGCTCAGCGCTTTTGTCGCGATCTTCGCATCCCCGAAGTTTGCACTATCTACGGCTCCTACAGGGACCTTGTAAACGACGCCAACGTCGACATTATCTACGTCGCGAGTCCACATTCGCATCACTTCCAACATGCGATGCTGGCTCTCGAGGGCGGCAAGCACGTTGTCTGCGAGAAGCCCCTAACAGTCAACGCCGCACAGGCAAAGGTTCTGTACAAGACAGCAAAGGAGAAGAACCTGTTCTTGCTCGACGCAGTTTGGACACGGTTTTTCCCATTGAGCATTCAGGTACGAGAGTCGATCCAGAAGGGGGAAATCGGCGAAGTCCTTCGTGTCATAGCCGATACGTCCTTCGGCATTCACCCTGATCTCTCTCTGAAAGAAACTCCTCGGAAGCTCACTTATGAGCTTGCGGGTGGAGCTCTGCTGGAAGGTATGTTTACGCCTTCTTCCCGGATGTTAAGCAGACTTTCAGTCCCTGACGTTGAACGCGGGGTCCAGTTGGCATTTACTCCCTTACCTGGGTGTTCCAAACACTTTATCACACTCTCCCACGAGATCAACGCAAGCCTCCGTCGAGCATCTTGTCCTACATGAACAAATATGAGCCCACGAACGTAGATCAGACCACGACGGTTCTGCTATCCTTTCCGACCTCGGCCCCTTCCAACCTCCCCAACAGCTCTTCTCATGGGATAGCAATGACGGCGTTTGCCGTAGCTACCGATCCCGACCAGAAGAACAGTGCTGGCCCGGCAATCCGTATCCAGGGTACACAAGGCGAGATTCAGGTTTACGGGCCTGCCTTCCAGCCTACCCGGTACAAAGTGATTCCGGCCAAGCAGGGGGGTTTGGCGATTACCATCCGCGATGTTGAGTTGACTTTTCCGGCGAATGGGCACGGCATGTTTTATGAGGCAGATGAAGCAGCGCGATGCATTCGAGATGGTAAACTCGAAAGTGAGACCATGCCTTGGGACGAAAGTATCCTCGTCATGGAAGTCATGGACGAAGTCCGCAAGCAAGGTGGACTTAAATATCCGGAGTCGATCGAGTCAGATGTTATACAGCACTCTAATAAGTAGAAATCCGGTTCCATATTTGATCAATTCCAATACGTGGCAAGGAGTTCGACTCGAGAGAGTCATATAGATCTTGTTAAAACATTCTCGTGTATCTGGGTATTTATGATGATTGCTCATGCCTTCGTGAGAGTTTACGGGATGTACATGGTAGTTATTTCTTCCATGCTGTGTACACGGGCTACCATCGTGGGAATAAGTGTAAAAACACCCATATTTCCACCAGGCACACTACGTTCCAGCTGCGCAGCGAAATGATAGGCAAAAATGGCGCAGACGGAAATGCCATAGGTTGGTCCGCTCCAAAGCCGTGAGCTTTCCACTGTACGGGGAAAGGCAACATTCGTTGACATTTTATCAATAAGTTTCTTTGAGGACATGTCTATATATTAGCGAAAGAGTTTGCCCTATGGTTCCCTACTTGGTTTCCTCCACCCCTTTGAGAATGAAGACGACAGCTGTCTTCATGATTCCAGACTTGGGTCAGTATGATAATGGATAAGTCTCGTAACATATAGATGATTGTGGGTCAGCCACATGCTACTTCTCCTCGACTTCGACCACGACGACTTTGTCGCCATCTTCTCCCTCTTGCTTCTTGAGTTCCTCAGTCTCTTCCTTCGCCATACGCGCTGCCTCTTTGTAGCTCATGCTCTTGCCAGCGTGATACTTGATCTTGAACATGCGGTCGACCTCTTCCAAGGACAGGCCTTTGGTTTCGATGTAGAAGAACCAGACGATGGGGAACCAAGCAAAGTTAAGCACGGCGAAGATGATGTAAAACCTCCAGGAGATGTTTGCGATGGCGCTGGGGGTCATGATTACCACGACGTACACGAAAAGCCAGTTCGTAACCATGGCGGCACTGTTGCCAATGCTGCGCATCCGTGATGAGTTGATCTCGGAGGGGTATAGGAATGGAATGGCCAGGTAAGAGAGACCCTAGAACCAAATGAAAATGTCAATTTCGGACTTTCAAGGAGTTTGGAAGGGAGAGAGAGAGATGTGACTTACGTAGAAGAGATGGTATCCAAACATGAACGACACAGCCATGGCGTAGCTGGCCTTTGTTCCAATGCCGAGACCGATGGTGGTAAGGGTGAAGCAAACGCCGCATCCAATAGACCCAAACAGCATGAGAGGGACACGTCCGAAGCGATCAATTAGGAGCATGATGACGGAGCCCCAAACGCAGAGGGAAATAAAGTCAATGGCTGACAGGATCAGAGCAAGCCTGTTGCTGAAGCCAAAGGACTTGGTCAGGATCACCGGAAAATAGTATACAACCTGCCGGTTTTGGCGCAGTTACTGTCAGTATTGCGCCTGGAAAAACCTCGCAGGCTTTAAGACAGTGGAAGGAATCAGTTTGGATCTCGATGCTTACCACGTTTATACCCCCCATCTGCTGAAAGACGGACGTACCGGCGCCCAAAACAAGGCGCCGGAAATTCTGCTGTTCGCCGCCTGAAAAGACCTCACGCCATCCAATGGCTCCGCCAGCTTTTTCGGCTGCGATAGCATCGCTGATAATCTTCAGCTCGATCTTGACCGATGTGTCCTCGCGGTCTTTTGCGGCAAGGCGAGCTAGCACCACCTGAGCTTCCGCATGTCTTTCCTTGTAGCAAAGCCACCGAGGAGACTCCACCGTGCAAGCAAGCAGTCCGAGTGTGACAAAGGCCCAGAAGCATTGCATCGCGATGGGAAAGCGCCAGCTGACTTCGTTCGCGTAGATATAAGTCATTCCCAGATTGATCCAACTGGTCAGATCAATTCCGAATATCACCATGACCATTTGAAGAGCGACAAGCTTTCCGCGGTGCTCTGCCTTGCTGGTCTCAGCTTGCCACATGGGCACGACGGCTGTACTCTGCCCGATTCCCAGACCGGCAATAATGCGGCCAACAATCATGTGCGGCAGGGAGAAAGAAGACGCTTGCAACAGGCCCCCAACAATGACAAAGGCACACGACATGGCAATCGACTTGCGGCGGCCCAGCTTGTCGCCAAAATAGATAGATATGATGGCGCCAATGATGCAACCAATGTCATAGGTCGATACAATCTGGCCTTGGACTGTCGGATTTGGGTTCTTGAATTGGTTGGCAAACGTCGGATCGTTCAGGATGCCGCCAAAGACACCCTGATCCCAGCCGAAGAGCATAAAGGAAAAGCCACAGGTCATGGTGATGGCGATCGTGAGGGCGCGGCCTTGGAGGAGAAGCAGACCCATGTTTTTAGGGGGTTTTTCTGGACCACAGAGTTGACTTTGGTCTGAGGAACTCTCAAGGTGCGTAAAATTAGGGTGTTGATGAGGAGAGCGGTAAGCAAGACGGGCTGACCTGAGTTGACAGAATCATTCAGACAAGAGAAACGCCGCGCCCCATATACTCCCGCTTGCCACTGGGATGAAATAGACCGTCCTGATAAAGCATCCACCCGTCTCTCCCCATGGGGAGCCCCATGACAATCCACTGTTCGCACAATCCCCAAAAGCCCGGTTGTAGACTTCAACTTCCATTTCACGCGATCGGCAACGAAGCCAGGTCGATGGAACGTGGGCAATTCCACGCAAGGGGTCTCCATGCATCCCCGGCTGGTAAACTAGATAAGGCGGTTGGCGGCAACCTCGATTCGCTTGAAAGGCTATTCACCACGGTCGATGGAGGCAAAGGGGACTTTCCGTATAGTGATGTCGTGATATGCTCGTAGAGCCCCTGGCTTGGACTAAGTACAAGTCAATGCCTTTTCTGCACACATATGTGGGTATAGTGCGGGAAAAGAGCAAAGCAGAATCGAACAACCCTTATAGCCGGAGGAGAGTCCGGTGACTAAAGGGATAAAGCCGTGCGGCGCCACCCGAAGACATAGAGACCGAGGGAATCGACTCCCGGGACCACAGAAATGGGCTCGGTAACGGAATTTAATTCCCGTTGAACCTCAATCATTAACAACCAACAACACACTTGCAAAGAAATTTTGTAACTCGCTTACCAGGCCTTTGTTGATAGCGCTCAGAGTAGCGCATCTAAGAATCGGTTCCTTGTCGGACCCCTTCTGGCCTGCGTTTCACGAACACACATCGCGGTAACGTCAACATTCATCCTAGTGAGTATCGTAAACCGGCTTGGCTCTAGCCGCAAGGATTCCAGGCGAGGCTTCTTGCTCACGTTTGATCGAGCCACAATGCAGCAGCGGAAGCGCCAAACACGAAGAATTGAGCGCGAACGAAAGCCCTTGGGGCTACGACCCTTTGCACCCGCTCTGACCTGGTGAGCCTGGCGCAACAATGTCTTACTGCACGTGAATAGAAAATTAAAGCAGAGCTCTTGAAGCCTGCGAGGTAGTCATGATACAGTAATAGCTAGCTGAAACGCAAGACATAAGAGTAAACCACTCACCTACCTCGGTTTGATTGAACACACGGTCCTGATGTCGAAATTATTCTGAACCTCGAATTCAGGTGAACCGCGACGCTTGACCGGAGGTTATTAACCCAAGTACATGATTGGAGTAGCGGTGTTGATGGCTTCGGCCTCAGTCTCCAAGATTCAGGCTTCGTGAGGGGTTACGGTTTATGTTACTATGCTGCAAAAACAAATTTGATTACACCAAATAAGCGATTATCTTGACAACCTTCAACAAGAAGAATCGAGGTTTAAGCAGCATAGCCGGAATTGTCACAGCCATTATGGCGGTCAAAGTGTTTATGTACGAAGTCGACGGGATGAATTTCAGAAATTACACCCGCTAACTCCAATTCCAGAACAGGAGTTACAGGATACATCGGTGGCGATGCCCTCTATGCACTGAGCAAGAAATACCCCGAATGGGAATACTGTGAGTTTGTAAATTTCAGAGAGCCTCTTTTTCCTCACCTCATTTGACCCTTCCCATATTTATTGGCACGGCATGGGAACGCCGGTTTGCTCTTGCGTTGGTAACACGGAGAACCAAAATTGCTGACCTCATCTGATAGGTGCCATAATCAGGACGCAGGAGAAGGCGAACCGAGTTCAACAGCAGTATCCCAAACTTCGCATCGTCCTGGGTGATCTGGATGATTCGGCCGTGCTTCGTGAAGAGAGTGCAAAGGCAGATATCGTCCTGCGTAAGTTACTTGTCGATCACCCCACCCTTGATCGGACAGTGTTCTGACCCAATTTTTGTATTCAACAGATACTGCAGACGCATCGGATCACGAAGGTGCGGCAAGAGCCATTGCTGCCGGCCTCGCCGAGGGCCATGCGCCATCTAAGCCTGGATTCTGGCTGCACACGGGCGGTACTGGGATATTGACTTATGAAGACTCCAAGAATAATCGCTTGGGAGAGTGGTCGACCAAGGAGTACAACGATCTCAGTGGAGTGGACGAGCTGACACACCTGCCCGATGAGGCATTCCATCGTAATGTCGACAAGATCGTTCTCGAGGCTGGAACCAAGTATGCGGACAGGGTAAAGACGGCGTTAGTTTGCCCGCCCACTATCTATGGCAAGTCTTGGTAACCTCACGAAGCGTGCGATCGTCATTGGTTTCGTCCTTCGGAGCCGATTTTCAACTGTCATGTGTTAAGCAAACTCTCCCTTGCTAACTTTCCGCTTAGGTGATGGTCGAGGTCCTATCTCCGGACGGTCTCGCCAGGTCTACGAACTGAGCAAGCTCATACTGCAAAAGGGCTACACTCCCATCGTGGGCGCAGGAAAGGCACGGTGGAACCACGTCCACGTCTACGACCTAGCCGCTGCTTTTGTCCTCCTGGCTGAAGCGGCAGTGGCTAAGAACCTATCTGACGACATCTGGGGCGCCAAGGGCTACCATCTTTGCGAGAACGGCGAGCATGTCTGGGCTGACCTGGCCAGGAAGATCTCGGCCATCGCGGCGGACAAAGGTTACATTCCCACCAACCCCATCGAGAAGCAGCTTAGTAGAGACGAGGCTCTGGGGGTAGCCGGCTTCGAAGCCGTCAGCTGGGGCTTGAATTCACGGGGAAAGGCGGAGCGATTGAGAAAGTTTCTGGCCTGGACGCCGAAGGAGAGGAGCATTGAGGAGGAAGCTGTAAGTATTCTTGAGGCAGAGAGATCAAGGTTGCAGGGCAAGACGCTGTCAACTTGAAAACAAAAGAAAAGAGAAGAGAAAAGAAGAGGGCAGACAGAATGTCTATTTGAGAAGTCCTTGTTGCACTTCCTTCTGTCTTTCGGATACGGTCAATCCCGACCATGTCCATTTCTTTCGTCTATTTTCCGCCTTTCTCGGGACCTGGTGCGTGAGGACCATGACACGCAAAAGATCCCCTCGAGACTCAAGAATCCAGACAGCTGTGCTATTTTGAAAACCATCGAACTTACCGTTTCCTTCTTGGCCGTTTATCCTAATCAGTTCCCGGTGCAATAGTGCAAGAAACACTCGGTAGACCAACCGTAACACGGTTGGTCCCTGGAAAGGCAGCAGTGCACCTTTCACCAAACAGCATGACGTGATAATCGAGTCAAGGAGATGCTCACTCGAGCCTCACCGAGACCCAAGCCTATGGCTCTGAATTGATTCGCCTGCCAGACGAGAAAGGATAGAGGAGACCTGTTTCGCTCGAAGGTGATCCCATTGCAATCAAGAGCAGCAGCAACCAAAAGTGCATCGTCATGACTCATAATGGGTTGATGCACCGCCATCCACCAACAGGTACTGTCCAGTGACATATGAACTGAGATCACTGGCAAAGAAGACGGCTGCTCCGGCGACATCTTCGGGAGTGCCCAGGCGGCCCAGCGCTGCCTTGGCCGCCATGACTTCGCGCTGGCCATTGAGGTCCAAGTGAGCCTTGTTCATGGTGGTCTCGATGGTGCCGGGACAGATGCTGTTGAACCGGATGCCATGTCTGCCCAGGGCGCTCGCGCAGGCGACAGTCATGCCCAGGATAGCCGCCTTGGTGGGCGCGTAGTGTGTCAAGGCCGACGAGCCTTGGACGGCTGTGATGGAGGCGATAGACACGACACTACCACCCGTCCCTTGGGCCACCATCTGCTTCGTGGCCGCCTGCGTGAGCATGTACGCCGCCGTGAAGTTGACCGACATGTGCCGCTCCAGAAGAGCCTGCGTCACATCATGGAAGGCCGAGAATGTACAGATGCCTGCATTGTTGATCAGGGCGTCAAGTCGGCCAAAACTGCCCAGAGCCTCGGCCACCAAATTGGCCGGGGTCTCTGGCAGGAGAACGTCGCCGCTGAAAGAGGTATGCCGAAGTGATGGGTCGATTGCTCTGAGTTCAGATTGCAGCGCCCCAATGTCAGAGGTCGTCTGTTCGGTCCCCAAGTGGTGCAGAACGAGACCAGCGCCTTGTCGAGCACATGCCAGTGCTGTAGCACGCCCGATTCCTTGCGATGCACCTGTGATAGCAATAACTTTGTTGCGAAGTATTCCGGCCATCCTGACGTGAAGAATGCGTTGTACGCTTTCGGTTCAAGGCAAAAGAGACTGTGCCTGGGGTCAGTTCTGGTAGAGTTACAATCCCCAGGTTCCTGAATGGTTCGAGTAGAAGCATAAAATATTCACCATCGTCAATAATTCAGCCCGTGTTTCGAACGAGCAGCAAAGATCCGTCTCCCTAACTGACAGTCAGAAGAGCCGTTGCTCCACCCGAGTTGCAGGCATGCTCGCGGGAGAAAGTATAAAGGCGAGAGAGAGTCTTTCGGTTATGGCCAGCCCGCTGGCGCCTCTAGTCCATCGCCCCTCAACTGTACTCGCCAGCCGGGCTATCATCAGTATCACTGTCAGCAAAATATCAGCTCTCAGCTTGTCTAGCGCAATGCTGACTTGAGACTTCGGTTGATCTAAGGTTATGAGAAGAAATGAAGAAACCTTCAACGGTGGCCCTATCAGGTTGTTTGCTTCGCCTAGTTCCCACCGAGATCAACACAGGGCCATGAGAGCAGGCCGGGATCATCGTCTCGTTGGATCAAGCTCGAGCCCTAGCAAAACAGGTCATGTATTCCTAGCACTAATAGCCACTGACAGAATTACACCTAGATCCAATCTATCTCTCACCACCTACGACTACTTCAACAACCTCCATCTTGCTCTACCCTTCCCTAATGTGCTGGTTTGCAGAAGCTTCTTCACCTTCTTGACAATCCCGATATCGTCAATGCCAAACCTCCTAAAGTTTTCAGTGCCTGCTCCGGAATACCCAAAGCCATCCATCGCCACGCTTGCTGTACAAAACCTTGCCCACATGCTACTGACATAGGCTTCGACGCTAACCACATGTTCCGTTAACCCAAGAACTTCATTCTGGTATGTCTCGGGTTGGGCTTCGAACAGGCTGATGCACGGCATGCTTACCACCCGTGTCGAAATGCCGTGCTGCTCTGTCAGCTGATTCGCCGCCGCTACGGCAAATTGCAATTCCGAGCCGCAAGAAATGAGAGTGACGACGGCATCGCTCTGCTCGACAATCACGTATCCGCCTCGGGCGACTTTGGCTCGATCTGTGTTTGGTATCGCGATGATTGCTGGGTCCCTAGCCAGCGAGATGATAACCGACATCTCCTTAGTGGCGGGACCTAACGCGGTCGACCAAGCACCTATGACTTCTTCGGCATCAGAGGGTCTGATATACGCTAGGTGTGGCATCGCTCGATACAAAGAGTCGAGTTCGACAGGCTGATGAGTTGGACCATTCTGGCCTTCGCCGATCGAGTCGTGGGTGGCCACGTGGATAACTTTGAGGTGACTTAGTGCACCCATACGTACGCCAGGCGCTGCGTACAAGTAGAACATAAAGAATGTCGCCGTGATAGGGATAATGGTGCCGGGACTGTAGGCTGCTAGTCCGTTCGAGATGGATGCCATTGCATGTTCGCGAATGCCATATCGAATGACGCGGCCCTCTGGGTGCCCTCCGGAATAGATCCGAGACGTCTGGTCACCCATTTGATTGCTGTTCCAGAGGTCGGCGCCACCAGCAATGAGGTGTGGAATATGTGACATGAGGGTATTAAAGACGGTGCCATTGAATTGTCGGGTAGCTTGGATGACCTCGGGAACTTGAAGAGAAGAAAGGACAGACTCATAGTCGACCTTGCCATTCATTCGGTCGGACAGTAGCTTAGCTTCGGTGGGGTAAGCTTTGTTATAGGCCACAAGGAGGTCATTCCAGTCCTCTTCAAGAGTTTGGCCTCTTGCCTCACACCCAGCGAGGTACGCTTTTGTCTGTTCTGACAGAGTATGTGTGGTTGATACGTCGGCAGACGCGTAGATTGCGGCATCCTCATCAGTATAGGTGCCGTGATGCGACTTGAAAGTACCCGCGGTGGACGTCCCGTAACCGATTGTGGTACGGATGTTGATGAAGGTAGGTTTGCCCTTGGTAGACCGGGCAAGCTTCAGCGCTGAGACAATGTCGTCGACCGAGCCATCCCCTGTGAAAACATCGATAACATTCCATCCTATTGCGCGCATTTTGGCATTGGTGTCTTCGGACACAATCCACTCTAGAGGGCCATCACAGGTGACCTGGTTATTGTCGTAGCAGAGGACGAGGTTATCGAGCTGAAGATGACCTGCAAGAGCCATGGCCTCTTGGGCGACTCCTTCCTGAAGACATCCATCGCCCGTGGTGCAGTAGATCCGAGAACGAACGATGTCGTAGCCGGGCTTGTTAAAGGTTGCTGCCAAGTGCTTCGAGGCGATGGCGAGGCCTACCGCATTCGCTACCCCTTGACCAAGCGGCCCAGTAGTCACTTCGATGCCTGGAACGTCAAGTTCAGGGTGACCATGGCAGAGTGTGGCCGTCCATTTACCAGTCTCCGGATCGACTGCCTTGGCCGAGCCGTATAGCTTCAACTCGTCCAATGTCATATTCGGATATCCGGTCACATATAACATGGTATAGATGAACATGGCAGCGTGGCCATTCGACAGCACGAACCGATCTCGATCGAACCAGTCGGCATTCTTTGGATTGTATCTCATTGTATGGCGCCACAGAGCCACGCCCAGAGGCGCCATCCCAATCGCCGACCCTCCATGACCACCGCCGTTCTGTCGACAGATATCGATGATGAACTTCCTCAGGTCTCGAACTGCTTGCTCATCGTCGGTCAAGATGGATGGAGCAGAGGAGCCGTTGACTGTGGTAGAAGGTCCGTTCGTGAGACTTGGCATGTTTGCCATCTAATAATGCATCCGCTCACAACGACCGATCCGCCAATTTTCGCCGGACTTTGCAACCCATTATATCTGCAATGAGTAGAACAATCCTTACAGCGAGCGAGCAATAGAGACAGCAGTCCCAGCTCCGTCGGCATCTACTGCTTGTGCAATCCCCCTCCGAGATCACCATGACCGCCTTTTCTTCACCAAGGCCCACAGCGTACCACCGGGAAGCTGAATGTGGTCGTCGCCCGGGAATTCTCAGACCACCGTCATATAACCGAGACCAATTCTCGTGCTGTGATATCGGCTGGGAGATATCTCTCAAGGCTACATGGACAAGCGGCAGGTCCGCCACAGCCTGCCTTTGATATATTGTGCGAGCTCGAAGTCTACCAAGATTTCCTAGACGTGCAGAATTTACAGAGATTGCTCTACACACACGCGCGATGCCTACACGCCGGACAGCAGAACCACGCCTTATTGTCATCGGGTGCGGGGTTGCTGGCATTGCGCTCTCTGCCCGGCTTAGATCACAGCTGGGATACGATAATTTTGTCGTTTACGAAAGAGAAAGGTCTATCGGGGGTACGTGGTACCTTAATACGTACCCTGGCGTGGGGTGCGATGTCGATTCTCACCTCTACTCCTTCTCCTTCAACCTGAACCCCGACTGGTCAAAGCGGTTCGCCGAGCAATCCGAGATTCTTCAATATCTACAAGATACGGTCGACAAGTTCGGGGTTAGACCCCATGTGCGGCTCGGAGTGGAGGTGGTTGAGGCCGCTTGGATCGAAGAGAAGTCAGTCTGGCAGGTGACCCTTCGCGACCTCGACGACAACCATGTCTTCCACAAAGAAGCGGAAATGCTAGTATCCTGCGTGGGTACAATATCCATACCCAAAGACTGCAACATCCCGGGCCACGAGAGGTTCAGAGGCGACATGTGGCATTCGGCGCGCTGGAATCATAATGTCTCTCTCAGGGGTAAGCGCGTCGCTGTTATCGGCAATGGCTGCTCCGCCGCTCAACTTGTCCCGTATGTGGTTAAGGAAGCGGCGCAGGTATACCAGTTCCAACGATCACCTCAATGGATCAACGAAAGACCTAATAGCAACTTCACCGATTCCCAAAAATGGTGCTTCCGCAACGTGCCCCTCTGGAACCGCGTCTACCGCTTCTACCTGTGGAAGAACACGGACGCCCTTCACAATCTATACCAATCCGAGACAGCCCGATCGATACGTAACCGCGCCGCCGCCACGGAACACGCCAAAGCCTATATGATAGCGACTGCGCCGAAGAAGTACCATGACCTCCTCATTCCCCAATTTCCACTCGGGTGTAAACGACGCATCTTTGACCCTGGCTACCTCGAGAGCCTCCACAGTCCCAACATCGAACTCTTAGCGGAGCCCATCCTGGAAATCACCGAGACCGGTCTACGAACGCCCCAACGAAATATCGATGTCGACGCTATCGTCCTAAGCACGGGCTTCAAGATCCAGGAATTCTTGTCTCCTATCACTGTCAAGGGTGTCGGTAGTGTTAGCCTGAACGAACACTGGAAAGACACGCGAGGCGCACAGGCGTACAAGGCGACGTTCGTGACGGGCTTCCCTAACTTCGGGATCGTGTTCGGTCCTAACGCCTTCCCCGCGCACAACTCGGTCATCTATACGAACGAGGTACAAGTGGAGTACATCATCAAGGCCATGGTGAAGCCGATCCTACGTGGAGACTTCCAAGTCATCGACGTCAAGGAAGCCGCGGAGCATCGCGATGCTAATGTAGTCCAGGCTCGGCTGAAGTCCATGGTCTGGAATGCCGGCTGCAGCAACTGGAACCTGGACGCCACCGGCCGCAACACCACCAACTACCCCGACGAAACCTGGAAGTTCTGGTATCAGCTCTACTGGCCGGTGTGGAAGGACTTTAACCTCTACGGCGGCAAAGGCACACATCCCCTGCACCCGGCATGGAAGGTGGCGGCGACGTTGGCTAGTTTTGGAGTCTTTTTACCAGTTCTACTCAGCAGAAGCTTTCACCTCTTAGGCCCTGCTGTGAACATGTTGAAGCAGAAGGTGCTGTGAAGTGGGATGGTGCCAATTGTTTGCCTCTATCCAGCACATATAGTACGAAAGGGAGGAGCAGGATCGAACGGGATGTCGAGCTTCGGCTGGGTCAATACCGCTGGCTTCAGACACCCTGCTGTCGATCGCACAGAAGGCGCAAATGAGTCCTCCGAGTCTCTATACAAGGCTAGCCACCTTAACGATCATGGTAATCAGTCAAAACACCTAATATTTCCTCTCGCTTTTTTCAGCAATACTCTCTCTCTCTCTCTCGCTGAGTAGGTGGTGGCTTCATGCCAGAAGCCGATCTATCAGCATGATACCTTTTACATAACGGTTACCCGCAGATCTGAGCCTTGTCTACTTCCTTCCCGGGCCTTTTCGGCTACATGATGAAGTTCTTCGCCCACCAGCTTCCGGTTCCGCAAGCTGGCCGAGTGTGAAAAGGGGCCATTGACTTCCCGGTCGATGGATGTGTATCGAATCTCAACCGTTCACCTGCTTGTCTGTTTCACGTACCCTCACGCGCTGATGCTCTTCCCACACTTTCGGCTGTGATTTCACATGGAACCGAGCCACCGAAAGACCGGGATATACCTATCGTACACGCAAATGATGGCGTTCGCCCCTAAGTTTGTAGCATTGGGTTATTTCGGATCTTCTCACGTTTTTATTTTTTTCATCAGGAGAAATGGCAATAAAACCGCTTCTCAACGCACGTTAAGAGCACGAAGCGACCGGTCAATGACATAACTGAAAGGTCCATTTGGTGCAGCAAAGCCGCCGGCAAGGAAGACCAGATCGGTTACGGCCTAGGTGTATCAACACGAGGAAAGCAGATATCGATTTCTCTCAGCTGCGGTCCAGCATTTCCTATACCGTTTGTCCTTGGGGCCTCTGGAGACAATCTATTTAGAAGCTCCTCGGCTCCCATCGATTCGATCCTTTCAACTGTTGCTATCGACTTACGGCCTTCCAGTATGTCTACAAGCTCGACTCATGTTGCTGCTCTGTTGCACGGGGCTAGCGACCTCCGATTGACGCAAGTCGCAACGCCCACTCCGCTTCCACACGAAGTCCTCATTGCTCCACGTGCCACAGGGATTTGCGGTACGGATATGCACTACTACTCAGCTGGCCGCAACGGCATGTTTGTCGTCACCACGCCTCTAGTACTTGGACACGAGGCTGCAGGGACGATCGTCGCGCTAGGCAGTGACGTGGAGTCGTTGGGACTGGGTTTGAAGGTCGGAGACCGCGTGGCGATCGAGCCACAGCGGCCGTGCGAGAGGTGCAATGTCTGTCGCAGTGGCAAATACAACCTTTGTCCCCGGCTGGGATTCAGTGGCAGCGCCAGCGCGAGCCCACCAATTCAGGGAACGCTACAGGCCAGGTATACGCACCCGGCGTCATGGGTGTATGCGCTACCCCAGACCATGAGTTGGGAAGAGGCCGCCATGGTCGAGCCATTGAGTGTAGCGGTTCATGCGGTCCGAAGGGCCAAAGTCAGGGGCGGCATGAGAGTGGTGGTACTCGGAGCCGGTGCAATCGGATTGTTTTGTGCTGCGGTGGCACGCGTCAATGGCGCCAGATGGATTGGTATGGTGGACATCGATGGCGCGAGGCTGGACTTCTCGAGGCGACACGGATTTGCCGACGGCGTTTTTGAGATTCCTATCCGTGGTAACGAGGGAGAATCAAAGCCGGACATGGCCAAGAGGCTGGCTGCACAGATACTTGAGAAGGAAGGCGAGGGATGGGGTTTGGCGGAGGTCGTGTTCGAATGTACGGGCGTCGACACCTGCGTCAATATTGGGATCCATTGTGCTGCGCCGGGCGGCAAGGTGGTGATTGTGGGAATGGGACAGCCGGTTCAGAACATTAACGTGGGATCGGCGGCGGTGAGAGAGGTCGACCTCTTGTCGCTATGGAGGTATGCCAACACATTTCGCACCGCCATTGATATGATTGGTTCTGGGCAGCTGGACGTCAAGCCCCTGATCACTCACAGGTTCGACTTGCAGCAAGCCGCCGATGCGTTGCAATTGGTCGTGGACAAGCCCAAGGATCTCATCAAGTGTATCATTACCTCGAACCATTGAACATTGTTGTCTCCTTTTGTATCCCTTGCTATTCCTTGCTAGAGCGACCATAACAACGGAGCGCACAATTTACAGCTCTCAGCCTTGCATCCACCCAATCTGCATTCAATGCGCGGGAACTGTCGGCTATATGCTTCCCCGGCAAAAACCCGCCTCGCCTTTATGATTTTGGCCTTCGGCAAGACAGCTTCGTCTGATTGTGTTGCAGTGGCGGGCGAGTACCGAGTAAACATCAAGGTGCGGAGATTTACCGCATGGAGCCTGGACTAGCAAATCAGATGGTTGTCATATTGCGTGCTTGATAGACTAACGGGCAACTCTCTACACTGGAAGTCATGTTGTCAATGGCGGGGGGGTCGGTGATAAGGCTAGTCTTTCTCAGGCTGGATCAAGATCTTCACATGCTTCGCTTTGTTCCGGATAAGCTCCATGAAACCGCCCTCGATTGCGTTTGTCAGAGGCACAACTGAAGTAATCATCTGCTCGAATGGAATCTTCCCAGACTCCATGGCGTTGATCACTTGTTCATAGTCTTCCTTAGTATAGCAGATTCCCCCAAGGAGGCGTTTCTCAAGAAATCCAATGTCGTTTAGGTTCAGGGATAGCGGTTTCTCGTGTATCGCGACGTTGAAAATAGTCCCTCCAGGTCGCGTGGCTGCCAATGCCGTGTCCAAGGTCGATTGGAGGCCGGTTGCGTCAAAGGCAACGTCAACACCATCTTCAGAGAAGGTCCGGATGGCATCCACCACGGGATCCGCAGGCACCTCGCTTGAGCTGCCTGCGGGCTTTCGGAGAGGGTTGATAACCAGGTCAGCACCGAACTTTTGTGCTTGTAGCTGTCTCGCTTCCGTGACTTCTGTCACGACCACCTTACTGGCGTCCCACACCTTGAGTAAGAGCAGAATGGCAAGCCCGATGGGACCTGCGCCAAGAATGAGTGCCGTCTGACCTTTCTGGAATCCCGATGTCCGAATGCTGTGCCAGGCGACAGCGAGAGGCTCGGTCAGGGCACCCACTTTTAGTGACACTGAACTTGGAAGAGGGAAGCAATTGAAGTCCTTGACCACGATCTCAGTCGAGAACCCTCCTCCCCAGGCACTCAGTCCATAGGTAGCAAAGCGCTTGCAGATATTGACCTTGCCCCTGCGACAAGATGAGCACGGCGGTTCATTGTAGGATCGATCGTCCAACGAAGGACAAACCGCCACGTTTTGGCCGGGTTCCAGATCTCGGACTGCTGATCCAACCTCTGTCACAGTGCCCGACATTTCGTGGCCCATGACCACGGGAAGTTCAACTCCTGTAGCATGATGCTTGCCACCAGGTGGCGGTGCAAAGATCGGGAGCGCCTGATATTCATGAATGTCTGAGCCGCAAATCCCACAGTAGGCAATCTTGAGTCGAACTTCATTGGGTCCGCAAGGTCTAGGTAATGATTAGCTCGCCAGCTCGTCTTGAAATTCCTCGGAGGAGTGTCGCTAGTAGCTTACAAAGAAGGAATGTTATCAAGCTGGAGCTTCTCGCGGGCATGGATGCGCAGCGCAGGATGCGTTTTGGTGGTCATGGTGGCGGTCGCCATGGCTGATCTGAAGATCTTTCGAACAGGTCGTGGAACAGGAACATTATATAATGAGAAGGAAAAGTTTCAACAATGGCCATGCTGGACGAATGACCAGAAGTCGGAGCAGAGTGCTGTGGCCGGGAATCAAGTTCCATACCGGCTACATGGGAGGTGAACTGCGGTGGAGGGGATTGAAACCTTGAATGGTCAAGTAGCTAATACTTCGCATGTGGCCTTTCGCTGAGCACGCGCCTAGGGCAAGTGGGGGGAATGTGATAACGGGGGTTACAGCCCTAATGAGGTCCCCAAATGGCCCTCCATCATCCCCGCAGTAGGCGTGCTAGGCACCGCTACTAGACAGGAAGGAGGCTAGAGAACCACTCCAGGCGGAGGCGAGGAAAAACCCGGGCTCTCATTCTTCCGCCCCAGCCTGCAAAATCTCCAGCGACTTCAAGTCTGCTCCTCAAATTTGTCCGCGTCCATTCATCACTTCACGCTTCAGACACCGCGAAACTGAGACACCCATTGTCGTCGCCTACTCACACCTCTCTCCCTCCTCCTTGGAGCGACCGGATGACCAGAAAGTCATCAGTTCAAGTCACCGCCCACGATGCGCCCTGGCAGCTCGGAACAAGCGCCCTCAAACCGTACACGTGCGGTCAAAGCATGCAAACGTTGCAATCAGAAACGAATCAAGTGTGACGCCTTTGAGTGCGGAACTCCTTGCTCCAAATGTCGACAGAGTAACAGCGAGGAATGCGTCCTGATACAGTCCAGGCGAGGCACGCATCCTCGCAAAAGGTCCAAGCCAAATCCCCCTGCATCAGAGGTCACAGCAGCCTCTGTTGGGGTTGATGCTGACAGGAGCGCCGACGCCACCGCCACGCCCGCAGTATCAGAAGCGACAGCACATCCTCCCCTTAGCGACCCGAATCCTGCGGACGGGTCGCCGCTCCTCCAACAAGCAGGTCAAAGCGTCCGTGTCGACAGTCAAGCTCCCGCCACTGTCCCAAATGGTTTCCCAGTGTCGGCTTCCACTAGTTCCAGCACAGACCTGGCCTCTCCAGAAGCAGCATTCTCGGAGACCAGCGCGAAGTCTTATCGCGAAATATCTTGGGCCGCTATGTTCGACCATTTTCTGGACGGACGACGACGGGACCAAAAGGACACGATAGACAAATGTTCGATCACCTACCTGGGAGAATCCTTCCCATTGGCCATGGTGCTCGAGGAATTCAAAGAAGGGGGACGACCGCGCCTCCATCATGCTGGGCCACCGCTCACAGACGACGAGGCGAGGGCTGAACCTACGAGTGAAAATCACCCCTCACATATGCTCCCAGAGGATATCGCCTTTCTTCAAGCCAAAGATGCCTTTGTCGCTCCTTCTCAGGAACTTCTCGATGCTTTGATCGCAAATTTTCTCGACCGAGTATGGCCTATCTATCCCGTAGTCAATCGGCAAGAGTTTCTTCAACAGTATAAAGCCAAGAAGGTTCCGTGGATTCTATTGCATGCGCTGTGTTTCATCTCGGCAACTTTTTGTCCCCTCGCCATCTTGCATCGTGCTGGGTTTACGGGACGAAAGCAAGCCAGAGTCTCGTATTATCGAAAGGCCAAAGCGTTGTTTGACACCGGCTACGAATCCAATAAGATCACTATTCTACAGAGCGTCATTGTCCTGACGTGCTGGGGTGGAGGACCCAACAATTACTGGAACTTTTATAGTTGGATCTCTACCGGGGTCACGATTGCAGAAGCCCTAGGTATTCACCGATCCACTGCGGGAGCGAACATGCATCCTCATGACCGGAGTCTCCTGAAAAGACTCTGGTGGATTCTGGTCATTCGAGATGCTTCATGTGGCACTCTTGTCGGCCGGCCCTTCCGCATCAACACCAATCACGCCGACACCGAGATGCTGACGGTCGAAGACTTCGAGTATGACATTCAAAGCCCGGATTTTGTCAACCATCCTCTCCGCGACGTCTGCGGTCTGTATCAGATTCATATGTCCAAGCTATCTCTCATCTTGAGAGAGATCATCTCGACGAGATTCGATCCTAATCGCGCCCAGGCTCGAATGGCCAATCTCCACGACACCTTACAAGAATGGCATAATGCGCTGCCGCCCACTTTACGCTGCTCGGAGAATGACAAGGCTTCGAATCCGTTTGCTACTTGTCTCGCCATACTCTACGACCACCACTTGATCCTGAGTCACCTGGGCCGGCCCGCAACAGGAGCGACGTCCACGACCACCGACAACGGATCCCTAGGCGGAGGTTTCCCCTCGCGCCCAATTACCGAGGTGGCCGCCCAGCGCATCTCGTCCCTGGCTTGCACGTTTACACGTAAAAATGAATCTCTTGTCATGCCGCACGAGGTCTTCCAAGGTCTCTTTGTCGCGCAAGCCGTCTTTTACGCCCAAATGAAGAGCCCGCAACCTCTGGTGTCTCAACTCGGGTTTCAGGCTCTGAATAGCTGTCAGATGGTCTGGCACGACATTTACGAAGCGTGGGACCCTGCGCCCTGGATCTCCAAGCTATTTGACAACTTGATCGGAAATAGAAATCAAGATATAGAGTCGAACGAAGGTGATCGACAGAATAGTAACGTGTCTGGAAATGGGGCCCCTTCCATAGGAAACGGCATGGACCTGGACGGAATCAATGGTTATGTTAGCTGGCAGAACCACCCGACTCTGGGTTTCTTCGACATGTCGCAGGGTGAGGAGACGTTTCCGTCGTCGACAGACTATGCCATGTTCCCCAATTACTTTGGGACCACAGAGCCAATATCCTTTCTATCTTGAGAAGCCAATAACAGGCACGAAACGTACCTTGGGAGTTCTTCCTACTTTTGCATCCATGAGCGTGAGCGTTCAGTGATTCAAGACACACAGCAAGCCTCGAGGTCTGGAGGCCCGACAGTGTTTCTCTCTCTGGCCGTTCCTCTGCTTCCTCTGCTTCCTCCCCAAACATTTTCCATTCCATCATTTCCTTCTTCGGCTCAGCACAACCACTCCCCCTTCTCATCTTCCCACCCAAATTCTACTTTCGTCCACCCTAGAATGGTGTCTCGCCCATCCGGCATCTTATATTGGATCCCCGGGATCGTGTCACTTAGCCTCATGCGGCCGACCGTCTTCTCGGCGTTGTTGAGCTCCTCCATTTCTTCCTTGGTTAGCTCAACCAGTTTGATGTTATCCTCGATGCGCTTGAGCGATGACGACTTCGGAATGACAATAACACCCCGCTGTACTGCCCAAGAAAGGGAGACAACGCCGACGGAGCAGGCGTGCTTGGAGGCAATGTTTGTAAAGAGCGGATGTGTTAGAATCTGATTCCGTTCGTTGACTCGTTCGGATCCTAGGGTGCTGTAAGAAAGGTCGAACTCTCTTGGTCAGTCTCTTTTCCCATCTTGGTGGTTGAACAGGCGAAACGACAAGGGAAGGTTAGGAACAAAAGTGACCACTCGCGAAATTGGCAGTGCATCCAGAAAGCCGACAACTTAACCACTGCTGTGGGACGAGTTGCCATGCCCTGCTCGCCCCAGACAGCGAGCATGATATTCGCCGAACCGATCAAAGAACTCACCTCCAGCTAATGACCTGGATTCCATTCTTCTGACACCACGGCACAAGCTTTAGATTCGGATTCATGGCATGCAACTCGATCTCGTTGACCAGTGGCTTGAGCCTACACCGCTCCAGCAAGGGCTCGAGTAGCTTTCGAGTGAAATTGCTGACGCCCAAGCCCCTGACCTGGTCTTTCAGGCCCAGCGACTCGTCCAAGAGCAGGTCCTCCATCATACTCCACGTGTCAATAAAATCGGGCTTCGCACCCCACGGCTCCGGAACGCCCTCCCTCAGCATGAGGTTCGGCCAGTGCATCATGTAGATGTCGATGTAGTCAATGTCGAGGTCGGCGAGGGACTGGCGCAGCGCCGCAGCCGGGGCATGGTGCCAATGCGACCAGAACTTGGTAATGACGGTGATCGATGACCGGGGCACCCCGGACTTACGAATCGCAGAGCCTACAACCTTTTCCACGCCGTAGTATTGCGCCGTGTCAATCAGCCGGTACCCATGGTGCAAGGCGTGGATGATGCTGTCCTCGAGTTGCTGCGCGGCCAAGGTGCCGTATTGGCCTGGATAAGGGCGAAAAAGTAGTCAGGTCAGACCACCATGTGTGAATTTGCGGGAGATGTAGTCGACTTGCTTACCCTGCCATGTGCCCAAGCCGACCAATGGACATTCCATTCCTGCAACGAGGATGGCCCGCGAGGTCAGCATAGGCATTCTTGCTCAAATTCATCATCTGAAAAGGGGCAGGAAAGAGTCAATATACCGTTGTTCAACGTGACAGTCTTCTTGCATACTGGGCGGTCGAAGGAAGCAGGAGTCTCTCCATTTTGCTGCAGCATGTTTTGGGTCCGACCACTCTTTGTCGTATCGATGAAGTTTTCAAACTAGAATCTGATTTCCCACTGACTGGATAGCGCAGCCAAGCTTTCTTTTGCAGGGAAGGACACACCTCGATATGTATGTGAGCCTCAACTCTCCCACAAAGGAAAACGTTTAATAATGAATATATGACACCAGGGGCGAGTGGGAGGAGCAATGAACCGTTGGAGCTTAGGTTGACGGGGCTTGGTTACGGGACAGTATATCTACAGCTGGGCACCATGTCAACATAAAGAGCCGTAAGGAGGACGAACCGAGACCACTATTTCGCCGACAAGAACCTCTCAATGGTACCTAAGTCTCTTTGCTAGTAGCCAGGGACACGCCTAATATCACGTCCTGATGATGAACATACAGATGAGACCCAAGTCCATCGGCTGTAGTAGACCTGTTGGACACCCCTTCCCTCTCGGGGAAGACCTGATTACAGGATATGCGTTCAAATCTCGACCAATAAAATATACTCGAATTCCCTCTGATCAGCCTCGCCGAATCATCTATCCGGCTTCTAATCTACTAAAAGGCCGTTCTGCACGCCAACCACTCGAAGCTGACCGACAAGACCTCGACAATATTTCCCCACGGATCGGCCAAGTAAAGACACTTGACGCCGACGTTACCGGGATCGACAGTCTGGCCAACCTTCTTACCACCGGCGCCGACAACCCTGTCCGCCAGGGCGTCCGGGTCGGGATCGGTGATACAAACATGAAAGAAGCCGGCGCGCTCATACTGGAATTTGCGCTCCGCTGCGACCGGCTTAGGGTCCACGAACTCAAACACCTCAAACCCGACGCCATTCCCGGTCGACATATACGCCAGCTTGACTTCGTTCAGGCTCGACGGGTAGATGGCAAAGATAGCGGCGTCCGGATCCCTCGACCGTTTGATGTGTGCGATCTTGCCGAGAAGTCGGAACCCAAGGTGGGTGCTGTACCAGTCTACCACGGCCTGGACATCGGGCACTGATACTGCCACATGGTTGAGCGGGCGATTCCAAGTTGTCTAGAAGGATGGTAAGCTCGTTAGACGATGAGTGTACCACTTGCACGGAGAGTAGTTTTGACCCTTGGGCCCTTGTCTCGCCAGATCTTAGGAGCCGGATGAGGAGAAGACATGCATCTGCAGGAACGGGACTTACGGCTTCTGACATGTTGGGGTTAGACGAGTGGTGGGCTCTCCCTATGGGTGGGCGGTCCTAGCTGTATACTGGTGCTGCTCTGCTGTGGCTGTGCACTATGCCTAGACTCTTAAATATGCATAGGCCCTGGATCCTGGGGACCAGCTACAATGCGCGCCGACCTGAAAATACGGCTTCTAATACACCCGGCTATATGACCCAACTTTCCATGGAACCACGACGGGGTACAGAGGTATGACCTGCCATTTCCCGGATGCAACTTCCTCCCGAGCTTCGGCTGTGTTCGGGTTTCTCCCACAGTGACTTAGGCTGCCAAGGGCTTACATGCTCCGGGGATCTTACAAACACTAAGGAAGGGAAATTTCAAACCGAATAAGGAAAGGCAGGGGCCAGCCTCATAGATCAGCCTTGCGAAGGCCCTTGTCAGAGCCTCGGTGCGCGCCATGGCTAAGGGAAAGTTATCCTTTGACGGCATTCAAGAGCAATTGGCAGTTTGAAGTCTGTGTATTTATACTCGCTAAGATATAGCTATCGCTCCTGACGGACTTCCATTGTAAAAGACTTTTCTCGGTTGATACGCGTGCTGGATATGGACATCAGCAAGTTCGCTATGCACCAGACGGAGGGATCGTTCGAACCCCTTGACAGAAAAAATCCCCGGTGTGTGCACCGTATTTGTCCTGGCGGGACTTCATCTCACGGCGGTGATCCCGGTATCCATATACATTTAGGCTGGCTGTCGTATAGGACACGGCGCAAGTTGGCCACTGTGTTACCGTTCAATCTAATCCGACTTTGGGCTTTGGCCGGGATCCACTTCTCTACCATCATTGCTCCGGCTCTCTTGAAGGGTAGAAGATCATTAGGACTCTGCTCAAAGACAGCCTTCCGCGAGAAGCCAGAGTAGAGAAAGGGACCACAGTCGTAGCTAGGATTGGTGCGCATGACTTCCATTCTGTAACTACCAGTTAACAGCCACTGAACAGGTTCTCGGCTCACTTTGGAAGCCGGAATCTGATATGGGAAGACCCGAGGGGCGGTAAGGTTATAACAAAGAACACTGAATTGTTAGAATGACGAAAACAAATAGTCCATCGTCGAACCCTGCGTGGGGAGCCAGTATCAATCCAGCAAAATCCACGATGGGTGACAACAGGCGCCCATTCTCGCACCCGGCGACCATCAAAGAAGCCATTTCTGATCATTCCCTCATCCACGAGCAGGGCTTCATTGGAGGCCAATGGGTCAGTGGTACAAAAACATTCCCCGTCTACAACCCTGCGACAGACAAAGTAATTGCCAACATCGCTGATCTCGGGGCCAAAGATTTCAAGACAGCAATCAACCATGCTGAAGCAGCTTTCAAGGAATTCCGGCTCACAAGCGAACATGCTCGCTCCAAGATGTTGCACAAGTGGGCAGCGTTGATCCGCCACCACGCCCATGACCTCGCCGTCATTCTGACGTTGGAGAACGGGAAAACCCTACCAGAAGCTGCGGGAGAGGTCGAGTATGGTGCCTCATTCATCAGCTGGTTCGCAGAAGAAGCTATCCGCTCCTACGGCGACGTGATACCTTCTCAGCATGCTCAAAGTACCAATCTGGTAGTCCGCCAGCCCATTGGTGTCTGCGGCATTATCGCACCTTGGAACTTTCCCATCGCCATGGTCACGCGAAAACTCGGACCTGCGATCGCTGCAGGTTGCACTGTGGTCATCAAGCCACCCTCCGAAACACCCCTGTGCACCCTTGCCTTGACTTACCTCGCACAGCAAGCCGGTATGCCGCCCAATGTTATCCAGGTGGTGCCTACGAGAGACCGATCTGCCACCACGGAGCTCTACACCAACCCGATCGTGAAGAAGGTCTCCTTCACCGGCTCCACTCCTGTCGGCAAACTGATCACGGCAGCGGCGGCCGGGACGATGAAAAAGGTGTCGATGGAGCTGGGTGGAAACGCACCGTACATTGTCTTTGACGATGCCGACCTCAGTCAGGCAGTTGATGGTGTTCTGGTGTGCAAGTTCCGCTGCTCTGGTCAAACTTGCGTCTGCGCCAACAGGATCTATGTGCAACGGGGAATACACGACCGGTTCGTGGAGGCGCTGCTGGAGCGCATGCGCACCTTCAAAATTGGCTCAGGTCTGGACCCTTCAGTCACGCACGGGCCACTCGTCAACCGGGCTGGGGTGGCCAAGGTCCGCGCACACATTGATGACGCCGTCAGCAAGGGGGCTCAGCTGATCGTTGGCGGTCGGGTGCCAGGGGAGAACAGCACCAATGGCCAGGGTTATTTTATCGAACCGGCACTGCTGACTGGCGTCACTCAGTCGATGCTGGTGGCCAAGGACGAGACGTTTGGCCCGCTGGCGCCCATCATCATGTTTAACACGGTGGAGGAGGTCATTGCCATGGCCAACGACACCGAGTTTGGCCTCGCTGGCTACTTCTTCGCCAACGATCTGCGCAAGGTCTGGAAGGTCGCCCTCGCCCTCGAAGTCGGTATGGTGGGCGTCAACACCGGCAAGATCAGCGCCGCAGAGGCGCCCTTCGGAGGTATCAAAGAAAGCGGCTTGGGGAAGGAGGGCAGCATGTACGGCCTGGCTGAGTTCCAGGTTATGAAGAATATAACTTTGGGAAATCTGGGCGTTTGAGAAAATAGACATATACAACCGGGCGCCAGCCGGCATTGCTGTGAGAGGCACAGCCAAAAGAAGTCCATCTTTTGTGTAAGAAATCACAACTGGATTGTTTGTTCTACCCACCACAGGAGAATGTCAGTAGTTGCATTCCCGCCACCACCAACAGAAAGAGGTAGAGGACACAGCCCCTTTCCCATCTGGCATCATCAGCGCTGCTTGGAACTGTCCAAGTCCACGCTACCCTCAGAACTGGTTGTGCAGCAAACATCTTCCATCTATGTCCAGGTTCAGTTCCTCCCGGCATGCATTCCGCCGGTAATCAACAGCTCACCGCCCGTCATATAGCTACTAGCAGAACTGAGCAAGTAGACAGCAGCACCCTTGAGTTCCGTGCGGTCAGCCATCCGCTTCATGGGCGGCTCCGAGACAAAGACTTCGGCCAACCCAGGCCTCGTGGCGCTGATGTCCAGCGTCATGTCAGTCATGACATAGCCTGGGGAGATGCAGTTGACGCGGATTCCCGTGGTGGCCAATTCGACGCTGAGCTGGCGACACAGTGCCAGTACCGCCCCTTTGGAGGCACAGTAGTCTGACGTGTACTGGAGCTTGGAGGCTTGGTGAGCAGCGAAACTGGCAATCATAACCACGGAGCCGGCTGCCGGAGGATGCAAAGGGGTCGGAGAGCTCGAGCCGACGGGTCGTTGCGAGGTCATGTGCCGCACCGCAAGTTGAACGGCGTAGTAGGTGCCCAGGACATTGATTTCGAATGTCCGCTTGACACTTGCCGGAGACCGATCCAAGAACGGCTGATCAGGGCAGATGCCCGCCGCGGTGATACTGTTCAGTCAGGGTGAGCTTTTGCCTCTCTTTGTGGTTATGAAAGAAGGACAGCAGTCGGGGGTATTCCGACTCTGAAATTGGGTAGGAGATGGGTGCTTACATTCCATCTATGCGGTGATAGTCTCGGATGATGGCGTCGAAGGTGCTCTTCAGACGTTCGTAGTCGGTGACATCCGATCTGGAGAGGGAAGAAATATGTATATCAGTCTCGTTCTCAATGCCCCTTGGGCCTTTTCGGACGTGTGGCCCAGGTAAGACGAGGTGCGGAAGACTGACTGGTAATATCCGACTTTGACAGCTCTCTGCCTGAGAATCTCAAAATGCTCATGCGGCGCTGGCGATGCATCAACCAATGCGACTAGACCGCCAGCCTCGACAACCGCAAATGCCAGTGTCAATCCAATGCCTCTGGCACCGCCGGTGATGACTACCACGCGATCCTTGAGACTGAAGAGACTGGTCACGTCGCAGTGCAGGTAGGCATCTGTTGCAGTTTTGCCTTGGACGGTGATGCTGGGAGCCGCCATCATGTCTCCGATAGTAGAGAAGAAGTGTGAAGACTTTTGAGCTGCGACAACCAAGGGCCAGTGCATCACACTTGGAGAGAAGCTCAGCAGAGGCGGCGTGGTTTATCCAGTCCGATAGTCATCGCACCAAATCCGTGAGGTCTTAGGCTACGCCGACTGGCCGTGTGCATCGCCTGCTTCCTTCGGTTATTCGCTGCTCTCACATGAAATTGCTTTCTCTTTGGTGGTTTTCAACTCAGAGCCAACTCCAAAGTTCGTTCCATTCTGGTCCGAAAGCGTGAGCAACCAACATGCTGCATTTCATCCATGGCTTGACAAGTCTTGCGCACGCTCGCCTGGGATGGTAGCCGGCGGCCGTTGGTTGCCAGATGACGCTACAATGGTACCGATCAACCTTACAAGGCTTTCTTGAAACACTTTAGTACAGCGTTGGGGTGCGAGAGCCCCGGCTACTTCACAGTGTCCCTCGAAACTCGAAGCTTGGACGTCTCTATAGCCGATGTGCAGGGGATCAAAAGGGGTCAGACTGGCAGGTTACATCCAAGCCAACGGCCGTGAACCCGCAAGCCTGCCGGCTCATGCAAGTGACTTCGTGCTCCGCAAACACGTATGCGAGTTCTCCGCACTTACAACCATCGTTTTCTATCGAACTATGCAGCCAAGCGGGGATTTCAATGATCCCAGAGCTCAATTGCGTGGCCGGATATCACGGCAGCTCCCAACTTGCACATTTTGCCTTGTCATCTTTCTTTCTACTTGGCCAATTCGCCGGTGCCTCATTCGCTTCAGAAACTCGTCTTCTCTCGAGTTTCGATCTCAGTTGAACGAGGTTTGCCGTTTGACTCAGCGTTCACCACCTGTTCCGTAACCTGCTCTCGTTGTTCCTGGGGAAGGCGATCGGACTTCAAAAAGATGTAGTCAATTTCTTCTAGTCCTAGGCCCTTGGTTTCAGGAAACCAAAAGTAGATCATGGGCACGAAGGCGAAGTTCTTGTTCCCGTTGTTAGCCGTTGGACCCGAGGCCACTTTGAATAAGGACAAGACTTACGAATGCCATGAAGACCAGGTAAGTCTTCCAAGTGATATTGTGAACCAGAGTAGGCGTGATTTGGACAATCACAAAAACCTTGACCAAATTAGTATGTTTTTTGGTAGGGGCAAAGCACGAATTCTCTCATGGGGATAAACACACCCAGATCCAGTTGTTGAAGACAGCTAATGCGGTTCCCTGGGCGCGAAGTCGCAGTGGGAGGATCTCGGTACTGTAACACCAAGGTATAGCGTTCAAGCTGGCCCCGAATGAGAGCATGTACTGTCAAGCAGCTGTTAGTCTAACAAGGATGGACAGCCTAAGCCCATAACTCACAGTGATGAAAAACGCAATGGAAACATTGGCTGTTGCCTTCCCTTTGTCCGTTCCACTGTAGGAGAGCAGGATGGCCACCACCATCATAGAAAGACCCATTCCGATTGCACCAAACATCATAGGCTTCTTTCGCCCGAGACGATCAGCTCCGAGAGCTGGGACCAAGGATCCAACCGCAAATGCTAGATTCAGACAGCCACCCACAACAATGGCGGTATTACGATTGAGTCCGACATTGACTTCGAGCACAGTCGCTGAATAGAAGACAATGACGTTGATCCCCGCCCACTGTGTGTCTGATTAGCATTGTCACGGATACAACATAACTGTCCCCGAAGACCGACCTGGTTCATGAACAAGACCAAACACGCGAGAAACACGCGCCATCCAGTCTGGACAGGATCTCGCTTGAAGATGCGAACCCATTTAAAAGGCTCTGCCTCCTCCAACTCAATGGCTTGGAGAATGTCTCGCTTCTCGGTCTCAACCACAGGGTCCTCTGGGACTGTATTCCAGACTTTGCACAGGACAGCCACACCTTCTTCAGTCCGACCTTGTTGAATCAGCCATCGGGGCGTTTCTGGCAGGCCCACCACTAAAAGAGCAACACTGGCTGCCATGGGGATCTGAAGAGCAATTGGCAGTCGCCACGCGATGGGTCCACTGGTGAAACTCATTCCATAGTCGAAGAAATAGGCCATCGACACCCCGACGGCAGTAAAGAGCACTTCTGAAGTGACGAGTCGGCCTCGATGTTCTCTTTTGCACAGCTCGGACTGATACATTGGGACCGTGGACGTGTCGATACCAACTCCAAGCCCGGTGATGATCCGCCCAACCATCATTTGGGGTACCGAGTAGGCAGAGTCCTGAATGACTGCTCCAAGAGCTATGCAAAACATTGCTGCCCAAATAGCATGGCGACGACCAAATCGAGCACCGATGAAGAAGTTGATGGCACACCCGAGAAAGCAACCGACATTGTAAATAGAAACGATGATGCCGAGGAATCCGGGACCAGGATGATGGAAAATGTCAAGAAAATCCGGGTTTGTGATCAAGCCGCCAAAGACGCCCTGATCCCAACCAAAACTGCACGGACCTGGTCAGTTGTTTTGCCTTGACGACAATGGGGATAGGCTCTAGCCCTGGCCTCAAACGTACAGTACAAATGCCGACAGACATGTATAGGTAATGGCAAGCTGGATTGGCCGACCTGATTTGAACCAGTCTCTCGTCATGGTGTGCTTTGGAAAAAAGATTTCGTCGATATTACACCTGGCCGTAGTCTAAGTGAAAACACGAGTTTCTATCTCTAGAATCGTAAACCTGGAGTTAGACCGACCGAAACGCGGGGGTTGGCCCAGAGTATTTGTACCTGCCCCATTACTCACGCTGACGGTGTTTTTGTGGGGAGATCAGCTTTGGAGTTGCATGTAGATCATCTCTTGAGTCTGGTAAGGCTCTGCGATGTTGCTGAACCAATTCGACTTTCAGGGGGGGTTGGGGGAAGAAGGCTATACGGCTTCGGCACATCAGGCTTTTATGTTGCGGTTAACCGGGCATTAATTAATGAGCAACGACCACAACGTTCACCAGTGATGCAAACCTTGAAAGTAGAGGCCCGATTTCTCTCATTTTCCGTCCATGATTCAGGCTTTTCGTAGATCGACAAGCAGAATCGCTGGATAGCGACGGGAAGACTTGAAAATGGTGTATTGTCTTCACATAAAACTCCAGGCTCTTATCCTGGCAGCGCCGGTGAATGGCTCAAGCAACCCGTTCTGCAAGGTAAAAGGGCCTCGAAATGGCGTCGTTGCGTGGATTGTGGGTTACCGACACCGTCATCATCAATACTCGGGTACGTTAACAACAATGCCTCCGGTAGGGACTCGATGCTGGTATTCATGTTCATGTGCAACGAGGCTAGGGAACCGACGACACCTAGAGGAAGGACAGTTCGCACGAGCCAAGCGCGTAGAGGTCGCCGAGAAAGCCGCACCTCTGCCTGATCGGCTACTCACGTCAACACCCTTCGGTATTAGCTAGTGAGGCCAAGCCTACTCGGTACAGTGGGCAAAACCCCCTTTATTCGGCAACGCGGGAATATTCCGTGTGGACTGAACCCTCTTCCGCTGAATGCAACTATAGTTTTACTACCACCGTATGTCTCTGCAACTGTCCATGTTCCTCAATCACAAAAGCACCCGGTCGCGCAATCAATGGAAGGAATATTGTTTGTGCTCCCGACCTAGTATCGTCTCCTGTTGGACCAAGTTATAGGGGGTATGATTCTTCACTGAAGCTTGCAAAACTCCTGAGGAATATTTGATTCTCAATTGCACTGGTACGTCGCCGGGGATTCAAAGCGAGCTTTGGACCAAATGAAAACGGCAAACAGAAAGGGACGCCAGGATCTATCCCAATATCGAATCAACTTCATGATCTGGGCTTACTCTTCTAGTTTGAACGAGCTGGATTTGAGATCGGCGCCCCTGGATGCTCGTACTTTTGCAGGCGTGGCAGCAGATGTGGCTGGGCAAGGGGAGGTAGAATAGGAATATTGCCAATAAAACGCTCCCAGCTAAATTGTACAATGGACAAGACGCCCCCCATCCAGATCAATGGTTTCATTCTCTGTGAAGGCTTCTTAACAGGCGGAATGCACTGGTTACGAATGCCAATATGACCCTTGCGGCACCCGTTCTATCCCCAGCCATCACGTTTCAATTGTGTCTATCCTGGCCCGTCGGGGGAATCCTAGGGTACGTGCCATCACTGTTGGACTCTCCACCAGGTCGTCTTTGGCATATGTTGCGATTGAGCCAATCTTGGGTGTTGTCAACTATATCTCACCAACTATTTCGTCCGATCTGAATCTCGGGGCATGGTTCTCTCTCCCTGAATCTGACGCCAAGTGAGCTGCATAAACTCGAAGCGGCGATCTACTGGCTCGAAGTCGTCATGGCAGATTCCGTTCCCTTGCGGTCTGTCTTCATCCAAACTGTTGCGACCTCGATCTGGTACACGCCAAAGTCGGTCTCGTCGGAGCACAACGCGCCACTGTCTCTAAGTCGAAACTCTTGGATTAGAAGCTCGGGTTCCAATTTCCCCTCTATGGATGATCCAGTCTGCGCACGGACATCACTTGTTTGATGCCAGTCAAAGGGCACAGCATTGTTGAACATCGAGTCGATTGCAAGTAGGAACCACTGTCCTACCTTGTCGGGGACGTCGAAGGTCTCTTGACGCCCAGAATGTTCGATATCGACCAAATGATACATATCGTAATGGGGAGGTCTACAGGCAGAAACGTGATTGGTAGAATTTGCCCGTACAGTGTACAGGATGGCACTCCTGATCATTGATTGGTTGGACCTCTGACATTGGGTTTGAGACTCCCCTTTTCTTTCTTGATCCTTTAGAAGAGGATTAATCAGTCTAGACAACGAGTAACCGAATCAAGGAGTTGCGGACAGTTATCTATCGAGTTATGGAATCTATCTAATCAGGACCTTCTATGCTGTTTTATTGTCGTTGCGCGAGACCCGTTACCCCTACTATTATGCCCACCGCCGTACGAGTTGATACCTCTGGCTAAGAAGCTCGCCCCAGTTCAATATTTGTCTCCTTAGCTCGCCTTCATTTAGGGCATAGTCCTAGGCAGTGATCAAGGACGTGTTTACAATAGGAACAGGGCCTACCTTTCGGCTATAGCCCGTAGTCTAGAGCTCTCAAAACCCTCCGAGGGATGAAAGATAGTATACGATCAGTACTACTCTAGTGTACCTCGGGTATGATTTATTTAAAAGGTTGAACAGCCCGTCTTCCCAGTCCTGTAGAACTTGAACATATTCTCGAAATCTCAGCATATCCCTCTCACGGGTCAACATCACCATGCCATCTCCGCAGTCAGAAGCGATTAAAATAGTATTTGGTGATATTGGAAAGATTCTCAGTCAAGGAAATCTCCCGCTTGACATTACCAGATCTGTTGTTGAACGTGCACATACTCTGGCATCGGAATCTACGGATGTGACCTACGATGAGGTAGACTGCCCAGGGTCGGAAACCCCAGCACTTTGGTGTAAGCCCATTGGGGCCTCTGGAAAACATATTGTGCTTTATTTCCATGGTGGAGGTTACACCTCTGGGAATCCACACATGTATCGAAAATTAGCAGGGCATTTGGGGAAAGCCATTGGCTTCCAGGTCCTGGTGACTGACTTTCGAAAGGCCCCAGAGGCCCCTTTTCCTGCCCAGCACGAAGATTCCACTGCAACATATCAATGGCTGCTTCAAAAAGGCTACCTTCCGGAGAATATTGTGCTAGCTGGTGACTCGGCTGGGGGCAATCTCGCAATTACAACCGCGCTCAGACTGAAGAAAGATGGGAAGAAACTTCCAGGCGCTGTCGTTACTTTCTCGCCTTGGGTCGATATGGAACTGAACGGCAAGACCTTCGAAACGAACTCTGGTACCGACGTTATCATCACTCGAGCTGCTTCAGCCATGGCAGTAGCAGCTTGGCTTCAGCAGGCATCTCCCAAAGATCCCCTTGCGAACCCACTGTATGCGGATTTCGCGGGATATCCGCCTCTTTTTATATCGGCTGGCACCCACGAATCCCTTCTCGATGACTCTGTCAGACTCGCGGAAGTTGCAGAGCGAGCAGGAGTTCATGTTTTCTTTGAGCAAGTTGAAGGTTTGCAACATGTTCACGAGTTCATGGCTGGCAAGGCACCTGAGGTTGACGAGACTTTTGCGAAAGTGAGAAAATTCTTGGAAACGGAGCTGAAGCTGTGATTAGCACTCGCTTCTTGAACGGACAATCTATGCACCGCCCACCAGTAGTAGCATCTTCACAGCATGATTCCCATTGACATGGAGTGATCATCCGTGACTTGTGTAGGATGCCGGTCGGCAAGGGAGTAACACGAGTCGCGGTTTGCGTTGTTAGCCGAGGAGGCCCGCTTTCGCGTCTACTGATTCTGAACTCCGTGTTGGCGCTCGTCCTGTTGCTCCAGACTACCGGCGCCCATACCGAGGTAACATGAGTGCTTGTCGGTCCGAAGATCATACGGAGCAGGTCTGAAATACCGTCTTTTGAATGTCAAGGACCACAAGGTCCCGATGGATTAAACAATATCACTTGTATATATTCAAAATCACCGAGTAGGCCCGATAAGCTTGGATACCTCGTCTATCGGGAATTCCTGATATCATATGTCCAGTCCGGTTGGTATTACTTCCTCCCTCCTCTGGCGAATAGGTGACCCGGCAAAAGTTGATAAGTGAGGTCTAGGTCTGGGAAAATCTGCTTCTGGTCTCCAATCGGCCTTGACATCTGGTAGTCAAAAATAGCATCTCGTTTGGCAAAGCGCCATTGTCCTTGCTCCTTGCGATAGTGGTCTACATATCGTACCAGCATGGTAACTTCAGATACTGCACCATGGTCGCCTAACATGACATGGTATGCAACAACGTATGCCTCACCATGGGCTTCATCCTCGCTGGTGACTGATATGAGATGATTGCACAAGTAGTGACCAGTATAGCCCATGCTGGGCTCGGCCGTCTTCATAAAGGCGATAATCTCATCGGCGTTACAGTGAAACACTTCGCCATGATTGTCGACTGCATCATGAGTATAAAGACTGCGCATCAATTCGCTATCCCTTTGATCGGCAGCTCGAGAATAGGGCATCACTAGGTCGCGTATTTTGTCCTTCGCAATGAGTACAGCTAACGTGTCCATCGCTACACGGAGCGTTGAGGGATGGTAGTGATCGCGAATGGTATTATCGTTCTGTTCAGGGTTGTAGGACTGTAGTCAAGTAAGGTATGATTATGGATAGCCTGGAGGGTATTTGAGATGCCCCCAACACCTAGATATAGTTCTTTTCCTGAGTGCCAGCGGTCTTTTCGAAGTTGTGTCGAGACTCCAGGACTTTGCAACAAAGACACGGTCCCATCCGCCAAGGAAGACGGGTTTTGTCTTCATCCCGGCTTGTTCTCCTGTGTAATATTCCTGTCCAAGAAGGCGCAGTCGCAAGTCTGGCACAACTTTCAAAGACCATCGCACTATAGGCTGGAACCTTACTACTCAGAGGGATACTATAGCTACTCATCTTCTTACAGAGTGTACAGGCTCATTTGTAGCGACTACACCCGCCAAAGGTCACATTGCATTGCCTCTCCTCGCTGCCTCAGACAATAGAGACTGGAGATCTTTCAGATAGAAGTTACAGCCTTGTTCCATCTGGCTGTAATGCACCCGTCCCCTTGACATGAACTTCTTTAAGTATCGGTCCAGAAATCTCAAATGGCCTGCATGGTAACGTCACCGCCACGAATCTTGCAGGTTCAGTCTTGGAGGCATTGATCCATTTATGCATTGTGCCTCGTTGAACGATATGGTCCTGAGATCTGTCAGCAATCTTGATACTGTTATTCCCAGAATATGGCAAGACTCACGCCAGGCTTCAAATGTGCCGTCTGCCCGCTATCCAGCTCACAAATAATTTCTCCGATGGCGCAGATAGTGAAATCAATGCTCACAGTCTGATGCATGTGGCTCTCCCCTCCCGGCGAAAGATCCAAAACAATGAGGTTCGCTCCCTTTGGTAACACGCTACCGAGAACCTTGTAACCGCACGGGCTTTCTGAGGGGTCTTCACTCCTGTACGCCTTCACGTCCACTTCATCTTCTAATGAGCAGGGGACTTCCGGAACAGCGTAAGATCGTGCTCTTCCGCCCACGTTGTGAATCCCAAAATAGAGCTGGTTTGGCGATGAGTGGTATATTGACTTTCCCCCACTGTCATGGGTAGTTATGTAGCGTTTGTTTGGTGGCAGATCGGTAGGACTTGCAGTCCACGCGCCTAGACTCGACGAGGTGAAGTTCAGCCAAGCTGTCTTGAAGACGACTTCTTTACCTTTCCCAGAGTGCTAATGTACCCAGGCACACACATCAGATGGTGAAACCAAAAGCCACTGAGCAACTCACGGAGAGTTGTACGAGATACCCCACGATCGAGCTAGCTGTACCCCACGGGTCGCTCCCCCGTTCCCCAGCAGTAAACTTGGCATACGACTATCACATCCCGGGACACGGAGCCTTCCGTGCAATTCAAACTTGACCCCTTCCATGATCAACCATATTGCAGGATCAGTGTGTTGAGTCTTGGCAATAGAGCTTTGGACTCGTTCAGTTGGGCTTTATCAATAGGATTTTCCACGCCCCGATCCTACTCAGACAGGGGCCGTCGCGACAAAGAACTCCCTGGGCAATTGAGGCGGCGCGCGTTCGAACTTGAAATCTAAAAGTACGAACTTGACACGGCAGCTTACGTTGGGCGCTTGTTCATTTTTGCAAATTTCAGCTGTATTTTATTCATTCTGAATATCCTCCTGCGCAGGATATCTCCTGGCGAAAGACTCAGCATGAATCGACTCGGGCTGTTGTACAAATCCGAACTCAATGACGACGCGAAAAGGTTGGCCAACAAATTTGACTTGTTCGACAAATCGAGGCCTGGAAAGTATGTGTTTTCCTGGTGATAATCCACATAGTCACTTAACCATACTTTCTGCCAGGAAATCCATTCGACAACAGGATGGCCGCTTTATTGGACCATTTGGGGTACAGCTGCATACGCCCATCCTTGGTGAACACCTGATAGAAGTGGCCAATAGCCTTGCACAGCTTCCGGGACTGGATTTCAAAAATCGCGAGATTGCAATTGTGACGACTGGTGTCAAGTTCAATGCTGCCTTTGAGCTCCTTGCACATACCAGACACGCCTTACGCGCTGGTGTTACACAGGCAGAAATTGATGCGATACTACGAGGAGAGAGGCCCGATACTTTCGATGACCATGCTAAGGCTGCCTACGATGTTGCACATGAGTTGGTGAATAGGCCAGGCCCATTGTCCGAGGAGCAATGGGCTCGCGCGGTTGAGCTCTTTGGTAAAGAAGGTGCTACCGCCCTCATCCATTTCGTGGCCTTCTACTCTAGTGTATGTGTAGTACTCAATGGCTTTGACTGCAAGATCCCTGACGGGGAAGCTTGAGATTTTGATATTCTGATATAACATCGATTACTAGCTTTCATGGCACACGAGCACTTTCACTGGGAAGAGAGCATCATGTATTTTAGACAACCTCTGTAGTAGAATATCTTGCACAAATGTCAACGCCGTTCTTCTTTCCTCATCGGATATGCTCAATTCTTAGATTAAACTAGGTAATAAAGTATCGTTTCCGACTACCAGGCCTCCTGACAAACCTGGCTAGGTCTGCACCTCTTGAACTTACAACATAATTAGTACAAAGTTGAAATAATTCTATGTCAAGACTGGCCTATTGCGCATCTGTATCCAGCGGGAGAGTTTCAATCTTGAACATAAAACGCCAGGTCAACCTGTTCACCTCTCGCCGCAGCTTTTGCGGCATGCTCCTCCAGCTCGGTGAATCCGTTGCCCAGGACTCCCCGCCAGCGATTACCGCTGTTGTAGCGAATGTCCCAGTCCTCAGCTCTCAGCTCCGCGATCATGACTTCGCGATATAATAGCGCACTTCCGGGCCACGCAGCAGTTACCCGTCCACCTATGCGATGGTTCTTGTACCAACTTCGACATCCGCCCGTCCAGGCTAGCCCTTTATGGATCTCATCTCCGTAACGGACGAATTCGTCGGTTGCATCCTGACTAGGTGCCACAGACTTGATGTCCTCGGAGGCCATCTTCTTCAGCCACCGGAGAATATAGTCGGCTGTCCATGAAATCGAAGGGAGAAGTGTGCCGTGACTGACAGTCGCGTTAGGGCCAGTGAAGATGAAGTAGTTCGGCATGTCAGGGCAGGCAAGGCTGAGATATGACTCTGGCTCTTCAGCCCATTTGGATGCGAGTGTAACATTATTGCGGCCCGTAACAGGGTACCGTGGAATGTAGGAGACATCAAAGCCAGTCGCACAGACAATGACGTCGAACGTGTAGAAGGCTGCTGCTGTTTGAATACCTGAGGGCGTAATATTGATAATGGGATTTGTTTCCAGTGTCACGTTAGGACGGAGGAAGGATTCGAGGTATCCCTCGCCAGGTGTGACGCGCCGGCAACCAAATTCCCAGGTTGGGATAAGTTTCGAGCAGAGCTCTTCATCATTCTGCAGTATCGATCTCATACGTTCAACAGACACTTCTTGGGCTTTCGTGTTTTCGATCGAGCCCCTCTTGAACTATCGTCATTGTTGATTAGCATGGATAGCTCCAAAGGGGGAACGCATGGAATAGGCATCGAGGACATACGAATCTGTACCCCTTGTTCATCCCTTGCTGCAGCATCTTACGATACTGGCGATACTTCTCTTTGTCCGTTGCGAATAATCGTCTGACTTGCCTTGGATACCTTGGGTTGAAAGTACTGTCGCCCTCTCCATCATCGTCTTCTATTTCCTCCGTGCTATAATGTCCATTCCCGTTCTCCATGCTTGTCTCCTCGGTATTGACTCCCAGTTCTCCGGCTTTTACGTCGAGGGTCTCGCCTATTGATGGTGTGATATAAGTTGGGCCACGCTGGAAGCTCACAACTGTTGTGCCTTCCAATTTGACCATTTCTGGCAGGATCTGGATGCCCGATGACCCGTTACCAATGATTCCAATGCGTTTGTGGCTGTAATCGTAGGTATTGTCCCATGAGGCGGAGTGGACTTTATGTCCCTCGAAGTCGTGGATTCCTGGGATCGACGGCCAGTCCCATTGACTACGAGGTGATTGTTAGAATCACAACAGTCTGAGGCATCAGCTGCCACTGACTCACGAGCCCAGCACTCACTGATTCTTATCGAGAATGGTCATACCTTAATAGACCCTTGGCAGAGAGAACAACGTCAAACAGCTCTACTCTTTCCTCTTGGCAATTTTTTGAACCCGAACTTTCCACATGGATTGATCTTTCTGCCAGTCCAAGCCCACTACGCGTGTGTTGAATTGGATATCACGGCGTAGCTCCCATTTCGTTGCTGTCCGTCTGATGTACTCGTAGATCTCGCTGCCGCTGGCGTAAAACCTCGACCAGTTTGGATTCGGGTCGAAGGGGAATGCCTGGGTGTCACAGTAGTGTTAGAGCTGTACAAAAACAGCCTTTGGTGGAGATACAGCCAAAATGACACCGGAGTACGGGATACTAACATAAATGTGTGCTGGTACGTCACATTGAACACCAGGATAAGTGTTCACCTTCCAAGTTCCTCCAACCTCATCGTTTGCTTCAAAGATGGTGTGGTCGATGAAATCCTGCATTTCCTTGTGTTCATGTTGAAGCTTGTGCGCGAATATCAGCCCCGAAAAGCCAGCACCAATGGTAGCAACCCGGAGGGTTCGCTTGTGATATGCAGGTCCTTCAGAGACAGGAACACATATCTGCTTGAGCCGCTCTGTGGATACCATGGTGACAAGGCGAATGGAACAGACTTGGTAAAATTTTTTCTTTAAGTTTTACCTCACTTGGGTTTCAGCGACATACTCTTTCAACAGGCTAAGCCATGGGGTGAGATACGAGAAGTATCATATAAGGAATGAAGGGAATAGTTAGAGCGCACAACAATCAACCCGTCCTCAGGTGATACCTCCTCATCCGCCAGAGCATTCACAATGAGCATGCTCGGGTCCGAAAGTCCCCCCGGCTACCGAACCTACTTCTTTCCGGCTCAACGACACTGAATGTTGACGGCGTGTCAATTCTCCATCGGGAAGAAATGCGTTGGAGAGAAACAGGGGCCCAAAGGTCCTCATATGAACCCTTCTTACCGTTCCATGTGGCGGATGCTTCGGGTCGGCCAGGAGGGATACATGGGCGAGTCGTGGTAACTATGGGCTTCCGAGGCCCTAATACTCTATTTGCGGGGAAATGCCGAATGCTAGTGTCTGGCCCCACACTATTAGATATCGCAGCTATGATTAGCTGATAGGGGCCCACTGCTCTCACTTGTGGGATTTAGTCAATATGTTCAATCAACTTTAAACACTCCTGACACTTAGGGGATAATCAAATCACCAGCCATCAGGGCTTGATATCCTACCCCTGAGACCCTTGCTATATGTAATAGTTGCCCTTTCCATACATCAGTTTTTCCCCTGGCGCGATTGGGTGTCTCCAGCGGCCAAATACATTGGTAACTGTAGGGCCCTCGCCAGAGGTAGTGCTACCGCGAGGGACGAAATTGACTCCAGGCTGACAATGAGAGAAATGTGCTTATATGAGGTCTCAGAGCGTGCGAATCTCGCATGGCATTTCCTAGGTATGGGAAGGGTCCTCTTTGCTCGCCTACCTCCTCCCCACTGTGGGCAAGATCAGGGCAAATTAATTGCGAGAAGTAGACGAATGTAACGCCCTGCGGAAGTGATTCATAGGCCAAAAAATACTATTACATCGATGGTGGTGCATCCGTAGCACTCCAAACTTCGTAGTGCATAGCCTTTCATGCTATTGCTACAAGTTCAACTCCGGGCTCTTCAAATCTACTATGGTCGGATCAAGGTCCGTCCCCGCCATGTTTCAGGAGCTACACAGGGCGGAAAATGACGTTTCTTCAGGAATACATTATTACAGCGTACTATACCAGGCACGGACCTCGGGGACCATCGGAGCGCCTGTTGTATCTACGAGTAGTAGAATCGTCTTGCATTCAGGCGTTTAAAATTGAGCTCATCAGTGAATGCAAGATTTTGGGGTTCACTTTGTGTTGCCAGTACGCGCTTCCCTCTATCAAGACTCATCTCGTCCTCTTGCCAATATGCCTTTCGGAACTATTAAGACCTCGGAATTTTCGAAGAATATTCCTATACATTCACGTGTTTTCCCCGTCGAGGAGAGTACCTATTCGGACGTTGATGTACTGGCCATTCAGTACCGTACTTCATCCAGCGCTGTAAAGTTCTACTTCCTGAAGAGTTTGAGATTGAAGATGAGCCAGTTGCAAAGGCTGTGCTGTTGCGATACGGCATGGCTAGAACCGGGGCCTATCACGAGTTTATTCATCAAATCGAAGTCAAATTCCAAGGCAAAGTTTATGACTATGCCGTCTCATTGATTCTGGACAACGAAGCTGCCATTTACGGTGGCAGGGAGGAGGTTTGGTATTCCCAAAACCTTTGGTAAATTGGTCTTCGATCTCGGCCAAAATGGTGGCACCACAGCAGGTTTCTTCTCAGGACGCGTGGAGAGACCAGAGGGTGTCCCTCTCGCGTTTTTCGGTTTCAAACCCAGGGATAGGCGTCCCTACGGCGAGCTGCCCCCAACACAGAAGCCGGCGATGAACCTCTGAATCATTCCCAGTCCTAAGCTGGGCGAACCACCATCTATACGGGAGTTCATACCAATATACATGGATTTTGAGAGAGGCGAGGTTTGGACAGGCGAAGGGTCTTTGGCTTATTCAGGATTCTCAGACTTCGACCCGCTACACAAATTACCCGTCCTCCGGTATGAAAGTGCGACCCTTGTTCGACGAGCAGAAGCGCGTATGCGCCCTGTCACTGAAGTCTTCAAGGTCTAAAGACTTTAACATTGGCCAGGGGAATTAATTTGTGTGAATGAAGACGGCCAGGTAACATAGACGGCTAGAAGCTTGCCATATAGCTGTCTGGAATGTCTTGTGATAAGAATACATGTTCAATTCTAACTATTGAGTCAAAAATGGCGAGTCATTTCCGCTACCCTGCGTGTATTATTATACTTTCTCGTGGTTGAAACGCACGAAATGGTACCTTCCCAAGGCAGAAGTCCTCTTTGGTGGAGTTTCATATAATTTCATATTCTGAGCTGGTATTACACATTATTGGCTGTACTGTAGGAGAGACACTAGACCAGCTGGCTCCGACCCTCAAAGTAGGCGAGGAATGCCATATCCGTATCATATTGATCCACTGTACACCCATTTGAAGTGCTGGGTGCCAAATTGAAGCCAAGGTCATTCACGCTGTTGTCTGTTTGGGGAAGAAGAAAGTCCTTGACTGGTAATTCAGTAGCAAAGTCGTAGGGTCTCGGACTCTCCGGGAGGTGTTCATCCCAAATTGAGGCACGATTGAAATGATCAATCTGTGTGGGCGGCTTCGTCTGCAGCTAGTTAGTGATATTCGACACGGCGTAGATTACAATGGCTCACCCGTTCTCTGTCGTCCAGGGAATACAGGAAGTTATTGGGGTTGGGATTTTCGCAAGAGTAGGATTCGGAGTCTTCATATGTATCAAGCACAGGAAGCGACTCGTCCAACGTCTCATTGAGAGGGGAAGATGCAAGGTACATGAGATCCACGAACTCAGGATTCGAGAGAGAAAAGGTTGGACTCAGAGTGAAATTGTTAATATCGTCAAAGAAGCTTTCGAGGGCAGGGTCAAGGGCAATATCCGACAAGTCTTTTTTCACGGAAATGAGGTGCGAAAGCGGTTGCACGAGGGGCTTGATCTTCACATGTGGCGTTATAGACCAAACTAGCTTTTCGCCGTCGTTGTGGCTGCCCTTTTTCAACAGTCGAGATCGCATTGCCGGCCTTGATTGATTAGTGAGATTGACCTCTTCGGTAAAAACTAAAAGTCAACTCACCAATATATGCTGTCGAGGAACATGCAATGTCGATGGGTAAATTGAACTGGCCGTGGTCGCTGCCACCGAAAACATTGCCTCCAGTTGTTTGGGGTCGGAAAGCAAAGAAACTAGCGAGCTACATTAGCAGAGCATTGAATCAAGGAGAGTAAAGTCTTTCCTACCAGGTAGTACTTGTAGTAAGCCCAGAATGTACACATGAATTCCACCGGGGAGTGGTAGATGTGTTTGAAGTGCTGGTTGGCGTTGAATGAGCATAACGCGGCGGCTCGTCGGAGGCGTTCCCTCTCACTCAGATCAGCGAGCAGTTCTTTCCGTTGCGGAGGCTTCGACGGTGATGAGAAGTCCTTGCCATAGATGATGGCATCGTAGATATCGCGAAACAATGTCTTGATACGCAGATCTCGGTCCACCTCCTCTATGGCGACATAAAATCATCAGTAGGCGGCCTGCTTGAGGGAAGGGCTCAACTAACCGAGAGTGAGATTAATGTAGTCGCAGTGATCTATCAAAAACCTCAGGTTGTCGCTGGCATAGCCATGGCGAATCTTCCACGACATAAATGTCTCGAGCATGTCGTTCATTGATATCTCATCTTCGCCGGGCTGACAGAGGTGCTTGTTCTCCTGTCCCAGCTCCCAGAAGAGGGATCGCCTTGCGCCACACCACGGCACTTGTTTCCACACTCCCTGGGGTTCAAGCTGAGCACAATTCAATGCACAGGCGTCTATTGCTTTCCTGTTCGCTTGTCGGCGAGACGAATTACTCTTCGCCTTATCTTCAATGGTCGTTTGTGGACCCGGGAGAAAGTGTGGTTCTTCTAGGATTATTCCCCGTGCAAGCTCTTTTGGTTGTCTGGGCACGGGACTCTCCTTCAAGAGTGGCTGGGAGGCAACATAGACGAGGTCTAGTCAAGATAGGCAGCTCACTGTGAGACATCATGTCCAAATTGAGCCTGTCTTGCCCAGGTCAGCAAACTGCTACGGCACCCTGCGACCTTGTTTGTGGTTGAGTTGATGTGATTTCAAGGACAATGGAGGCATTTCTGCACCCAGCAGCCTACTGTCGGTTTCGAGAGTGACCAGTCAACATCCTGGCCAAGAGAAAGCATGCTCTACGAGACCCAAGTACAAGTACGCAGTTTCTCCTGCTTACCACCATCAACATCTTCAAACACCACGCTTTCGCTTGCCCACTCCCATCGTGATCGACGTCATCCTCCTAGACCCTTCTCCGCTGTTAACTCTTGACGCAAACTCATGGGTGTCGCGCTCTCACGTGTGGAGCAATATAAAGCCCGGTCGATGGGAAAGTAAGCATCTGGTCCAGACCGCGAGAGGGCAGCTCCCATCAAGCGAAGGACATCTTTCCTGGAATACCCGTCACGTTACCTCGTTATTTGAGTTGTTCATGCTGCTTAAGGACAAAGCTAGGTCAACTGGGATACACACGAGTCGTGGTATCGACGCCTGCCGAGGGTAATGCAGAATAGCGGCTGCACCTAGTCCGAAAGTGGATAGTATGCAGCCTCGTCATGGCCGATGGCATGTTCCAATTGGGCCGTGGCTTGATTCAGAGTGTTACTTCAGGGGCATCTCAACTCATAATTCGATGTTGAGATTGTCCCACGGGGAACGTGCCCCACGAAGAATATATGGGCATTGAATTCTGATCAATATATAGAGAGAGAGAGAGAGCAAGGAACTCCAGACTCTTCTCATGGGCACTCACAGCTTCCTCAAACCATGCAGATCAAGATCCCCGCCCTTCTACGAGGTCGTCGCGAACGGCAGACGGCTACAGACGCAAACGGACAGTCCGCAAATGACAGCGATCACAAGGCCACTATGGATAGCAAGCATGAGAGCATCGCTCTGGAGAACGGAGTTCAGCATTTTGAGTCTGCTACGGACACATCGGATGCACAGGGAAGGGTAACAGGGCGCGTTATTTTAGCCATTGCTGTAAGGCCAGGATTCCATTTCTCTAGCATCTCAGCCGCGATATACTGACAAGCATCATCCAGGCCCTTGGGTTGACATATGAGGCCGCTCTTTTCTCCTTCGTCGTGCCTGCAGCTGTCCTCTTGACCATCAATGCAGACATTGGCCCGTCAGCCAATCTGAGCTGGGTTGCTACGAGTTTGTCATTGGCAAACGCGGTTCTGCAGGCGACTTTTGGTCGCGGGGCAGATATCTTCGGCCGGCGATACTTTCTTATCTGTGGCAATATTTTTGGACTTGTCGGTAGGATCCAACTCATTGTTGATGCTACGACTTGAAACAATAGCGCTGACCTGCGCAAAGGAACTTTAGTCAACGGACGGTATGTCACACCCGCTCGTGCACTTCAATGGCTGAACTCGCGTGTAGTGCCAACTCAATCCGAGTTGTGATTGCAGGCACCGCTATCCAGGTTCGTTCCATGTGCTCTTCCTTCTCTCTATCGTAATCTCATCCAAGCGCAGGGGATCGGTGCTGCCCTTCAACAAGTTGCATATGTCTCCGCCTTTGACATTGTCCCAAAGAAACATCGAGAGGCAACTCTGTCTGCACTCAATCTTGCTGCTCTCCCTGCTTCAATGTTTGGAGCTATTATCGGTAGGTGCAAAGGATTGGATTGAGGCCCCTGAAGCTGACTACATGGGTGCCTAGCCTTTTCTGTGGTCAAGACATTGAGCTGGCGCTACACATACTATTTTGGCACCATGATCAACGGGATAGCCCTGATAATGGTTATCGTATTTTACTGGCCACCAGGATGGGTTGGACTCCGTCCAGATGGCAAATCACGCACCCAACAATTGAAAGACCTGGACTATGTTGGCGTGCTTCTCATGGCCGGTGGTTTGATTTCTTTCTTGCTGGGCGTCTCATGGGGGGGAACCCTTATCCCTGGACCAGCGCAACCGTCCTCGTCCCACTACTAGTCGGAGGTATTGTTCCTCACTCCATATCGCCGTATGAGACATCTAACGCCGTGACAGGACTGACTGTGGCGACCCTTTTACCCCTTTGGGAGTTCTACGCCCCGGCCGATATGGACAGACTGTTTCCCGGGAAATTGATTACAAATGTCAGATCGGTCATCCTACCGCTCTTCATCACCTTTGCTTCCGGTCTTGCGGTAGGTGCTCTTCACACTTTCAAGTACAAATGGTATTTAGAGCAGCACTGACATTTATCGGCAGCTCTATGGGCTCCAGGTTTACTGGCCTCAATGTCTGCACCCAACTCTTCACGTCCGAGCCATTCTGACATGCAGATAGTGATTCAAACCCTGTTTACCACAGACCCTGATCGGGCTGGCTGGCTCAGCTTTGTACTTAATGCCGCCGGGACTAGTGAGTATCCCCAGACGAGCAAATCTTCCATGTGTTGTCATTGACATTCTCCTACAGCCGGAATCATGACATCGGGGATTTTCTTTGGTATCCTAAGGCGCACGCGACTCCAACTGGTCGCATATACTGCGCTACAAACTGTTTTTCCGGCAGCGATGTCAACCATCACTCAGCACTCACTTGCGCGGGCTGTAGTTCTGGCTATATTCACTGGTTGGGCCCTCAGCTCGACCATGATCGTCAGTGTCTTGTTTGTCCAGTACGGAGTGGGCGACGATCGCCTTGGTATCTCGAACGGGTAAGTTCATTACCCGCATTTGGTGACAGCCCTGAGAGGACATCGAACATGACGAGAAAACAGGCTGCGCGGAACCATTGTGAACTCCGGAGCCGCCATTGGGTTTGCGATCTACAGGAGGATTGTCAACAACAAGGTCAAAGATACCATGGGGCCAGCCATGGCCACGGCTTTGGTCGGTGCGGGATTACCAGCCAATTCAGTCGAACCGTTTATTGGTGAGTAAACCTGTCGGAACCAGGGCTTTGAGGTAAGATTAACCAAGGTGTAAAGGCGCTTTCCTGACAGGAAACTCCACCGTTCTCGCCGGAATCGATGGGGTGACGCCAACCGTCCTGGCAGCCGCAACAAGCGCATCTCGAGATGTGTACACCCAGGCATTCCGAATCCTCTTCCTGGTCACCACAGCCTTTACTGGTAAGTCTACAAAGAACTCGAAAGTCTCCAGTACTAATGCTGTCTAGGCGCTGCCTTTATTGGTAGCCTCTTTGTCCCAAGTGTCGATATTCACTTGACTCAGTAAGCTACCAACACACATCTGAAGTCTACGGCTAACATACATAGAGATACTGCTATTCAACTCGATAAGCCCCACGTCATTGGACATGGTGAAGGTGAAGCAAAGGTTCTCACAGAAGAAAGTGCTTAGGAGATACTCAGGGAGTGGGCGACCGTGATATTGTCATGCTGGGCAAAGACATACCATTCGTGAAACAAGTCGTTTGAACTTGCGCCAGCATTGAGACAAGTGACATACCCTCTGGGAACTGCTCTCGGGAAGCATTTACTCTGTGTTATGACTTCAGAATCATTCTCGTCGAGATCCATACATGGGCGAGTTTGTTTTGACCAGAAGAAGATGGCACATATATGCCCTGCAGTCGAGTCGTCTACGTATAACATATTCAGAAATGCAAATGCAAATTCCAAACACACAGACTTTCCCGTGACCTTTGCTGGAACTTCAGTATATTTGATGTGCATGGAGGGGTCTGCCACCCGAGGAATCTCTATGCATCCCCTGCCACACGCAATGCTCCTACCCATGTTTTCACGCCTGATTCCTTTGGTCTCCCCAACAGAAGCCTCCTCTAGACCCAGCTAGCCTATGGCTGGGCTCTCCGAGCTCGGCACTGCGTAAAAGCTGTAAGCTATGCATTTAGCTCAATATTCTCTGGGCTCAGCTTCTCGTTCCGACTTCCTAGGTCTCTTGTTCCCAGGATTCTCCAGCTTCCCAAGCACGCTCCAATCTCGGGCCCCCGGGGGGTCTCCGCTCTCCATGGCGGGCCCCGGTCTTCCGTGAATCGTCGGCCCGCCAGCTCACTGTTCTCTATCATTTCACCGTTGCAGGCTCAATCTCGTCGCTTGGGGTATCATGGAACTGACCATCGGTCTTCTTGCCTGAGGGAGCCTCACCCTCTCATCGCTGAGCACGCCGTATCCGAGAACCTTCCAGTTCCCCCGGGACCCCCCTTACCTGCGTGCACAGCACGACTCGTGGTAGCTCATCCCGGAAGCAAACAGAGCCGGACCTACAGGGGTGCCGAGTTGGACATGTCATTTTGCATACTTAGTCTACGAGGATTCCCTCGACGGTAAGCGAAATGTCCAGCCTTGGAACCAAGCATCAACAACCACAATCATCCATACTTCTTCCAACATGGCAGATAAGACTCCAGTTCCAGCCTCAGAGATTGAGCACGTACATTCTGAGATGGATGTTCCCCCTCAGCTCGAGAAGACCCACGTCGAAGAAGATTGGACTGCCGAAGAAGAGCGAAAACTAGTGTAAGTGATACAGAAATCATGAAGCACGGTTTACCTGTATAATTAACTGGGTGAACTAGGCTCAAGATTGACCTGCGCATCCTGCCGTATCTCTCGGTGATCTTTGGCTTGTCTCTGCTTGATCGGATCAATGTTTCGGCAGCATATATTGCAGGCATGAGCACTGATATCGAACTTTCTGTCGGTGAGGAAATGGAAATGGAGCTCGCATGAGCTTAGTAGCCCTAGAAGACTAACATGGACTCAAGGTGCTCGGTACTCGATGAGTCTATTGTTCTTCTTCATCACCTATGTCTTGCTTGAGATCCCCAGTAATTTGGTAAGTTAAAGCCCCCCGAATTGTTTATACCGTGCCTGTTGACCTAGGATGGTTTGATAGATTATTCGACGAGTCGGCGCCAGATGGTGGCTGAGCTTCCTGATCACTGCCTGGGGTATCTGCGTCATGTGCATGGGGTTTATACAAAGCTGGGTCCCATTGGTCGTCCTCCGTGTTCTCTTGGGGGCGTTCGAGGCCGGTTGTGAGTTGAAGGCTTCCGATACCGATTACATGGCCCGGCTAATACGGCCTTGACAGTGTTTCCGGGGGCGGTCTTCCTGATCTCTGCATGGTACAAGACTTATGAAACGGCACGAAGAGTGTCATGGTTTTATATGGCCTCGCTGATGGCTTCGGGGTTCAATGGTATTGTGCGTTCATTCCTAGCATTCCTGACCCAAGGTTCGTCATGGCTTACAAACGGTCAGATTGCATACGGCCTGTCGTTGATCAGGTCTGGCAGTGGCACCTATCGGCAAGGGTGGAGATTGATATTCTTGATCGAAGGCGCCATTACAATATTTTGCGGCTTGATAGGTCCCATCTGTCTCGGAGAATGTCAGGCTTCTCCACAAGTTTGCAATTTGGACCCGTCCTGTGCTGACTCTCTATTCGCAGTTCCGGAACACAGCAAATGGCTCAACGAGAGGGAGAGGCATATCGCCACCGTCCGACTGGCCAACGAGCGCTCGGGCAGAGAGTAGGAGCATCCAACCCTCAGGCAAGGTTTGAGACTCCTTATGGACTGGAAAGATGCTTTCTAGTAAGTTCACCCTCCTCGAGTCTACCGTCGTGTGCGATCTTGGGGTGTTGACAGAGATCAAGCTGCCTCCAGGCCTACCTGGGCGCGTGCAGTGTGTATGCATTGGGCTACTACATGCCAATAATTCTTCGTCAGGGAATGGGATTCAGCTACGCCTTGGCCCAGATCTTGTCGAGTCCGCCATATGTATGTTGTGACCCCATGACCGTTGCTACACCATCCACTCCGACCCAGATTAGCTCTTAACATGGCGTTTCTGACTAGATCCTGACTGTTTTTCTCTAACTCCTGACATATTGGTTGTCGGACAAGACGAAACTACGCTGGCCGTAAGTGGACATCCAATTCTCCCCCGAAAGACTTTGCTGACACCCAACAATTTGAAGGTTTCTATGTTTCCACGCCTTGGTCGGGTAAGTTGTGCTGGTCGTTAGTTCTGGAATTGCCCTAATTTCCGCTATATAATTCTCCCCTGCGCAAAAGCTAACAGAAGACACCATTGCTAGACTTGTTGGGCTCATCATCGTCCTCTACGCTAAGCCACCCGGGGTGCGCCTCTTTGGGGTTTTCCTGGCTATATTTGCCACCAACGCCAATGTGCCAGGAAATCTGACTTATGGACAAGGCCAGACCGCTCTACCACACAAGAAAGGTCTGGTGGCGGCGGCCCAGGTCGGGTTTGGTTCTATTGGGGGAATTACCGGCTCAACCATCTTCAGATCGCAGGATGCGCCACAGTACTTCCCTGGGATGTGGGCGACCATCAGCTTTCAGATCCTATACATTGTCATGACGTCTGGCATGAGCTTGTGGTTGACGAAGAGAAACCGTGACGCGGATGAAAAGGGGGAGATCCTCGAAAAGGTGGAAGGATTTAGGTATGCGCCATGAGGAAGAGGTTGGTTGAGGCGGTATCAGATCTGACATATTCGCCGCCAGAGGACGAACTCAAGTGTCGGTGCGCGTTACAGGTACAAGTATACTTATAGTATCTATAGGATATGACCCAGACAATCTACACATTTGTTCATACAGAAAACCAATGGCCTCGAGCACTGCAACGGCTCGCAAACGGTGAATTTCCTCAGACCGCCATGGGGCCCCAGACTGCGGCCATCATATTCCGAAAGTCGAAGAGCAGCGGAGAATAATGACCGGGGGGTTTGCCACCCAGTGGCGCGCCTTTCCTCTCCTCCGCTGGGGTTTTCAGTGGGGTTTACGGTGCCAATCTAATTGGAAGGGCTTCTAACGAAAGGGGTTTTCCCACTCGGATGGAGGATACGATGGTTGACGGGGTTTTTTCAGTTTTCCCACCGGAACTTGGAGAACGGCACTAAAGGCAAGGGGCTAGAGCAGAGTAACTCTCAAGCTAATCAACCCCAGATTCACAGCTTCCTCCTTCTCCTCGTCCCATGGGGTTATTTCGGTTTGTCCCGGACCACATGCACCCCGCATTACCTGGCCAGGAATCCTTCCGCAAAGTGGCGGCAAATTACACCTGGAATCTGGAGCCTGACACCAGCTGGTTCAACCCTCCCAGGAATGGTTTCCACTGTCCCGGGCGCACGTTGTTACCCACATGTACCCAAAAGTTTGGGGAAATGCCACTAAAGGAGCTGACATGGCATCTTAGCAAGGCTGTATCCACACTGTCCCCTCCGGCCATTGGAGCGAAGATCATGAAGCGAGATGTCTAAGTTGAGGCCCCCATGGCCTCTTCGCTTGAGCATTGCTTGGTTTTTGGAGTACTCCTGAGTCTCGATCCTGGTTCTTAACCGAGACCCGAGGGTAGGGGCAAACTATTGCGTGGGGGAAAACAAGAGTGAATATACAAGTATATCAGGGGATGTGTTGACTCCTCCACCGCTGACCGCGACTCTTCTCCCCTTGCATTCCGACCTACTGTCCCAGAGCACCGTCAAAACACCGACTGAGAGTGACCGACTGACCACCATGATCTCCCTCGTACAATTTGGGGTACAGAGCGAGCTCCTCCTGCAATGGAGCACAAGCAGCTGACACACTCGACAGATTGTTTTATTCGTCGGCCTGGGGAGTATCACCTATGGCTACGGATCCAGCATCATTGCTACCACCACTGGACAACCCACCTTTATTTCCTACTTTGAGCTTGATACCAGATCCAACGCAGATGATCTTTTGGGGGCCATAAACGGTCTCTTCTCCGTGGGAGGCTTGTTTGGCTGCATCTCGTGCTTCTGGATTCCCGACAAATGGGGTCGCAAAAAGGCAATCATGTTTGCGTCTTTTACATCCATTGTGGGGAATGGCCTCGCCGCGGGGAGTGTGCACATTGCCATGTTTATCGTTGCCAGACTCATCACCGGCTTCTCCGTGGGAGCCCTGGTGAGTCTTGTTCCACTGTACCAGAGCGAGATCTCCCCACCAAAGATCCGCGGTCTGCTTGTGGGCATGCACGGTACAGGCATCGCCACCGGCTACGTTGCTGCTAGCTGGATCGGCCTGGGTTTCTACTTTGTCAAAGCAAGTGGCACTCAATGGAGAATGCCCCTGGCAATCGGGGCGTTGTGGCCGCTCCTGCTTGCTGGTGGTGTGCTGTTGATCCCAGAGTCTCCACGTTGGTGTAAGTTGACTCGACAGAAATCAAAACCAAGTTTCTGCTCGATACTGACGATACAAAAGTGTTGACCAAGGACCGTCCCGAGGATGCTCTCAAGGCGTTCAAGGCATGCCGCACCGAGTCCGGGCCTCACAATGACGAGCACGCTATTACCGAGGAGTTCCATCTGTTGCATTCTCAGGTCATCGAGGAGTTGAAGGACCATGTGCCATTAAAGGAGTTCTTCACCAGGCCAGCCCTCCGCAAGAGGTCCTGGATCGGCTGGTTGACCATGGTGGCGGGTCAATGTACCGGAACCATTGTCATCAACAGTGAGCAAGCCTTCTCATCATGATCCATACTTCTATATTGACACACGTGGCAGACTACGGACCTTTTCTCTACAGAAATCTCGGCTTCTCCGTCGTCAACCAGCTTCTAATCCAGTGTGGTTGGATTACCGTGTGCCTTCTCGGCAACGCCTTCAACGCTGCAGTCATTGATTACTTTGGAAGAGTTCGAATGCTGGGTGGGTATCTCTGCTCCGAAATACTTGCGTTTGGCTGACCATATACCTAGTTTTTGGGCTCGCTGGAGATGTGATTGCCCTCGCTGGCGAGTGTGCTACCGTTGCTGTCTATCAACGAACGGGCTCAACCGCAGCCGCCAAAGCAGCCGTGTTCTTCCTCTTCCTCCATATTGGATTCTACGGCTGGACGATTGACGCCAGCACGTACATCTATGCCACCGAGATCTTCCCCAACCCTCTACGGGCGCGCGGTATCGGAATTTCTTGTGCCGGTCTCTTCATGGCTATTATTGTCTTCACCAGGTGAGCTTCGGAGTCGAATTGACTGGTGCCAGCCTGGCTAACTTGGTTCTCCCAGTGCCGCACCCACCGCATTCAACACTATTGGATGGAAATACTATCTCGTCTTCACCATTCTCACCGCCATCAACACCGTTGTCATTTTCCTCTTCTTCCCCGAGGTACTTTTCTCCCAATGTCGTAACCACCAGAAAAGCTCGCTAACTTTGACCTAGACAAAGGGTTTGGCTCTCGAGGATGTTGCCGAAATTTTCGGCGACGGTATCGTCCTCACAGACACCCGCGAAGAACAGATTCATCAGCGCTTCAAGCAATCTCACTATCGTGCTGAAGTCCTCGACGAGGTGACCCGCGACGAGCCGGTCCAATTGGACATGAAAGAAGGCTCAACAAAGGTCGAACATATACCATGAAAAAGCCAGAACAAATGGGCCAAACGCAAGGTGGCATGTTGAAAATGGTGAATAATTCCTGAATGTTCTCTTGGAGAAGGTGTATATCACAAACCACCCCAGATGTGTCTGTCGCGGCAAAACAGGGTCTATGCTACTAGGTTTTCCAAATAGTGGGAATGATAGAAGCACGGATGAGGAGCAAGAGATACAGCATCGTCGATATCCAGCAGGGGCAGCTGTAAAGCGAATACCCACACGGGTTTACACAATGGCTGAGTTCATAGCCGTTGCCAATGCTTTCCCGGAGCTTCTGGGTATATGAGATATGTCTTTCGACTCCGCTGTATTCTCCTATCTCCCTTAATATTGGTATGTGGATGTGATTCATGCATCAATCAAGACACTTGGCCCGTGAAGGAGATATTCCGCCGGATCAACCTTTCAAACCAACCACGTTCTCAAAGTATTGGCCACCACACTAAAGACGAGAACTTCTGGCCTTCTTAATTATTGCTTGTTGAGTGACGGCGACGCCACGAATCTTTGTTGCCAGTGCCAACAATTCTTATGCCCTTCTCGGCGTGTTGATGGTGTCCAACAACAAAACATGGGAGAGACTGAAGCGAGCCGCCACGCATAGAATCAGATTTACCGATATGTTCGAGGTATCTCGAATGTACCACGGCAAGCCGGTAGTATTTTCAACCTGACCATGGTCCTATTGGCCGTGTGTCTCCGGCTTCCAGATGCCCACTTGTCTGCAGTACCGGTCTACCGAACGGCTCCCATGTCTGTCGTGGTACACGAAACCCAAGCAACCATTGTTATCGTTACACCGATCCTCCGGGAGTGGTGCGACTTGTCCGTCTTTGTCGCCATCCTTTGGAGCCTTTGTCCATGGTTGTATCATTCCAAAGTCGGAAGTCCAGGAGAGAAACGCTCTGTTCCAGATCAAGGATATTTGGCTTTTTGTGCGTTGAGAAAATCATCAAATCGTCACCCATGCATGATTCCCCAGTCTATCAGAACGATTGGACAAGAATTTGTTCCAGAGGCTTACAATGAACCGCTTACTCTGACTAGTAACCTCTACAGCCGCCACGAGATGCCAGTTTCTCTTACTTTTCCCAGGTACTTTATTGCGGATCTTCCGGACTTTTCTAACAGAGTATTCCAAGATTCCATGTCTTGGAACGGTAACCAGCTATGCTTATTACACAACCGGGATTTGACCGCCGTCTCAGTTACACGGGCAGCTTGCCAATGTTTTGTCTCGGTCTTTGCCACCCTGAGGAGCGACAGAACCAAGTCTATCCTGAGCTCCCCGGGCCATCAAGCATCCCTGGGCTCTACGGTGGCAGTGCAGAGACACAAAATATTGAGACAATCAATTTCATGAAAGACTGGTCAAGACACAAAGCTTAATGAGGTGGGCAGCAAGACTCAACGGATCTGGTTTGTCGTACCCTGGCTTGCCTGGCTCTCCACCGGAATCCTGCATCTGCCAGCTATTGTCTATCTACACGCTTCTATTCGCACTCATCACCCTGTTACCGTTCGATTCTGGAGGCAATCATTTCCGCTTCTCTTTATCTTGGAAGAGCAGGGTTCTGAGATTGTACGGATCAGTAGGCTGTTAGAGACCAGAACCCGGCTCCATATCCTGCTGTCCATCGACTTCTCGACTTGCTCTCACAGCTGCGGGGATTCCATCGTAACGGTGAGGGCCTGCCAGCGTCGCGCTGAACCCGAACCTATTTTGGGTTACGAGGCAGAAGCAGGTGTCCGTCTAGATCAGCACTTTCTCTCCCTTCGAGCCAAATATTGCGATGCATTTGTGACTATCGCCATACATCTGGGCGTTCTAACCATGGTCTTTTGGAGCTTTAATCAGTACTCGAAGTCTCTCTGCAGCATCCGCAGCAGCAGCAACGAAACTCTCGCCGAATCCGTGATGGCATAGTCGAACAGCACACGGAAGCTCTCAACTTACGGCCAGCGTCCCCAGCAGAAATTGGGTATACCTCTACCTACCTGGTCATGCGGTGCGACACCGCCTGAGTACGGGCATGTTCGACGCACAACCGCAATGACGGTATTCCTGCAGCTCCAGTGAACTGTCTTGACGAGGTATCGCCACACCTGGTGACATTCAATCTCACTTTTCAGCGGTATCCCTTGCGTTTTTCATACTCAGTTGCATAATATTGGTCCAATCCTCAATCACACCTGCAGTCGGTGTAGGCGAGCCATTAATGCTGTGAAATGTGTTTCTTAATGACCGTCCACAAACAAGCGAGATGCTACACAGAATCAGGAACCAGTGAACCATGGTCTGTTCCTGCTGGTAGGGGTGGCTAGACCGTCGTCCTCACGAAGGTATAAGTATCAGCAAGTTCCCGAGAGATGATGCCTCGAGCAGCTCGACAGGATTCACTCCGTCTTCCACTCGTTTCAAATCCTAGTGAACACGGCCCCGAGGCTTCTCGAATCTCGTCCACCATGTATCGTGGTCTTGTGGAATCGGCTTTATTGGCCAGCTCTGCCTTGAGGTATGGTGATTGACCCTCCATTCCGTGAAACCAGCAAACTCAGTCATATCTAGCATCTTTGTTGCCGCCAACCCAGTCCTCCCTCGCGGCGACTCTTCGACTGGCTGGGGCACATCCTCCGGCTGGGGATATGGCTCTGGCGTTGGCAGCACACCGGTTGGAGGGTGTTCCGCAGGGCCTACTACCACCTTGACTGTCACGTTGCCCGGCGGTCCAAGCTCTTGCCCAGCTCTCCCGCCTCCATCGACCATCACTGTGAGCACTTGTCCCGGAACCACCCCTGTGGGCGGAGTGTCCGGTTGCTCGACCTTGCCTCCGTCTACAATCACGGTGACAACCGGAGGCCAATGCCCTTCCACCACGCCAGTTGGTCCTGGAAATTCTTGTCCCCCGGGTCCCCCCACCACGGTCACAGTGACTTCCGGGCAGAACTGCCCTCCGCCGTCCCCTGGCACTACCACAACCCTCACGGTGACCAGCCCAGGAACTTGTCCGACCTGCCCACCACCCAGCTCTCCAGTTGGGCCCTGCGCCACATCGACCGTGGTTAGCACACTGATCTCGACCACGACAGTTGGTGGAGTCTCAACAACTACAGTCGTCATTCCGGCCCGGACCGTCACCGAGACCACCACTGTTGTGTCCACGATTCCCGGTCCTGGACAGACTACTACCGTTGTCTCCACCGTTCCGGGTCCAGTCCAGACAACCACCATTGTTTCTACCGTTCCGGGACCTGGTCAGACAACCACTGTTATCTCTACGGTGCCGGGTCCAGGTCAGACTACCACTGTTGTCTCCACAGTGCGCGGTCCTGCAGAGACGACGACTGTCGTTTCCACTGTTCAAGTTCCAGCGTCAACCACCACTGTCATTTCGACGATACCAGGCCCTGTTCAGACTGTCACCACGACCGAGGTCGGCCCAGGACAGACAATTACAGCCACCGTCACGAGCACTCTTACCGTGCCAAATGGACAACCGTCTACCGTGACGACCACCGTAACCCAGCCTGGCGGCCCTGGGCAAACAGTCACCATTCCTGGACCCACGTGAGTCTCATCTTCTTGCCGGGGGCCACTACTTGCGACCGAGAGAGTCAACAGTACGGTTCCCACAGACATCTTCGGAGGCTGACAATAATGTTAGGACTACTGAGAAGTGCACCGACGTCGGTCCCGGTCAGACCATCACAGTTCCCGGACCTACTGTAACCACCGGACCTACCACGTAAGTCCCCCCTTGCCCTCGGGCTCTATCACTGCTGGACGGGTTGTTCTTGTTCGACGTCAGTGGACTTGAGAAGGCTAACAACACCTGTAGTACCGTCACCACCACGGAGAAATGCACCAACGTTGGACCAGGGGGCACCTCCACCTGCGCTACAGTCACCAAATGGTCGACGATCGGAGGGGGATACGGTGGAGACTACTCAACTGCGTCTGCCGCCTCGACTACTACGGGCTGGGGCCAGAGTGGGTGGAAACGACACTGGTAACATTGACGAATGAATCTAGACATGTCCAGGATGAACATTCGGATGAGCTGCTACGAAAAGGATAACGGATAGGACCCTTCCTCAGGACAATGACTCCCACTCTTGTCACTCTTTGATTGTCGAGGCAGGTTGAACAGAGTGGTGGAACAACATAACATAGAGGAACTAATGCGAATGAGAATGATCTTTGACTACATCAATCCTGTTGATGGGAAAGAAATCGTCCCTCCGTTTTGATTTCTATTCCTTTCTGGCCTTTTCCGCTGTCAAATCCTTGTTTTTCTGACCCTTATCTACCCTGTGTCCGTAGCGCTGGAAGAGGTGGTCGAGGTTGGAGACTTCACGAGACTATATAAGGGAGAGATGAGAAGGAGGACAAACATGGGAATTAAGCCTCGTCGAGTCGTATCTCCTGATGCACAGGATTACGAACAGACAAACTCGCCAGGGCCGGTCTTGGCAAGTATGACGTGTTTTACGCATATGGCCGAAAATGTGATTGGAGGGGCGACAACTGCGGCCCAAATTTTCTACCATGCCACCATGCGCCTCTCAAACCTTGCCAACAAAACCCCCTCCACCAATCTGAAAAGACATCTTAAGTCTTTTCTTTTCTTTATTGTCTTCTTTTCTGACCTGGACTCTATAATCCAAGTCCAGCGTTCTACAAGTGCTGTCCAACCTGGACGAAAAGATTTCGTCCAAGACGCAGCCTCCATCCTTTCGGTTGTTGATCGATTTCCACCCCACCAAAAAGCCTGACCCTCGTCGCTGAGGCTGCGTTCCTAATCACCTTTTCCGCACACACATTCTTCATTATGCCCGTCTCCGCTTCCAAAGCCGCCCGCCTGGCTAAGAAGGCCGAGAAGGCCGCCGAAAAGGGTGACAAGCCTGAGAAAAAGACCGTTGCCTCCAGGTTGTCCTCCAAGGCGAATTCCAAGAATCCTTCAACAAACGGCTCGAAAGCCTCGTCAGTTGCCGGTGATGACGATCCCCCCATGCTCGACGAAGATGAGGAAGATGCCCCCGCCACAAGCGCCGACAAGATGGACAAGGTCAAGAAACTGACTGAACAAATGGACAAGCACGGTCTCTCCGACCGGGTCACAACTGGTGTGCTGGCCTCCCAGGAAGCCAGCCGGGACGTCAAGATCACTTCCGCCTCTCTAGTGTTCCACGGTAAAGTGCTTATCACGGATTCCACCATCGAAGTCAATTTTGGCCGCCGATATGGTCTGCTTGGAGAGAACGGCTGTGGCAAGTCCACCCTGCTAAAGGCCATCGATAAGCGAGAGTTTCCTTTTCCAGAACATGTAGACATCTACCTGCTGAATGAAGGCGCCCCTCCCACTGACCTGGGGGCTCTCGAGTGGGTGATCAAAGAGGCAGAGAAGGAAGTCAAACGACTCGACGACCTTGCCGAGGAGATCCTGGAAAAGGAAGGCCCAGAGAGTTCCACACTGCTCGAAATCTACGAGGCAAGTTCATAGGGACGACATCAAATTCCACCCTTGCTAACATCTCAGTAGCGCGCAGAGGCAATGGACCCTAGCACGTTCGAAGTTCGAGCCTCCCTTATCCTGACCGGTTTGGGTTTCAACAAGAAGACCATTCATAAGAAGACCAAAGATATGTCCGGTGGTTGGAGAATGCGAGTGGCGCTGGCCAGGGCTCTCTTCGTCAAGCCATCCCTCCTCCTTCTGGACGACCCGACGGCTCATCTTGACCTCGAGGCGTGTGTGTGGTTGGAGGAGTACCTCAAGAAGTGGGACAAGACCTTGATCCTGGTTTCACACTCCATGGATTTCCTAAACGGCGTCTGCACAAACATGATCGATATGCGGCAAAAAAAGTTACTTTATTATGGTGGCAACTACGATTCCTACATCAAGACCCGGACGGAACAAGAGACCAATCAACAAAAGGCCTACCTCAAGCAACAAGAAGAAATTGCACACATCAAAAAATTCATTGCCTCTGCCGGCACATATGCTAATTTGGTCCGACAAGCCAAATCAAGACAGAAGATCTTGGACAAAATGGAAGCAGACGGATTCATCCAACCTGTCATTCAAGATCGAGTGTTCACATTCAGATTTGCCGATGTTGAAAAACTGCCTCCTCCGGTTCTCTCTTTTGACGATGTCACATTCAGCTATTCCGGGAAGGCTGAAGACAATCTGTACGAGCACCTCGATCTTGGTGTGGACATGGACAGCAGAATGGCCCTTGTGGGACCCAACGGTGTGGGTAAATCGACGTTGCTGCGTATCATGACTGGCAAACTCTCCCCGACCGGCGGATCGGTCAGCAGACACACCCACTTGAAGCTGGGACTTTATTCACAGCACTCGGCCGAACAGCTCGACTTGACCAAGTCCGCACTCGACTTCGTGCGAGACAAGTACTCCTCCACATCCCAAGACTACCAATACTGGCGCCAACAGCTCGGCCGCTATGGTCTTTCCGGTGACGCGCAGACTGCTTTGATGGGCACACTTTCCGAGGGCCAAAGATCTCGAGTGGTTTTTGCTCTCTTGGCCATTGAGGGCCCCAATATGCTCCTGCTTGACGAACCTACCAATGGTCTCGACATTCCAACGATTGATTCTTTGGCTGACGCTATCAATGCCTTTTCCGGCGGTGTCGTAGTTGTCTCTCACGATTTCAGGTATGTTTCCACCACCGAGAGATAAGACTTGAGGAACAGGCTGACTATTTGACAGGTTGCTTGACAAAATCGCCAAGGACATCATGGTGTGCGAGAACAAGACTGTCCGACGATGGGACGGGTCGATTGGCGAGTACAAAAATTACCTCCGCAAAAAGATGGTGTCCATGGGACAAGTTTGAATTTCCAAAGCTGCACGAACCGTGGCCCTCCTTCTTATGTGTTGGCACTCTTCTGCAAGTGTGAGGACAGGCATGATGGTATTTGCTTTAGATTGATGGTTGAGTTACGACGTGGCTTTTCAGCCACCTGGTCGGTCTTCATGATTGATGCACCTCATGTTTGTGTTCGAGCAGAGAAAAGACCATGTGGCACTGCAGGCGTCAGATGGATAGATGGACTTGGTTTGGAATATTTTGACTGACGACGGGAGAAAATGAAGCACGGAACATGATGGACATGGTGCTTCCACGCATCATGTTCTGGACTCCACTGTTGTGTCCGCTTGATGACGATGACGGGGACTTGCGGTCATGGCACCGGCATCGCATGGGAGAGACGGTCGGCCGATGGATGTACACGACTGATGAGGCCGGCACATGATTGTGAACCTCTTCCATGTGTTCTCCACCTCTGATTTCTTGCCCGTTGCTTCAGCCAAATGCATTGCGATAGAGCTCGTCGCTTAATGAGACATAGACCTAACTTGAATGGCAAAGTATCTTACGAGACACACGGTCACCGTCCACGCCACAAGACTTCCCCACCTTGCTGCTTACAAGTGCATTGATGCTCCATATCATGATCGAGGCACACGCGCGTCGAGATGAGGAGAACTGGTTAATGACTGGGTAAGGCCTTATATGAACACGAGACGGCGTCGACTCCGCATCCCATATTTCGTCTTCCCCGTCTACGCGACCACCCCAATTAATACCGGAGGTACATAGATTTGATGCACCTTTGAATTGCAGTTGCATCCCAGATCTATTTGGGCCATTCCCTCACTAGCTGCTCGCTCTCTATCTACCCATTTCCATTTGCACCTGGTCAGTCTACGAGGTCTTCATCGGAGATATCGAGACACCATGCCAACCCCTAGTGGGAGCGAGAGGCAGAACCCGCGCCCAGTTCATGTGACGAGGGCAGATCAGGTCAAGACAGGGCATGGACAGACGGACGGGATGATCCGACAGGTATGTTCAACAGCACTGGCATTTAACTCAATACCTGGATTTCGGGGGGACTGTTCGGTTCGTGACGATACAAAACTACAAGAGTCACTTTTCTGTATGTGGATTGGACGTAGACAACACACCAAGGGAGCGATCTCTGTTGTTGTCACCATCGGCGAAGGCATACAAAGACCACCATAACTCTTTTCCTGAGGGAAGAGAGGACATCGACGCACGAGATGACTTGCCACATCCCCTTTGTTCTCCCCTCTGGGACCGTCTCGAGTTCCAGAAGTCCCATTTTAGACCCCTCACATTCTCGCCGTCGTTATGGGAGCCGCTCGCTGACTCTGGCGCACACACAGTCCGCGATTGTCGAGCTATCCCCATCCATTTGCGGCACGCTGATGCGCGCACAACCACACTCCGCCTCAGCGGTGCACCATCACGGCACCCAAGACACCATCGTCTACGCGGTGAGTGGCTACGGCTCCCTTGTATCGTCGTCTGGCAAGGGCAAAGATGGTCCGTTTGGAGATGTCAGGCAGGATCTCAAGCCGGGAGACTGGGCCCTGATCCCGGCATACAGGGAACATCAGGAGGTCAACGACGGCGACGAAGAAGTTGTCTGGGTCATTGTCAGGGCGCCGGAAGGAGTTCCTGTCGTCGAGAACTTGAAGGGCTGGGGTGGAAGCTTGGAGACCTAGTGGTTGGTTGGTGGGTAGGGGAGGGCAGGAATACTACAGACATGGGCTGGGCAAACAGACAACGCGGACAGCTCCAATATACCGATATCGTCTGTGGTAGAGACGCTAGCTTGTGAGAGGTTGGTCCAAGGATTCAACCAGCATATGTGTAAGGCTATTCTTCCAAAAAATATTGGTGGACCACCTGCTCGACCGAGTGTGAGCACACGAAAGCTCAGTCCTCATCTTCATCGTGGCTTGCTGGGTCCCCGTCAGCGTCCTCTTCGTCCTCTTCCTCGTCTTCATCAAGGCCATCGTCCTCGTTATCCTCATCATCCTGTTCGTCCGACTCTTCTGCATCGCCACCGACTACTCCATCCCAGCCGGCGTCGTCAACTTCCACCTCTCCTTTCAGATCCCAGCGATCACCATGCGCTGCCTGGCTCACATACTTGACAAACCTCAATGTGCCCTTGTCCCTGAGCACCATACTGAACTTATTCCAACCCGGAGAGCTCGCAAACAGGATGCCATCATCCTCATCATCTGTGGCTTTGTAGATTGCAGGGTCGTGGGCAGGCTTCTTGCCGACATTCGGTAGGGACTTCGAGTCATCTTCATTTGGCAATCCGTCTTCCTCTTCGTCACCCGCCATATAGACTTCTTCGCCACCGAACTCGATCTCAGATACCGAGGAGATTTGAATCTTCTCGGTTGTAGCAGCGTTGCCATTGGCTTGCTTTTGGGCCTTCGCGGTTGTCGGCTTGCTATCGCCTTCGTCGTCGGCGCCTCCATCTCTTTCCCAGCCTTCGCTGGGAGTGATGGAAATCGTGAATTCCAGGCGGGGCGTTTCGCCTTGGTAAGGGTTTGCAAGTGCATAGTCCTTTCCTCTTCGAAATCTACGGGCGATCGCGCTCTGGCGGATGAGACTCTTCGTCTTGAGTCCTGTCACAAGTGCAAGCCACTTCTTGAACGCATGCGAGTGTATCAAATCAGCCAGGATTCGAGAGATGGGACAGTGGTCGCGGTGCAAGGCCTCTGCAGTCTGCAGGTACGCGTAGCGTTGTTTATGAGGTGGCCGAGCAATTCTCCAAGTAGAAGGATGGTGGTCTCTCGATGACTCTGGGATCGCATGCTTTTCTTCACTTTCCACCTTATGCACGTAATCCTTCAACTCGGCTGCGAATCGGGCATTAAAAAACTCCTCTAGTTGAAGCACTGACATATCGACGAATGAGGACGCGAACTGCTCAATCATATCTGGAGTCAGATAACTTGGTGTCATATAATGTAGCAAGAACGTCAAATCTTGCTCAGTGAGTATTGTATCATCGGTGTCAAGATCGTCGCCTGGGTCAATCTCCCGCGCCGCAGCCCGACTATCCATGACAGTACGCGGCTCGTCGAAGTGACGGAACACCAGTCGAGGCTCGTCAAACTCATTCGAGGTGCTCTTCAGCTGCGCGAGGCTGGATTTCTGAGCCTGCTCTTGTTCCATGCCTTGTTCAAAGCCATCCTCGCCCTCTTGTGGGATATGGTACCAGCCGCTGATTGCCATACGGATTCTGCCTCCATCTTCTTCCAGGTTTCGTGAGTGGTAGACTTCTTCCACGTCGTGATAACTCTCGCCAGGCCGAACGGCGAAGAAACTCAATTGGCCGAAGGAGGGTGGGATGTTCAAACTATGTTCAGCGAGAGGGACTTTCACTTCCTCTCCAGCGTTGTTTCTTTTGATCTCCGTGGGATACAGTCTGAGCCCGCCACCCCATTCAGGTTGCCAGGGATGATCTGGATCTGTCAAGTACAAGATGTAGCTGACTCTTCGACTCCCAATCACATCATCGTGGCACAGCAGATAACTTCCTGGTGTATAGACATTGACCGCCATGTCGGTTTTTGTGCCCGACACTTTCCCAGCGCCCGTGACGGCAGACACCCATTCTCGAAATTCTGAGCTATAGAGAGCATCTCTCAGGCGGACTAGGCTGGGCAGGTGTTTGAGGGACTCGGCATCAAGATTGGAGAGGTTCGCGAGGTCACCGGATTGGTGAATGCGGTAAATGTCTGTCTCCTTCAGAGTGAAATGGATATGAGTGGTAATTTCCTGCCGCACGGAGCGGAGGAGAGGCTCTTGGATCAACGAGGATACGACGGCATGGGGGTAAGGCTTCGACGATCGGTAAGATTCGCGGAACGCTTCTCGAGTGTCAGGCTCGAAGAGATCGGATCGAAAGGCAGACCGAATGCCGCTGTCGTCGGCAGATATGACACGCCTCTTCGGAGAGGAATTCCCATCCTCGAGTGCTTTACGTTTCATTGTAGACATAGACAAAATCGAGGTTCCAGCAATGTTGTCAACCCAAAATACATGTACGGAGGTGTGATCAATATCCCGCAAATATTGTGTCAAAGTGCGCGGTGAGAGAGTGCTTGCGGAGTTTGCTCAGGCCACTCGCAACCTTTTTTTTTTCTTTCCCCGCACCATCAGACATGGCCAATTATCGTTCCAGGCTATCGGCGGCAAGGGCCGCAATATACCTTAACACCTGACAATGGCACGATTGGATATTAACTAGGGGAAACATGCATTATAATATTCTATTGCAACTGTGCCAACATTTTGTCCAAGATTAAACATGCATGCATGATTTCATGGCGATGGCCATTTCCCACGACGCCAGAATATCTCCTCTGGGTATCCTAACATAGAATGCGCTCAAAATGTTCATTATTCGTAACCATGCCAAAATAGAGAGCGGCGCTGAGCTCCATATTTATCATGAATGGCCTGTAGATCATGAAAGTTGTATTCTCCAGATGCTTCGAATGATTGCAATAGCCGCAGGTAGCTCAGAGCGTCGTCTTCCATTTGTCCTTGTCTTTACCAACCCTGCCAAAAGGCTTATGGAACTTGATCTTTGTGTTCGGCACAGGTTTCAAGATTTGAGGTTCTAATGCCGCTGGGACACTCGTCTCTTTCAACCCCCACGGCGTCGTATCGTCATCAAAAAGCATGCTTGCCCTCAACCCAAGCCGGTCCCGAGAGCTGTCTGGCCGTTTCTCTAGGTCTTGTTGAATCCGTGATCGACTCGAGTCCCGGGACTGTCCTGTTGCATCATCGGGTAACACCAGCTCTCGAGCCTCTCCCGCCAAGAAAGCGTCATTGAGCTTCGTTCCTGATTGCTTCTTCCCAGAAGTTGGGGGACTCAATAGATCGGATCCAGAGGAGGACAAGGCCACCAGTAGATTGGTCATGTCATCGACATCCCGTCCCACTGGGGGTGGCAGCTCGAGGCGCGGTGGAGCGGTTGGAGACACGTCTTGGGGACGTGCGGGTGACGAGGTCGGGTATGGCAGAAAAGCTGTGGTGTGGAGTCTATATTGAGACTCCGGAAGCTGCATCCCAGCATCGGCATAACGAGCACTATTTTCGACAGGTATGTCGGTAGACAGCTTGCAGGAACCCTCCTCTCCGCCTTGGCCTCGAGTGGTAGCAGGAGGATTGAGAAACCCATATTCCCTGGTCGTCTTTCCTGCAAATGTTGCACAACTGGCAGGTGGTTGATCCATGCTTGAGGGAGTTCGAGGCTCCCGCGTCAGATCTTGGGTCTGTGAATAATGAGATCTTGTACTGGCCAAACCAGATCCACGGCGAGGATTGGAGGGCATGTCGGAAACACTTTCAGCCAGACTAAATACGGATGACGATGTGAGTGGAGGGGAAAAGATCGAGGCGTCGGTTCTTTGCTGCGATGCCAAATCCTCAGACGAGTTGGTTGAACGAGTGTAGAACCTCGTGCGGGAAGAGGCTCCCTGGGAGCCAATTGAGCTGGCAGGGGCACCAAAGGAGGAGCCGGTTGTTGAGCTCGAGTTTCGGCTTCCGACATTCGTGCGGCTTTTGTCTTTCCCATTGTCACTGCGAGCCTTGGAGTTTGTGAAGAGAGAAGATTCTTTCCTATTTCGTTCCTTCTCTTTTTCCTTCTCCTTCCGTTCCCTTCGCTTTATACTCTCTGGGATTCCGTCCCATTTTGAGTTGACCTTGGGGACAAACTCGGGCATCTTTTCCAACCTTACATTGGGAACCTTGGTGGCGCTTGTTGACCCATGCTGGGCAATAATTTGAGTTGCGACTTGGTTCAAGGCAATTTGAGTTGGCTCTCGAACTTGGAAGAGGCCACCTAGGATGGAGGGCTTCTTCTGTGGCATTGAACTAGATTTGCGACGCGTCTCTTGCGGGGTTTGAGGAGCCTTGTTTGCTTTGCTGGTCAGAGCCACTTTCTGAGCCTCCTTCTGAGCCGCCTCCCTCTGGGCCGCTTCTCGAAGCTCGCGGATGGTAAGACGTGGCCTATGTTGCTTGGATTCCGCATCTTGATCAGGCTGACCGGCCATCTTGTCTTTATCTTCCCGTGATGTGATGTCTGAGGTGTGATATTGGTCCGGACCACTCAGATCGCGCAAGGGCGAAAGATCATGGTATAACAGGCCATTGGTTATATCTTGTTGAGTCTCTATCTTTTGGATGCTCGACGCATTTGCTGGCATGACCACGACGATGTGGCCAAACGGTGGTAGAGGCACAGGTCGTGGAACTGGATTAACCTGACATGGCAATGAACGAAGGAGTGGCAGTCCCAGCCAGCGGCTTGTGCGCAGGATCTTAGTACGATTCCCTTCGGTGCAAGAGACGTGGTGGAATGGATATTATTGAGTTGGACCTGAGTACTTCGCTCTGGACGTCGCGCACATGAGAGGATTCAGAGTGCCCGAGCCTATGCATCAGCGAGCACACCAGGTGAGGGCAAACCCTGAAGGCGCAAGGAACTTTGTCGAGCCAGGAGATCCAGGACACAAAATGAGTATGGAGGATATCCAGGTGAACGAGAATGGAGCGTTACGAGGCAGGATCTTGCAAGAGGAAGCTAGATCGTTGGATTTCCCCGTTAACCTAGAGATCATCCTGGATCGTCGATGGTAGATTGGGCAAGACTCGGAAGGGGTCTTCGGTGGCGGGCTTGGATTGACCTCTGCCACCCTCAGCTAGGGATTGTGCTGAGAGGCGGCTCTGACCGTGGGGAAAGTAAATGCACATCATGGACAAATGTAGGTAGAGGCTAGGGCTAAGGCAAAACAAAGCCACGATGCAGGGATCTAAAAGAGCAGGTACGAGTACGTGTGGAGCTGCAACGGGGAAACGTGGTGTTCGATTCTCAACAAGGCGGATGCTACATGCAGCCAGCAGAAGGGGGAAATAAAGATCGATGATCAGTACAAGCACAAAGTCAAACAAAGTCAAACAGAATCAGGAGTGGTTGGCTACCGTTGATTGTGATCTCCAAGGGCGTTCTTGCTAGATTCTGCCACCTGTGAGGGAGCGAGGGGGAGCGGGGAGCTTGTGTTCGGGGTCTGATCCCGGGCTTCATTATTGGCTAGAAACAACGTAAAATGGCCCTGCCGGTGCCTGGAAACAGAGAATATGCCCTTTTCCATCCCCCCTTTTCTCGCTACTGATGCGATTTTCGAAGCTCCGCATGTCGAGCGAACCAGTGGCCTTCAACCTCTTTTTCCCGTCCTCGGCGACTTTCACTGAAATGGCGATACTCGATATTTGTCGCTTTGCTCCAGTGGTCCAAGCTACTAATTCCATTACTACTAGAATCTACCCGAACCGTAGTTCTGTGATGGGGCACCGGAGCACTACAGAGATTTTTTTCTCTCTCTGGCAAACGACAACTTCGTTCCTACCATATCCCCTGCGATTGTCTGCTGTCTCGGCGTCTGGCATTATGCGGGAAAGGACCCGAAAGAGGATGACAGGTTGTGGGAATCAACCAGCAACGACTCCACTAGGTGGTTTGACAGGGACGCCATTCACAAGAGTCACAGAAGGGAAGTCTATTAGTCAATTCAACCACGCACCCGTCCAATGAAGCGCTGTTCCTCGCACCCTCATCATTTCAAGGAAAGACGAGGATTGAATACGTTATGCCTTGCTTCTCAGATGGGAGAAGCACCAACGCCCCCATGGATGGTTGGCAAAATACGAGATACTCGTACAATTGACCAACTGCGCCAGGCACACTCACACGTGGCAAGGAACCACATGGTACGGGGTGGAAGAGGAACAAGCAGCCATGCACCTGCATAAGAACGGAACCCTCATGACCCTCTTTGAGGGCAGTCATCCGAAGCAAAACTGGTCCCTATCTATGGATACCATCTTTCCTGCCACCTAAAAGGACTACTGAAACCTTGTGCAGTGGGTGAGCGCAAAGTCTGGTGGTGGTTGTTCCCAGCAGAAGGATCTACTGAACGAAATGGACTTCGTTTCTACGAGATATCTCATATACCTGTACTTGTGGTCAGTACAAGAAGGTTTCCCTACAGCGCACCCCTGTAAGCCGACGAGACCTCAGTCCAGGAGCTGCCACAAGCACCCTTTTCAACACCCATTCATGCACTGCCGCCCTGTAACAAATAAATATCCTGAGAGAGAAAACGTCTCGATCCACTGTTTGCTTGGGGATGATTGTCAGATTGACACCAACCTTTGTGTTTTCGCAGTCGACTACCAGCTGCAAAATGTTTGTCAAGATCAGGGTTGTAAAGTGGCAAATTCAAAACCACTGATTTTTCAATTCCAAAGTCTCTGCTCCCTTTCTTTTCCCTTAGTGAGTGTTATCGTCACCAATTTGTTACAAACCCAACATTTGTAGCGCAAATCCAACTCCACGACCTTGTTTCAACGCAAAATCTGTTGTTGCGGCTCCAACACCGCTAAAATTTCGGCAAAGTTCGGTTCTTGCCATAGATTCCCTCCGTGCCTCCATCATCCACAGGCAGTTGTCTCCTGTCCCCTCCCTCCTCTGCGTGCATATTGCACGCATCAAATTCACCATGACCGAACACAACAAACAAGACGTAGGGGACAAGGTTTCACAGCCTGCCTTACCTCTTTCCACGCCAGCACAATCCCAGACTGCCGTTGTCGAGCACGAGCCAAGCGGCAGTCCTCAACGTCCATCTTATTCCCCTGTTACGCCGACATTATCCCATACCAGCTTGGCCTCCCACGATGCAGTAGGAGACCTACCACCTGCACAATGGATGGACGAACCACCAGAACCTCTTCCAGTCAGCTTAGACGATAACCCAGACGCAATGGCCTTGCGAGCCGCCTTGTCTATCCTCCAAATCCAGCGGCAGCAGGCTTTACGGGATATGCAAGAGTTGGACAGGATGAAACAGGCCGCTTTAGACAACCCCGAACAATTTATCAAAGAGCTTCAGGCGGGAAAACTCAGCCGCTCGCCCCGGTCTGGCGTAGAAGTTGACGAGCCAGACTCTATGGCAGCCGAGGACGTCGAAACCCAGGCGTCCAAATTTGGCCGCTTCCCACCCGCTCAAAACATCGTACGCACCCCCCCTGTGGAGTGGGCAAAATACCACATCGTTGGCGAGCCGTTAGATCGAATACACAAGAGGCAGCAACAATATCCAGGAGCTACCGACGAAGCACTCGAAGCTCCGGATCCCGTTCAGCCTCACTCGATTGCAACTCCGTACCGTCCTTTCGTGGATAAGCTGAGCCAGGCACGAGGTCCGTCTAATTCTCGTAATTCGGGATCATGAACATTTGTTTCCCCTACGTTCGGGCGATTTGTCATTTCATGATACAGCTCGACATCATCACCGCCATCGTCTCTATCAGCGCCTTTGGGAAAGCTCGCTTACCACCAGCACATCTTGTCATGCCCTTTTCAGTCATCAAAGGCCAGTGCTGCCATTTCCATCGCAACCGTGTTATGGAAACTATGTGTATTGAAGAATCCCCGTGACCTGCGACATACCTGCATAGGCAGAACCCACGTCGTTGGAGGCGACAACTTCGACCGTTTCACCCTCAAAGGTGTGTCTCTGGTTGATTACTTCTTGAAGGAGCATCTGTCTGCCAGGGCCAGGTACTTCTTATAAATTCCCCTGTGCTTCGCAGTCTCCAACCTCGCAGCAGCCACGCACAAAGGGCAGCGTGGGCCTTCAACCATAGCAGCTTTGCTTGCTTTGAGTCCCTGCACTTCCATTGGATCCCCTCCCCATGCCCCTTTATTGTCCACATGCTCGGTGTCGATGAACTGGAGACATGTATAGCAAAGGCGATAATTTGGAGGCACAGAGTCACGAAGCCTGACAAGAATTTGCAGACGATGAGTTCGGACGGAGCGCTTGGGGACAAGATGGTCATAGTCCTTCTTATTCTTCTCGGCTTTCAATTGTTCATACGTGGCGGCTTGGCTCTTGCAGGTGAGGGCCAAAGCGGCGCGGTCTGCATTGAGTGGCAGGGCTTTGAAGATCATGGCCCGGACTTCATGTGGAAGTTTGGTGAAATTGTGCTCCTGGTTTTGAATGATTCCGCTCTTGTAGATCTGGACCACATTCTGGTGAGTTCACTGCGCTGATGATCTGAGTCAATAATGCTAACCTTTGCAGGGATAATTGGGACTTTGAGACTCAGGCGAAGCTTCTTGAGACGGTTGGCAATCTTCTTTTGTCTTCTAGCAGACTCCATCGCCTTCTTGAACTCTTTGTACTCTTTTCCCAGTGCTGTTTCCGCTTCAGCAATCCTAGCAAAGGTCAGTCAAATGTGAATGTAACGGAATAAAAAGAAATCAAAAGTCCTCACTTACTGCACAGATGTCGGCGTAACAACGGGCATAGCGAGGTGATGAGGGGTCGAGATACAATTTCGAAAGAACTCAGGTTAAGTAAGATCACTTTCTGAAAAGACGTTGTTTGAACCGTTTATGATCGAGGCATATCACACTTTGTGAAGGAGTGAAGAAGAAGAAGGTGAGCATGAGAGAAAAGTCACCAAATTGCGGCGATATTGTGGCGACCACACTCAACGATGTGATAAAGGCGAGTTTGACAGTATCACTGCTACAATAGAAGGTTAAGTGATTTCTGAAGTCATCTCAGTCGGACTTGTTGTGCCAGAGTCGAGAGACCAAGTACACCGAAAGGTTCGAGACGGATATTTCCCTGCCGTGGCGTTCAGTTGCAGGCCGCTCGGGTCAGCGCTCTACACATGTGATTGTCATCGACTGGACAACAACTTGCGGGACTTCTCGTTCTCTTTGGAATTCCCAGGATTCGTCTCCTCCGACCTCAGAACAGTTGCATCTTACAACTTGAGTAATCGCACGCGGTTCGCTATCACTATTCGTTCAGCCTTCCTCGAAGTCTTTGCCCATGTGGACTTCCGATTAAACGTTGACAACCTTGAGATCAGTCACACGAGTATGCTTAGATTGCGTCTCGATTCAGCATGCCTGAGCGGATATCGATCACTCCACTCCTTCACCACAAGTTGTTACGTGGAGCCAGAGGCATGGGAGTTGCGCTTAGCCGATTGAAGCAATTCCGATGCTGCCGTCTAGACTCAGAGCACCTAATAGAAGCTACTGCGACGGTAAATTTGATATTTTGGACAAGAAGTCCCTACAGCCTCAGGGCTAGTTCAGCCTTGCCATCCCCAGCCACATGTCCTGACAGCAAAGACGAGGCTGACTCCGATGACGTCAACGATCTACACATGCCATACCACAGGTGCGATGATCAACAGCTATGACACAATCGACGAAATCACAGAACATTCACTCATACCACTGGTAAAGTATAGCCTCTTGCGTGCCTTTGACCTAATCCCCGAGTATAGATCTCGTAAATTTCACAGCAATCGAAATGATCATCGCCCTACTGGCATCAATTTGACACCCTCTGTTGTTGTGCATTCTTGTAAACTCGTGTTAGAAAAGAAATTCTTCTCACAACAAGATTCCTGTCCACCGCGTACTCCCAGGACCTCTCAACATTCAAGATACCACGATGTCCAACCTCGATCCCCATGCACCATCTCAGCCAAGTCAACAGACAGGCTTGAATCAAGGTCAAAACCCTGCCTCGAAGACAGCTCAAGAACAAACCACAGCACAAGACACTTCCAGCAACCAGTCCAAGACTGTTGACCGCCGTTCAGCTCATGATGTACCTTCTGAGCACGGCGAAGTTGCAAAGCCCGGTGCCTTGGGCTCTGGCGAGCGTGGTCCCCTCACAGAGAAACGAATTCCCGAGTCCGACGCGCAAAACTACTCCAAAGGCGACAGCAATTTAGAGGGCGAGCAAATGCGGATGCCAGGCGAGGGCGACGTTGCAAGAGCCGTGCGAACGGGTGGTGGTGGGGGATACGGCGAGGAAGAGAGTCTGACACAGAACATAGACAAGATGGCGGCCGAACATGAGCGGGAGTTACACAGACGGGGAGAGCGAACTGGGAAAGAAATCGAGGAAGAAGCACAGGAAGATTGGACAGGGAAGAAAGCGGACATTGCCAGTGCACTGGGCCAAGGGAGGGAGGATCGTGATGAGGCAAGTCGTCCGGCCGTGGTTTTGGCTGCGGAGGAGTAAGTGGAGAGATATCGAAGCGATGACCTGTGGCCTTTCGCTGCGACCATTATTGACAGGGAGCAGCAAATTAATTCTTGAGGCGCCTACAGGCAGAGAAACCATGCGTGCCAAGCACAGCCCGTGCGTTGTGTCCTCCTCTACTATGAATTTGGATTTTCTTCGCTCGGCTGGTAATTGTCGTTGCTCCTGCGCCCCGTATCATGGATGCGGTCCCCTTTTGACCTTTGACCGAAGGAACTTCATGGTATGATACCCGGCAGTGCTGCACTCACCTCGCTTGTGGATCTGGACATTTCCCGTATATCTTTCAACAACCACCAAAGTGACAGTTGCGGGGGACCGCCCCAGCTGCAGACTGCATGCAGCAGGTGACGCCGATAGCTTTGCAGCCATGCAGAAGACAAGCATCGCGTCTCGCCCAAAAGTCAGCAGTATTGGCTTTGTGTTTTGTCGCCTAGACTCTTGTTCGCCGAGCTCGGACAACAATGGTGATAGCAACTTATCACGCTTCCAGGAACAAAGCCATCACACTCGCTTCGACAAACAAAGGAAAGCCCTCGCCCCATTCTCGGGAGTCACCTGAGAGGCGTGAGGGAACGTCAACACCCCAAAATGCACGTTGAGCGAGAAGCTGGATTTGCTTGCGAGGCACGATGCAGGCTCCCTCGATCCCCAAAGCCTTGAGATGCGCCAATCCCAAATTTCGACCCGATGTGGAAAAAGAAGGTATTTGATGTCAAAAATCCAAGAAGTGAGAACATGTGTTGGTACACGTCATACCTCTTCATGACCTGCGGGCATGTCGCCTTTTCCAACCACCCTCTCGCAAACTCGAAGTGCCCACACGAATCTTCGGAGACGAATAGACAACAGACGACGGGAGCACACGGTGGGAGACCCCAAGGCGTCCAGCAAACCCAGGCTGGCGCAAAGTCTGTCTCATCGATCGAGGCCACAAGCTCACCCTCACCCCTACGCTGCCCTGACAAGCTAACTCATCCACTGCGGACCTTTAGCATCAACAACCTCTGCCCAGCATGTCAGGACGAGCGAGATGCTCGAATGAATATTTTTGAAACACATGTGCGCGAAGGTCTGGGGAGGCGGAGTCTCGCACAATCTGCATGGCGACTTGAGAGAGACTCGGATGCGACGCGAGGAAGGTCGTTTCCGACATCCATGACATTCTCGAGTCTAACGGAGTTTGATACATTGACCAAGTTGAACTCCGGAATGGAAAACCCGCGCGGCGGCTCTCGGCCTTCAACGCCGAGGCTACCAGCGGAGAGGTCAGGTCCAGTAGAAGCAGTTCGGCCCGAACCTCGAAAGCAGCAACAGGGTGTCGGCGAGGGAATACTTAACTGGGAGAAATCGACGCCCAAATCTCCCCAGCAACATGTAACCCCGCCTTGCTCCGCACCGCCACCAAGGTTGTCATTCGCTGCGTTATCGAGTATGCCTGAGAAACCGACCTTCGACGGAGGCTAGGTGAGGTCCTGTGGGTTTGGGGAATTTGTCAAGCAGGTGCAGATTCCAATGATACCGGAAACACTTCGACATAGACACCTTGAGCGCTCAAATGACTAGTGAACATAATAAGGGTAGAGACGCGCGATTGCGCTCATGAATTGCAACAAGAACACCGGATGTCCGCGATTCTCGGGCCTTTGGTGTTTATCATGATGCGCGGTTCCAGGGCTCGCCGCTTTTATACATTTGCTCTCTCAATAAAATCCTCGGGGTCTCTCATTTTGGCTGCAACACTGCTACAGCTCTAAGAGGTAGTCTCATACGACGAGGTAGCGTATACCTATTGGGCTAGTCACATACCGCTCATATATACTTTGCTCGCAGCTGGCTAATCAGTCTTACGTCGTCTTCAGAAGGCGCCGCTGCAATGATGCTTTCGGCCAGACCAAGCATCTCTGGTTCCCACTTTGGCAGTGCTTGGGGGTTATTGCGCACACTCGGTACTCTCGTCGCAACCCAAAGCAGCCCGGTCAGCACGAAACTGGGCGCCGCGACACCAAGATAGTATATCAATCGGGGTGTGACATTATTTCCCAGCTTCTGGACCAGTGCAAGCCCTTCCTTGACCGCTCCGGCAATGAGACTTGCTTCTGCCCATGTCACTCCCGATTTCTTCTTGGCAGCCGCAACGGCCGCGCCCATGGCACCAATGACAACGGCGGCATGTGTGCGTAGCCAGCTCTGCATATCAGGCTGGTGGACGCATTTAATCCCGGCTGAGGAGAAGATGGAGCGCCATTCGGGTGATGAGATGATGGTAATTTGGCCGAAACTCATAAATTGGTGCACTAATGCTCCGTCGTGGAAATAGGCCAAGATCGCTGGAAATCCCATGATGCAGCGTTCCTTTCCCAAAACGTCGAAGTATCTGTCCAGTGATGCAAATGTGTTGAACATGAACAGAATCTCGGTTGACTTTGGACATGTCTTGAGCGTGGCAAACAATTGCTCGTCAAATTGGTGCTCGGTGATGGTCAGGAGGACGAGGTCCCAGAGTTGTGCAGTGTCGAGGGATCCAACAGCAACCACAGGAGTCTTCGAGACCTCCGTTGCTTTGTCCGATTTCTTGGTGAGAACACCGCCACATGCCTGGACGCTCGCAAGTCGCTGGCCACGACCTACAATTGTGACATCGTGTCCGGCCTTCACTAGATGCACTGCGAAGGCGCAGCCCACTGGTCCGGCGCCAATGATGGCAATCTTCTTCTTTTCCGTGGCCATATGGTCAAACGAAGAATCGGCGAAATAGAGGCGAGACACACACGGTTGCTGTCCTGGAAGTCCGACTAAGCAGAATTTAGACTAACACTCGGCTGAGATGAAAGAGCCGCGTGGTTTGGTTGAGGAGATGTGAAGATGGTGGTCAAGAGTGGGATTTGTGGCCGGAATACATTGAATGGACGATTTGTTCGTCCATTGCTGCAGCAATTTGACTCGAAGCCCTCATGCTTCGTATGAGAGGCGACGTCTAGGCAACAATGAAACTGGAAACGCTATCCTCCGTACTCGGATATCTACCTTTGCTAACAGGTATTGGTTCTCCTGCTTTAAGTTAATTCGCAATCACACACTAAGACGAAAAGACGAAAGTTCCCACGCACAAGCGAAGTGAAGGCCAGAGAGAGGTTGCATAGGGCGGCATCACTCTCGCCCCGAAGGAGCGTGGGCAATCCTTGGCACTGCAGGAAGCTCAGACTGAGCTTTGGCGGGCGATGTACCGTCCTGGACACGCCGTGAACGAAACCCATTGTATCTTCTACAGCCTCCCTACCCTTAGGCTCTATAGAGGTGCCTTCTACGACTTGTGCTCGCTAGCAGTCGGGGGTGTCACTGCGCAAGCGGGAACGAAACGTACACGCCTTCCATCTCGTCCCTCCAAACCGCCGTCACCAGACCTCGAATCTTCTGAAGGAGACCCGACTCGACATCCATTATGCCTACACCCGAGTCGGAGCTGTTTCTGCGCCAGAAACCCAAGGTCCCCCCAACGTTCCAGGGCGTCGATTTCCAAGACAATGAAGCAGTCGCCGATGCAAGAGATGCAATTGTTCGAGAACAATGGGTTCAGAGGATGATGAAGAGGTTGGTGGGAGAGGAAATGGGTATGTCTTTCGAGAATGCTTTCTGCACCATCATTCACGGTACCCTGTTGCGGAAGAGGGATTTGAGGGTTCGCCCATGGCTGTGCTGAGGATTTCATATGACTCTTTTGCAAAGGCGTGGACTTCACGACCATCTCCGGAAATGCCTCAGTGCCCAGCATGCTCCTTGATCGCTCCATTCTAATCCCTTGTTCTTGCAGGCAAATGCTACGCACGCGAAGGAGTCAATCATCTTGAGAAATGCGGAAAGTACAGAGGTGAACAACTCCCGAACCCCGTCTGCTTCTACTCGCCCAACATTACAGCGTATCTAACTGTTCGCATAATTCAAATCCAAAGACCGTTATCTCCAGCTCCTCAAGTCGACGCGCGAAGCCGGTTTCCGCGGCCAGCAACAGAACTACATCCCTGGTGTAGATGGTCCCGCAGGTGGCCCAGAGGTTCACACAGACTACCCGAGCGCCCAACAGGCCAAGGGTTCCAGAGGATCAGATCTCAGACCTGGCAACACGACAGGAAAGGGCGGCGATGCATTGTACTAAGAGACGATGAAAAGACAGAACTTGGCTATGTGGTGAATCGAAGAGACAACCGCAGACCATGCAAAATAACTGATTCCAGCCATTGGGCGGAACTATGTACATAGGACATGATGTGGTCTGGTGGAGGCCAATACCAAGAGGATTTGGTAATTACCCTTATGCCGCTTTCTATGGTGTTTCACGGTTGGGTCAAGAACTCGTGTATCTGCTCGTCTCAGTGTCTCAGAGTGTTACTAGTGCAAAGGATGGTACCAAAGATAAGAAGTTACGAGGATTCATTCATCCATGATACTACGGTACACTACAAATTCAACTCGCTGGAAGCAGGAGAAACAATCACTGTCGACGAATTCAATAGAGGCCATACACCCGTCTCATCATGATGATTGAAATGACTTTTGACGTCTTGGTTCTAGAGGAACCACTTTGAGCTCAAAAACGTCAACCCATACACTTTTCCAGCAGCTCTGGACATTGTCATCGAACATTAGGCCCTCTTGTGAGTAAATCCCAAACGAGTTGTTGGATCCCTTATGCCATTCTCATGCTGGCCCAATATCACAACATCCATCAGCCACACGAGATTGCAGCCTTTCAAATCTTGCTCCTCTTTCCCGCCTTCTCCGCCGTGAAGGTTGCCAGGGCATCCATCAACGGCGGACTGAGCGCATCATATGGCTCTAATCCGAGCTCCCGCAGGCGATCCCGTACCTCACCCATCTTCTCCGGAGGATAGCCCTGTTCAATCAAGCTCGACACAAACGCCGCAAACTGTGGCTCTTGCCAGCCCTTCTCGTCGCTCAGCTCGACGTGCACGAAGGACAATCCCTTGAATGCATGGTCTTTTTCGATCGGCCCGTACATGTGGACACCGCAATCCTTGCATGCGTAGCGCAAGATGGTGGCCTGGTCGTTCACGACGGCGAGCTTTTCTTTGTTCTTGGTGACTCGGACGTTACCGTCTGGAATAACTGCGACGATGGAGAAGAGGGCGCCCTCTGGCTTATAGCACTGAGAGCATCCACAGGCGTGATTGTGCAGGACATTACCCTTCAGCTCGACCTCGACGGGATTGGAAGAACAGTGGCATCGAAGAGTACCGCCGGGAAAGTCGTCTTTGCCCTTTGTGATGCCGTTGTCAATGAGGGGGTGTAGGGATGGTGCCATGGTGCTCGTGTCAATAGGATCAATAGGATCAAATACAGTTGGGAACAGGAAACAATTGAGGGGAACACAGCTTCAGTGAGATCCGACAGGGTTCTCAGGCAGCTTTATACCTTCAGTAAACCATCGGGTACGTGCTGTGTACACTTCCGTCAACAGAGTCCCCAGAACCTTACTCTTGTCATTCCATTGGTGCCGTCTTATTCTGGCATCATATGAGGGGTAGGTGAATGAAAGGATCCAACTCATTCAAGCACCTCGCTCATCTACTCCGTTTTAAGCCAGACGACGCGGCCCCTCAGCTCCCATATGGCGCAATCCGCAGGTCCGATGGCAGGGGGCATGGGCTGAGCACTGTGAGTGCTTGTAAAGCAACGCTGAGATGCTTGCTCCCACACTCGGTCGGCAGTTGTGGTGGTGCACCGAACTCCTGTTGAAGCTCGGGAAATGTCGTGTCAGCTTCAGCAAGCGATGTGGAGAACAGGGTGACTGTAGCTGTTCCGTCGTCTCCATCTTTTCAAGAACTGTGCCGGTACCTCTCACTCGTCGGTGTCTTGTAGATGAATTCGGAAACTGTCAAACATTGTCCAAGAACCAGATCGGAGGGGAAGGGGGGGTGGCGGACCGAAAAGGGCGAGGAAATCCGATGGGACACTTTGAGCAGAAGGGGAAGAGGCAATTGCGCTGCTATGGTTGATTGATTGACAGTACCAAGTTACATGAAGAGTCTGCGGCGCGCCAAACCAAGTGGTGCACCTGCGCAAGGTGCGTATTTAGGCCTCTGTGCCTCCGTACATCTGGGCGCCGCTTCGAGTACCAAGCCTTACGAGCAAACTTTGTGCAACCAACGTCCGCCATCCAGCCGTTCCTCCACTGGCTAGACATCCCGTCACCGTAGACACGACCATGAGCACTTGTTCCAAATGACATGAATTTCTCGTCGCTGGCAGACGCGTGACTAAATATGCCCTTTCCATTTGTGCTTTCCACCACCTCCCACATCTCCTTTCAAGCCAGCCTTATCTCATCCACTCACCCGTCCCTCCCCACCGCAGCGACATCTCAGCGGGCGGTTCTCCGGTCGGCTTTAAAGGCCCACAAGAGACTGTCAGCAGCAGACCAGGCTACGAACCTGTTGCCTCTTGCCTCTACAGTCCAAAGCTATATCCGCTACCTCGTCACCCTCGACGTCGCGCTCTGTGGCAAACCTGTGGCTGGTGAGGACGTTGACATTGCACTTGCAAAGGAACCTGAGATTGAATGGCGACCAACCTTGAGCTTGAACGCCATTCCAGGCCGCGAGAATGAGCGGGTCAAGGGCAAGGGACTTGACTACGAGCTCTTCTTCGTGCATCATACACTAGCGCTCATTCAGAATCTATTAGCCAGACAATCTCTCCTTGGGCTCTATGCTGCGGTGAATCCGACATCAGAGCAACGCATAACACTGATCCAAAGTGCTTCCAAGTGCCTTAAGACGGCACACGCCATCCATTCCTATCTTCTGCTGAGAGCAAACTCTTCCAACGATGGTCCCCCCACATTTCCGCCCGCTGCGGTTGATGTATCGGCAAGTGTGCAATTAGCTTTGCAGCACTTGACCCACGCGGAATTTAACTTGCTTTGCGTGCTGAAGGAAGATCCATACCCTGCACTGCTCATTCAATCACGAAACAAAGACGATAAAGAGTGGATGATTAGGGCTCCACAAATTCAGAAGGTTCGGGGTCAAGTGCTAACTCGACTTTGTATCGGAGCAGCAGAGCATGCTTCTGCGGCTGCAGTGGCTCTAAAGGTCGAAACCGCAAAGGCGTCGAAAGAGCTCTTAGAATACTGTGATGGCATTCATCGAGCCTCGCGGGCAAAAGCATGCAGATTCCAGGCACTAGAGGAGGACACACATGCAGGCCAAACAGGGAAGGCCATCGCGTGGCTCAGAGCAGCAATGAATGAGCTAGGCCTCGAAGTGGGAAAAGATGGCTCCAAGTCTTCGGGCTTTGCCAAGCTGAAGACGTCCTGGATCGAAAGACGAGAAGACAAACGGATCGAAAAGGGTAGCTCAACGTGGGGGATGGACGGCGGTAAACTCGAAGAAAGTCGGATCGTCGAATACCTAGATCAAAAATTCAACAAACAGAACGATACGATTAACGTCCAGCTGATACCGGAGTGGAAACCGCTGCTGGTAACACTGCCTAGCGGGATGAATATGCCAATTGATGAAAGATGGAAGCCAGCACCCTTGGAAGAAGATGAATTGGCGTCAATGAGAGCGCCGCCGGAAGATGACGGACTCGGTGCCGCCAACAGCTCGGATGAGAATGAAGATAGCACAACGGCGCCCGCAGGAGCTTTCCCTGGCACGCAGCAGGACTATGGTAGTAGGACGAGTTACTATTAAGTGCTCGACCCGGACAGGGAAATGCTGGTAAACTCCAGCATCGCCGGGTTGCGCACTGGTGCGTTCTCTTGTACCCCAAAGTTTTTGGCAATAGGGCTTCTAGCCCGTGTGATTTATCTACTCTTTGTTGCTCGCATAATTATGTAGAGAGGAAGTCGGATGTCTATGGCTGCCCTATCAACAACTGATGCAATTTTGGGACTTGTATCCATGTACTCGGGAATCAGGCTGGCAGCCTCGTCAGCCTCGCCGACCTCAGCCTTGCCCCTGATGGGCATTCGAAGTCCCAACCCCCACAAACCCCCTTTCTGTGTTTCAACATTGTTTCAACCACTGTTTTCGCCACCAATCATCCGTTCAAACAAGTGATTCACAGCATCTGTCCCCGGTTCAACCCATCCTGCGTGGTTCGCTGTAGTCATCCACAAGCTTTTATCCCCCTCCGTGGCCTGCTCAGCAGCCAGCCGAACGCGCTGAACCCCAAGAATCGCCGTCACAACGCGTGGGGCCTTCGCAGAGGATCTCGCGTGTATGGAAGTCGATGGTTGGATCTGGGCGCGCCGGCGGGAGTCTGTCTTGGTGGTGTGCTAGTACAACGGTTCGAGAAGTTGCGTGATGAGGTCGTGACCACTGGCCCTTGTGTCTACGCGCTGTTGGATGTGGTGCTGATGATGCCGGTGGCTTGGGGGCCCCTAACGGCAATGATGGGTGACTTCTTCCTTCTTCCTGGGTCAAGAAGCGTCACGGAAATCAAGGTAAGGGGACGTGTCTGTTTTCTCCCTACAACAACAGCATATAAAAGTGGACGGACCAGTGCGTTTGTAAAGTGCTATCGACAAACTCTTGGCTCTCGTGGTGTGCGTCCAAGTCTCCACCCTGAACCGGGCACAAGAGCAAGAGGGAAAGCACAATGAATCTCACGTTGATATATTTCTTCGGCATCATGGCTGCGATCCTGGCGCATACAAAGTCAACCTCAGCTCTGCCCGTGGCCGACTCGATATTATTGCCAAAAATCACCATCAGACAAGACTCTTCACCACGATCGCCTAGTCAGACTGCGCCGGCGCCGGCGCCCAACAACGCTCGTTTCGTGAGAGATGGAGGAACACACGGCAAGCGACAACAAGATCTGCCGTCAGAAGAAGTCGAAGGGGACCCGACATCCAACTCTAACATACTAATACCGACACAAGGCACTCAGTCTCAGCCGATGTACAAGAGAGGAAACAGGCACCCTCCCATGGCGAGATTTTACCCCTTTCATAGGGGCAACGGGACCAGTTTCCCGAACTCGCAGACATCGCCTCTCAATAATGGTTCGAGCGGCACGCAGCCTTCCACCGGAGTCACTGGCCCTGCCGTCGCCCTGTCAAACGGAACATTCACCAGCCCCAACAACGTCACCGATACATATACGTCCGCTCCCAATCCACGCACAGACACGACGATAGTGACGGTCGCACGGATTCAGGCGCTTCCCCCAACCACGGCGTTATCCACAAATGCACCACCGCCTGTGCCCGAACCTCAACCGAACCTGGCCACCCAGTCACAGTTTTCCGGGACAACCGCAACGCTCACAACGAGCCAGAGGACAGGGAGTCCAAACTGCCCATTCCGATCGGAAATACCCCCGGTCCCGGATCCCGACACGACATCTAGCCCGATCTTCCCAGTCATTGTGACAGTCTTCCCTGTTTCGACGGGCTCTTCCACCATAATATGAACAAAACTGATCGGGAATGCTTTGTTCGCGACCACCGCATCTTGCCAGGCGGACCAATGCTGCGTGGCATATGAGATTACGATACCCCGGGATTGGAGGAATGTTGTTTGCTTGGTTGCTGGGGACTTGGATCGCTGGACGACCTGGGAGGCCTTCTCCACCACCACCAGATTAATTAACTAAACCTGGCTTCTCCACGGGCTTTTATGACAGGATAGCGCACCTATGTAGCTCCATGGTGATGAGCCATGCACTCTTGCCAGAAAAAAGTCAAGGGTGAAAATCGCAATGCAGAACACAGGATAATTTCCTGGCATATTGTAAACAGTTCTGGTGACTGCAAAATGCCATCACTTTGACCATATCATATATTCAGTGTGCCTACCCCCATTGCTCAAGTTCAACGCAACTGAGATGTTTCCCTCCGATCCCTTTCCCAAAGCATGATATTGGTATGCATGACAGTAATGGTATGATCACTTTACAGGCCAGTCCCTCAGCAGTGGGGAGCCCAACGTCTGAGCTGGATACATAGATACATAAACATGGGAGAGTTCATAAAACTCGCGTCGAGGAGAGACTCTTCTATCTGCACCGAGGAAGAGAAGGGAATGCGTCAACAAAGCTGGCTCCATATCGAACATCGCACAATTTCCGTGGGATTTGTTGCATTTCCATGCCTGCTTCACGTAGTCCCCAGTTACAGAACCTCTCCAACAATCTTTGCAGCCTCCTTATAGGTCGCGAGCAACTTTTCACACTTCTCTCTTTCCTTCTTGATCCCATCGTCCTCATATAGCAAGTCACCGAACAGCTCTTCTTTGTATAGTTCGCTGACAAGACGGTTCTGCACTTCATCTCTAGAGTGGTTGACAAGCAAATGCATGATCGCTTTTGGCACTTGATCGGCAATTGTCTCGCGGACGATGTTGAAATAGCTGGAGATCAGACGGCGGATCAGTTCGGTTTCGAGGGCTTCGCGTTCCGTCAGAACAGGTTCAGCATTTTGTTCGGGCTAAATGATGTTCATGTTAGCAAAGGATATGGAGGGAAATACCAGAGAGACGGGTCGGGTGTACGTACGAATAATAAGCTCGAGTCGCCATACTCAGACCCCGGCGCATAGTCGTCATGCATCGCTGGTGGATACGCAGGCGATCGATCTGTAAAGCTTCCACGCTCCATTCGACGCATGCTCTGCGAGAAGCTCGGATCAACACTGTGGCTGACGTGCCTCTGGGCCACCGAGGCGGACGACGGAACAACTGCTGGACTACCCTGTAGCGGACCGCCAGGTAATCCGCCTTCCTTTCCGAAGAAATAGTTTAGGAACGAATCTCTGGCAGCGCCTGCTGAGCCAGCAGCAGCGGATATGCTACCGACGCCATTTTCACGCTCACGAGCGACGGCGGGTGACATGCTCCGGCTCAGTGTCGGGTGTTTTCTGATTGGTAGCGAGGTAGATTTGTCTTCTTGTTCCGCATCTTCCTCATCTGGTGTGGCGGCGCCATTAACGCCCAATTGCTTCATGCGCTGCTTCTCTCGTTTTCGTCTCTCCTCGGCTTGTGCAATCTTCTTGTCCTTCTCGTTCTTGCTCGCGATGACAGAAGACATTGCAGCAGCGGCTCCAAGAAAGTTGGGGTGGTTGGTATTGATGTATGCGCGTTGGATTGCAATCAGTGACTCGACATAATTTGAGCATGGACCAAGTCGCTCTCGAAGCAGATCTGAGACGACCTCGATAAGCTTGCCTTGCAATCTAGGAAATCTAGACAGCTCCGTGGACCCGCATGTATGGCAAATCTTGATCAGCTCTTCATAGACCAGCTCCACACATCGCTGACTCGGGATCTCCAACAACTTGATTTGTGGCTTCACCAGGAGGTCAAAGGCAAGTTCAGGCACGAAAAGACTCGGCCGCGGTCCGGTAGAGTTTCGAATGGCGGTTCGGATGTCGAGGACAGAGAGGTTATGTGTAGGATCGATGGTTTCAAGAGAGTTGCCGAAGACGGAGTTGAAAATGTAGTATATCCTCGCACCACCACAGAGCTCTTTGGTTGATATTTCAGACGACGTACCGTCAATGGAAGAGATGAATGATGTGGCGAAGCGAGTCATAAGTTGAAGGATTAACGACCCGCGATGTTCCTTGCCACTAAACTGCTTGCTCCCATAAGATGCCAGTTCTTGCTGTGTCTGGCCCATCAAAGTATTCAACCGCGCCTTGATGTCAGGTAATCGATCACGGATGTGGCCCATGAGAGTCGTGTTCAGTGTTTTGGCCAGATATTGTGTACCGCATCGAGTTGCCATATTCCGATAGGCGGGATGGTGTCTGAAAAATTCTGCCTCAGATCTGAGAGCTTCAGACATGGGTTTATTGGTCTGTATGTCCTGTTGTGACCGGTTGACAACACCAATAAATCCAAGTTTCAGTGGATAAACACGGCCCGACAGGATATCTAAAGCGTTTGTACCATGGTCCATCAAGTCCAACTTTGTCAGGACGCCGATGGTCCTTCTTCCCATGGGGTCAACATGCCGAGCGAGCTTCAAGGCTTCCGAATTGACAATATCGACGTTGGCAGGAGAGACAGCAAGGATGATGCTGTTTGGTTTGGCAATGTACTCGGAGATGAGGGTTCGCGTTTGCTTCTCGATGTCGGAGGGCTGGTCGCCAATGGGGACTTTGGTCAGGCCAGGTAGATCCACCAGGGTGAGGTTCAGGACATGGGGAGAAAAGATCTTCAGGTTGATGGGTTGTCGATTGATGCCCTTGTTGTTGCCCGCTATTCTCGCCGTCTCGTTCTCAATCTCAGCACGGACTTGGTTAAAATCGGTGAATTTGCGACCTGGGATATGGTGAAACTCTGCCCACTCCCCGTGTTCGGCCACGCTGGCAGCTGTATGGGGGATGTGTATATCGCCATTCCCGTTGTTATCTGAGTCGTCGTCTTCAGGAGGGATGTTGATAAGCTGCAATATCAGCGGCCGGCGAGTGACAATGCCACTTCCACGCGGAAGAAAATCCCGGCCAACAATGTTTTCCAGCACAGACGACTTTCCCGACGACTGGGAACCGACCACCACTATCTGGGGGAGATCGAGGGAGTCATTTCCTATCGTGTTGAAGACAAGGTCTTGGAGCTTGTTGACTGTGCGGAGGAGGTCATCGCCGAGGGTGGTCATTGTCGATGACCGTGTCGCAACTGGTTAGGAGAGGTGTTTCGGAAAACAAAAGTTGGATACAAGGAAAATAGCTGGGGTTTCAGGATGATAACCAAAACAACAAGTGGCAACAGAGAAACACCACGACGTAAAAGAATAGGAGAGAGGTGGGAACACGGCGAGGTTGTGGTGAGTCTTTGATCAGATGGCCACCTGCAGGCACATGTTTACTTGCTGGCGTCTGTTGGGGGGAGGAGGAAACGGGGAGCACAACTTTGCAGGTGCTGCAAGGACCGCGGCGATGTGGGTTTGCAGGCGCAGGATGAGAGCATGGCATTTCAGGTCGCTTAGGAAAGCAGGTTTCGCGAAACACAAAAAAGGTAGATAGAATGACAATGACATTGTTGGGCGGACTGCAAGTGAAGCGGGTTTGTGAGTCGGGGAAATTGTCATGTCAGACTGGCAAGTTATGTGATTCGTCCAAAAACATCCCAATGGTACCTGTGGGTGCCTGGCTCTGACGTCGACCCCGGCGGACCATGGTCCGGGGATGCCTATTTTGGTGGCTTAAGGTGGCTGGGATCACCCCGCCGCGGTCCGCCAGATACCTACCAAGTTCAGCGATGCCATGGCCGCAACTCCTGCTAGGTATGGAGCATCCATCCGAATCAGTGCATGAGGCGGGGTCAATATTACGACATGGCACCATGACAACAGGCCATTTACTCTGGATGAGCTTTCCAGATCTTTATATCTCAACCAACCTCCTCCCCATCTCCTCAAGTTGTTCTAAATCTCCTGCTACCTTGCCATTGTTGTTGGCCTCAACACTACCACAGTCATGCGTACCACGTCTAGCCTTGCGATTGCCATCACGGGTCTCCTGTTTGCAAACCATGGCTCAGGTCACCCGATCGACAACGACATTCAAGTTCCCTTCACCGAGACAAGGCCTCAGGAGCCTGCGACCGAGGGCTCATACTCAGCCTTTTCGACCCTCAGAGACGTCCTAATTGACCACGATATCATTGGCGATGTCCTCGACGATTTTGAACCCTCCTACTCCCTCGACATCACCTACCCAAATTCACACGAGACTGTTCTCCTGGGCAACGACATCCCCGTCGACTCCGTATCGAAACGACCCATCTTCACCTTTCACTCCGTAAATTTTCAGTCCAAGTCAGCACGAGACAAAGAGTCCACCTTCACGCTGATCCTGACGGATCCTGATGCAAAATCTCGCGACAACCCAAAGTGGTCTGAAATGTGTCATTGGATTCTCACCAACTTGACCACGCCTATACCAGAGCCCCCCTCAGTGTTCCAGCCACTGAAAGCCAAACCCGGAGAGCTAGAGGAATACCTACCGCCCGGCCCACCACCAAAGACGGGTGCTCACCGTTATGTTTTCGTCTTGTTAGAAGGCGAGGCATCGACTCTGAAACCGCCTGCGGACAGAAAGCACTGGGGTTATGACAAGCCCAGACACGGTGTGCGGGACTGGGCCAAGGAGAATGATTTGACTGTTGTGGGAGCCAACTTTTTCTATGCCCAAAACGAGAAGCAATAATAGGTGGAGAAGGATCTGATACCCAGAGGCTTGATAAACCCTTCATGTCCGAGCTTCTTCAAGGAGCTGGATCGCTGCCAACCCTCTCCACACTTGATCCATGGCGTCACTTCCCTGCTTCAAGTGCTTTTCAATTGTCCCCGAGGAAGCGACATCCGCCGCCTTGGCCGCAAATGTCCACGATTGAAGTCGTTTCGATACTTCGTCCTTCGTGTCCACTTCAGTTTCCTGTTTCTGCTTGTCTCCCAACGCGGATGTGGCATGCACAAAGCGTCCAGAGCGAGCTAGGATCGGAAAGGCTTGAAGGAGTTGGCTCTCGTCACTGAGTCGGTCAAGCATATTGACGGTGCTAGAGGAATCTTTTTGCAGCTGGTCGTCCACAAGTGTCAGGTGCGAATGCGTCATTCTCTGCTGGTGCATGGCTGGTAGTAGACCTCTTTCGATGGCATTCACCAAGAGATCAATAGCTTGAGGTTGGAATGGTCGCTCCACTGGTTCCTCATTTCCTGAAGTTGCTGACTCTTTCTCGAGCAAAGGAGATCTTAGGTTGGCTGCAGCGGAGAGAAGCTGTCTCCGCGCCTCGACATACTGCTCGTACATAATATTAATTTGTTGTTCAAACCCTTCTTCGGTCTCCAGCACATCTTCTGCATCATTAACGTTCGATAGATCAGGTCCTTCTTGACATATGTCCAGGGATTGTTGTAGCCAAGTAGTCAATATCTGTCTCACCACACACATCGCGGCGAGGTGTTGTTCGTCTGGCGCACTGTTGGGCTCAGGGATGCTGGATTTAGCATGATCAAGCAATGTTTTCTGTTGTGCAGCTTCGTATCTAGCACGAACCACGGCCACTTCGAGAGCTTGGAGAGATTGCATGATAGACGTTGGAAGTCCCCCCTCTAAAGCATGCTCGGGGCGATGTGGCGCAACCACAGGATCGATAGGTGCGGTGGTGGTGCGCCGTGCGATGGCTGGCCAATTGGATGATGACAAGATGGTATCCATGTCAGCTTTGAGAGCTGTCAATTTGGCATTCTGTCCCCTCAGTCGCAACAAGTCGAGATGTCGATCGAGGAAGGCCACATTGTCCGATGCTGGCCGTGGCGATGGATCCGTAACATGGGTGTGTGACGAGGCAGACTCAACGGCCTCCTTGTAGCACCGCCTTGCCTTGACATTCGCTTGAACGGCCGCGAGATACTCGGCTTTCAAGTCGGCGTCGAGATGCTGTTGACTTTGTTCGTCTTTTGCCGCATCAACGGGGAATAGGTATTTTCGAATCTCTTCCACATCGTGCGTGGGCTGGTCATATTGGTCGAATATCGTGGTGATTCGCGCAAGAAAATTATCGCGATTCAGCTCCTTTTCCGTCATGGCCGTGCTGAATTGATTGATAATGTCTGGTGATCCTGTTTCCGCCCTATCTAGCAGATTTCATATCTCGAATGGATTTCACGAGGGTGGTTCCACCATAAATTTGGGATTGGGTTTTGAAATTGATTAAAACCACGGCATCAAGCGTCACTGCCCGATCGGCTCTTTGGTGAGCATGTATTTGAATCCGCAACTGATGGTTACCAAGCTGTTTCCACACATGTTCTTAGAAAATTGGGGGCAGACATGATTGTTGCTATGGGAAGCTATCGATTGTGAGACGCAGGTTCCGAGAAAATCGATGTGAAGATCCCCGCTTGTACCACAAGAATAACCCCTATAAAAATTGACCATAACGCTCATAGTTACACTACCCAAATGCTGTACGTGTGCGTGAGGAGATTTTTAGCCAAGGAGTAGCTATATATGCGGAAAAGAGTCTTGAGATGGGATGCATATGGTATTGACAAAGTCCTCACTCGAAAGTGCAGCTCATGGCCTATGGAATAAGTCGATAATGGCCATTGGGAGGCGATCTATAGAAAAGGTATGATGGAATCAAGTCGTATCTCGCAGAGCTGGTCTGCTTAGAGACAGCCGAGCAGTGTGCAGTCTTGACTCCTTTTCGCTTTTGATATTCCTGCTTGGAGAAGTGACCATGTGGGATAGATCAGAGCTCCTGGAAGATACAGCCCAGGGGTTTCCGTCTCCAGACGTTGAATGTGATGACATGGCATCCATTGCGAATCTTCCCGTGACTTGAGGATGGCGACGTCTTCTCCGCGACAACGCATAGAGTAATGCTAAGGTGTGCGCAGGATCAAGAATAGTCTCCGAATTGCCATGCATCCGAACCCACGGGAATCCCATTGCACAGGTATGCTATGCCTGTGCGCTTGTCCTCAACAATCTGGGGTGTAAGTTTGACCGAGGGTGGACACAGGCGGAACATTCAACGACCTCATCCATACTGCTCTATTTCCGCGTTCACGAGCTCTGCAACGAGCCTTGGGTATGGCATGAGAGGATCCGTTGTCGTTCAACCCCTCGAGGACAGCTCCCTCACATGTGGTGAAGAGACAGGAGTATATCGCAAAATATGGTAGACCCTTTCTGGCATCCGATTCTGCCGCCACGATCGAATGTATAAATGGTCCTCAGAGGTGGATTGGAGTCCGTCGTATTTCAGGATTCAGGACTGGACGGAGTGGTGGCGAGCAAGACCCCCATAGAGTCGGGATGTTTCGCTGAGAACAGGGGGCATCGACCCATCTTCACATCTCACGTCACTATGTTGGCGTTATGCAGCAATCAAACCCTGATTCAGCTGCGGTGGCCATTCAATCCTTGTTTCCAGTATGTCTCTTTGCTTCGATTAGCCGCCGCATAAGTTCGCGGCCATCGTCGCCTTCCTTGCCCTCGATCTCAATCGCTCTCTCCAACCACTCAACTGCATCCTGCCATCGTCCCATCTCCATCAAACATCGTCCTCCCACAATGTAGGCTTTCGCATTGCCAGGGACCTTCTCCCCGTTGGGACCGGTGCCAGGGCCTCGTTTGCATTCAAGGCTGCACTCTGCATCTTTCAGACCCTCCACCCAGTTTTGAAGGTCAGCATTGGCAGCAGCCCGCGAGAGATACATCAAAGCGAGCTCTTCTCTGGCCAGGCCCATGGGTTCCCATCCTGGTCGTGCAGCAGCCATATCTATGCCAACTCCGAGGAGGCGGATAGCATCTGCGTGCTGGCCTTTGCGAGACGCTGCCACTGCAGACTCTCGTAGTTTCTGGATCTGGCCTGATCGTTTGGGGTTGACCGGAAGAGGAGGAGGCGGGATATTATTTGGGGTCTCGAGTGACTTGAAGGACGTGTGGAGCTTGTTTATATTGGAGATCGCATCCTGTAGCGCCTTGTCTGAGGATAGGACGGAGATTTGTTTTGTTTGGGGATCGATGTGGAGCGGGAGGTGTGTATAAGTTTCTAAAGCGTCGTCGGTTGAGGCCATCGTGATTTCAATGGGAGAAATTGGTGGGTGAGATCGCAAGATGACCAGCTGGGAACCTGCGGACGACAGAGCACAGGGCAAAGGAATGGGAACTAAACGACAGGGAGAGGTGTCTTCATTGCGGTAAGTCTTGGCACAGCCCGGACGTCACGTGGAAGCTTCACTGCGTTTCCCCGCTTGAACGGAATCTTCTACAGGAGCAACCATGCTTAAGCGCTAACTGTCGGCGAGAGGATCCCCGGTTCTATTATAACGAGCAACTTTGGTTGACATGGTTAGAACGTGACGAGAAAACTCCAGGGGAGAATTCTGCTGCTCTGAAAAGGCTAATGTATGGTAAATTTCATTTTGGTTTACATTCGGCCCAGAAGAGACCAGGTGCAGAACTTTCACGCCGTGGCAGCGACCTGCATGGCTCGGGCCGCCTTCGCGGCAGGATGCTGGTACCTGGCAGCGATGAGGCGCTCGCGGAAATACTCGCCAGCGTTGACTTCTTCGTACTTGGTGCCTTCCTCGACGCAGGTGGGCACGGTGGCGAGGGTGGCCTCGCGGTTGGGACTAAAGAAGAAGGGCATCGAGTAGCGCTCCTTCCCGCTTTTATTCACGACGCGGTGCACCGTCGACTTGAACTTGTCGTTGGTGATGCGGCTAAGGAAGTCGCCAATGTTGACCACATAGCTGCGCGGCCGTGGCGGGGCATCGATCCAGATTCCATTGGCATTGAGGACCTGCAACGCCTCGACCGACTCCTGGAGGACGAGGGTGAAGAAGTCGTAGTCGGTATGCGCCCCAAGGCCAATATCGGAGGCGCCAGGAACAGGCTGGGGCGGATAATGCAGGATGCGCACGCCACCCATGGGGTATGATGTCGCGGCATCGAAGTAGTCTTCGGGCAGATCAAGTGCCAGGGCGAAGATCTGCATCAGCTTTTTGGAGAGCGCCCTGACCGAGCGGAAGTACTGGTACATGATGGGCCGGAACTCAGGATACGCTGTGGGCCAGCAGTTGCTGCGCTCAATCGCCGTCGAGACGCCACTGCTGGGCGCTTGGGACTCGGGCTCCGTGGCGTCGTCACCCATGGTGAAGGCCTCCTTCATGTCTGAAGCCGCGACATCTTGGTTAGCCTGATGGTGCACACGTTTGGTAAGACGATGGACGAACCTCCCTTGCCAGCGCCCTCCATCTTGGTCTCAAACAGCGGTTCGTAGCCGCGGAGCGCCTTGGATTTGTGGATGTGCACCTCCATCTTCTCTTCGTGCGAGAGCGCAAAGAAATGCTTGACGGCGGCGAATGTCTGGTCAATAACCTCGTCTGGGATATTGTGGTTCTCGGCGTAGAAGAATCCGACATCCTGGCAGGCCTTGCCCACTTCCTTCGCCACCTTCTTGCGCTCCTCGAGAGAGTCAGAGAAGATGCCCGAGATGTCGATCACCGGGATGGACTCGAACGTCTTCTTCGCGGCCGCTCCCCGCAGGACGGGGCGAGAACCCCGTTTCCCACCTGCATGGTAGTGGACGTACTGTGAATGCCGGTCAGAGGCGCCGAGGGACCGGCGGCGTTGGGGCGTGGTGTGTGGTATTGGTGGCTTACCTCTACTTCTTCATGCCCGAGAGAGCCCATTGTGATATTGGGATGAGGTGGCTGTGCGAATCAATGAGATATATCGACGGGTATCTGAGCTCAGACCAGAGAGCAAGATCATGCAAGGCACGCATAGTCTCTGCCAGGCCAGGACAGCCATGGCGTTTATATCTCAGCAGCCAACGGGTTTGCCGATTCCGCAGTGCGTTCTGCCGCAGCGCGGACCTGAGCGCTTGGGGGATCGCTGGAGCGGTCATCAACGTCTCGATAGAGTGGAAGCGTGAGGATAAGAGTGGGCAGAATGGGGCGATCTCCCGTGGTGGCGCAGGCCGCAAGAAGCTTCTACAGTGTTGACCACCTATAAAGATTGGCCATTTCCCCCGCGTCCTCTTGGCGCCGCTGTCTCGCCTATCATGCTGGTGAACCAGCCTCCTCGTGTCACTTCGTTTCATCCTCCCGAATTCCCTCCACTCATCCTCCCATCCTCTCGATCTCTCGCCAGGCCGCTTAGCACTGCGAATTGCGTCTCCGCTGCTGGCTCAACTGCCCAGAAAAGGTGGGCCGGGACTCCCCGAATTGTCGTTCCCGAAGACTTTGATCGGATATGCCGAGAGAGAAAGAGACAGCGACGGAGACTCCAACACTGGGAGTCAGACAACACGGATGGACTGTGCGTCCTATAGTCTCTGCCGAGAATCTGGACGTCTCCGAGGACGGCCAAACCCCTGGTTGACCAATCTTACTCGAGAAATGATCACCGGGGTCCTACAATGCCTTGATGTCCTTATCAGTGGCACTCTGGATAGTAGGACTTGAGCGACTTCTGAATCATATCACGCATCTGGCAGTCAAGATGATGCGAGTAAACCATGGAAGACGGAGTTTCTTGGTTTCTACTACCGGGTCATGTCCTCGGGACAAGACTGTTGCTGATAAGGGGTATAAAGATGCGAATCACCCGTCTCATTCGGGCCGCAACCTGACCGTTAGCACATAGCAAATTTGTGCTGGTAACCTCCTCCTGTATCTATTTTAGCTACCCCGCTTGCTGTCCGCCATGGGAAAAGAACTTCCAGCGACAACGACTGCGGTTGAGGACAAGACAGGGAACGAAGACCCTGCTCTCCGCATCCAGGAGGCCGCAGAAGAGTTAGGCCTCGACGTTGGCCATGTCAAAGAGATCAAGGGCGCGGATGGTGCCTACACCTACGCCAGCGCCGTGGCCCTGGAGATCGACGAGAAGACCAACAAGCGACTGCTCCGGAAAATTGACTGGCACGTCCTGCCGTGGCTGTGCGGTCTTTACGTGTTGCAGTATCTAGACAAAGGAGTGTAAGATGCTATGTCACTACCCAAATTCTCTGCGTTAGCTGATAATAATGCCGAAGGCTATCCTATGCTGGTGTCATGGGTCTCCAAAAGGAAACAAACCTGACCTCCAATCAGTACACCTGGCTCGGCTCCATCTACTATGCTGGGTACATCGTCTTCGCTCCTGTCCACAACCGCATGTTCCAGGTCTTCCCGCCTTCAAAGTATATCGCGTGCTGTGTCATGGCATGGGGTGTTGTCCTCACATGCATGGCCGCGTGCCATAACTTCACTGGCCTCATGATTCAACGAACGTTCCTTGGTGCCCTCGAAGCCTCGATCAACTGCGGTTTCTCCCTAATCACGGCCGCGTGGTATCGAAAATACGAGCATGGCAGCAGGACAGGGATCTGGTCTGGCTGTACCGGTATTGCGACCATGATTGGCGGATTGATTGCCTTTGGATGCGTGGAAGGAGAAACAAAGAATCCCGACGCCAACTTTTCCAGCTGGAAGATCCTGGCCGTCGTCACTGGCGTTGTTTCTGTCATCTATGGTGTCTGCATGTTCTGGTTCATGGCTACCAGCGTGGTAACAGCCAAGTTCTTCTCTGAGGAGGAGCGAGTTCTGGCCGTGGAGCGGCTGCGAGAGAACCATCAGGGTGTTGGCTCGACCAAGTACAAGCGCTACCAAGCTATCGAGGCATTCACTGACTACCGGGTTCGTTCTATCCCCCCCTGACCTGCCTGTTCTTACACACTATACTGACGCATATGCTAGACTTGGATGTACGTCGTCTTTGTTCTCTCGTCCCAGATCCCCGCCGCCGGACTTGTGCTCCTCCAGTCTATCATCATCAAGTCCCTCGGCTTCACAGTCAAGGAGACGCTCCTCCTCAACATTCCGCAGGGTGCCATCAATGTCATCTGCAATATCGGATTCGGCCTTCTTGCCGACGTGACGCACCAGCGTAGTGGTGCCGCAATCCTGGCCGGCCTGTTCTCTCTCTTCGGCGCCAGCCTATTCATCGGCCTTGGCGACCATGGCCACTTTTACCGCAAAAATGGCCAGTTGGTTGCCTATTTCTTCATGAGCGGTAGCTGCTCCACAGCCTGGTTTATCGTCATTTCCATGTTGTCGAGTAATGTGCTCGGTACCACCAAGAAAACGACGCTCAACTCCATCGTCTTCCTCATTCTCGGCGTCGCGTATCTTGTCGGACCCCAGACATTCCGTGATCCGCCTTTCTACGAGCATGCCAAGATCAGTCTTCTCGTCCTCTGGATCGTCAGCGTGCTCGTCTTGTGCGGCTTCTTTGTGCTCAACACTTGGGAGAACAAACGACGGCAGAGGATGCTCGAGCGGGGCGAAATTTCGGACGGTCATGGCACGAATGTCGAGTTCTTGGATTTGACGGATAAAGAGAACAAGCTATTCCGTTATGTCATTTAATTCTCTGGCAGATGATGGCGACAACGAAAAGGGCAAGGAATATCTGCGGGAAGGGAGACGGCACAGCCTCTTAGCTCGACCACCTAGGGGGAATTTGAGAATGAATGATGACAGTTGAGGGTCCATAACGTATTTCGCCTTCAGCTACGTCCTGGAGTTGATCTATGAACCTACGTGTTAGGAATGCATGTATTGATGCTGCGGCGTGGGAATGTGCGAACATAGTAGTGCGAGGCAGAGTGAGGCGGGAGCCAATTATGAATACTACTCAGTATTTGTAGAAGAATACTGCCTAGGTAGGTATGAGTAGAGGACGCCCAAGGCTTTCGCGTATACTTCAACTGATCGTCACCATCCGTGCTTCTATTGTGGTCACATGGCCCTGCAAGGCGCTACCTTCCTTTTCTGGAATGGGCTGCCCTCCTTCTACAACACCCAGAGCCCCTCTCCTCTCTCTGCTTGTTCCTCAGAAAGAGTCCAACACAATACAGGCGCCTCTGGCTCTGTGGGCCATCGTGGCCTCTCTTCCTTGTTTCATCAACGTCCTCGCTCCGATCGCTACGTTTCAGGATGAAAGACCTGGATAAAGAGAACCAGAAGCTCAAGCTCACCATCAGACAGATGCAAGAACTGGAGTCCGAAGCTATAACGCGGGAATCAAGAGCCAACAAGATCGCCCTTCATGATCGAAGCAAAGGGTGGTGTTGCGAATTGCATACCAGCCCTGATTGGAACGCACCAGCGTCTCGGAAATTACAAATGGAGTCTTTTCCACGAAGGCTATAATATGCTCCAGGCGCAGACGGCATGACAGTGGTTCGGTTCAAAGATCTACCTGAAGTGAGTGCTAAGCCTGATTGCATACACAATGGGCAAGTCAAGAGCCTGTTGACAACAAAATCTGGGGGCTTCTGTCAACTCCTCCTAACCAGCTGTCGAGGCTGCGCCTGCCTTCAAGGATCCACTCCTTGTGCCTTTCCCTTGATTTGGTTGTGATGACGCGCAAAGAGCGAGCTCAAATCGCCCACAGGAAGAGAAACAGGAAATTCGACGGTCAAAAGCATCTGCGACAGGAAGAGATAGCCTGCCGCCGCCGTTGACACGAAACCAAATGCTCCACCCGCCTGTGTAAGATCATTCGTTTATCCGCTATCAGCTCATCTTGCCTTCTATTGCCAACGATGGAAAGGTAGGACTCACGATCAGTAGCTTCGACGCGACTTCTGTTCCCACTTCCGCTGAATGCCAAAACGAACCTGTGAGCAGGCAGAAGCAAATGACCAGGGTACTGTGGATGATGACCAGACAGATGTTCAGCTTCAGAGCACAGATGAGGCAGACCAAGCAGAAGAGGGCCATGAAGAGGAGGAAAAATCCTAGGTACAGAACCCCGAACGTCAGTCTAATATGTTCTTCAAAGACTCTCCATGTGAAAAAGGGACTGACCCTGTCCTCGCGGTAGGTGGACATACCGAAACCAGCAAGAAAACCTGTGGTAGACAACCCAGCAGCAGGATCCGTGGGATCTGGCGAGTAGTTTCCGTACGCTCCGAAGGAAGGTTTCAGTGTTGCTCCGAAGCTCAACCACCATCCACCTGTATAAGGTTGCGCGTCAGTACCCGACCATAACATTGGTTTTGTTCTGGAAAGGTATGAAGTGCCACAAGAAACAATTGGGCAGAAGGCCCAAGAAGGGACCAAGAGACCAGAAATTAATATGCACCAAAGCCGCAAAAGACAATGAACGGGTAGCTATTGCCCAAGATGAACTCGCCGACTCCGCCGATAGTCATCAGAAGTCCGCCCATGAAGAAGAAGACACCGATTGACGAGGATCCATTGCCCCCAGCGCCTCTCCAGCCCATGAGATCGCAGGACAAGGGTCCTAGGCTCATGATGAAGCCCAGAAGACATCTAAAGTCGACGCATTAGTCCTCTCCGAAGAGAAAAGAGGGCGGCATATAAAGAGACCAGGGCTTAAGGTGGCTGGCTGTTGGAAAGAACACTTACAAAGGAGTCGGATTGGCAAACGCCTTGCGCAGCTCTCGAGTGTCGCTGTTCGGTGGCGAGAGGTAGATCTTTTCATATGTTGATGGCGACATGGAGATCTCGCGGGCAATGCGAGTCATCTGGTCTGGCGTCTCTTTCTCCATTGCGTCTCGACTGATCGGGGGTGTGGTTGATGGTTGTTGGTCTCTATGAACTCTTCGCAATCTGCATCTATCGAGAGAGTGCATGTCAGATTCTGCCGCCGTTTGACTTGATATATTGGCTGGAAGGCTGTCATGCCTTGCCCAGGGGGGACGGGATGAGCTCAGCCAGGCATCTCCCCCCCTTTTCCGAACACTGCATCCACCTTGTTGATCGTCGACTATCCACTGAGAGCCTGATAACCACACCAGCCTATCGACGATTTCGATTATTGAGCTGGCAGATAAGAGGTTCCAGAGCGGTCGAAGAACTGGGTATTCTGAGCCGGACAAAGATAAGTGTGATTGTCAAGTCTTCGTCTTCAGAAAGACAGCAGCGACGTCCGCGGATATACTTGAGTGATCTTCGAGATTGCTAGCGTCCCTCGTTAAGATTGAAGAGACTCAGTTTCTGCGAAACGTGGACCGCAGTGTTATATTAGAGGGACTAACCGAGAATTGCGGTGATTGAAACCATGCCATGCCAACAAGCGCAGCTCGCTGCCAACATACCTCATTGGGAAATGCTTCGGCCAGATCGAGAATCGTGCCAGCAGCAGATAGAGGCAGCCGGTTTTCCTCTATCGCATTGACTGCGCGAGTTGTCCAAAAGAAGTTTCGACTGGACACTGGGAGACTCCACAATCATTCCTTCTTTGAGGTTGTATCATTGTGACTCATGCCCACTAAACCAACAAGGGCGTGGGGAGATTTCATTGATACATGCAGTACTGTTCTCTCCAACACAGAGGATGCAGGGAAAGGGACGAGAAACTGGTCGCAGCTCCGACATGGCGGTAGAGTGCCTGGAGCTGGAGCCGGAGGACGTGATACCGAGACGATCTTGCCTCATAAGGCAACAGATGAGTTCGCGATCGTGGGGAAAAGCAGCCACCATATTCGGAGAGCACTGTCCACAGACAGATTGTATGCAGGCCGATAGTGGTTGCAGATTGTCGAATGCTTCATCCCAGAGACTCGCAAGCGGAGACACAAGTCGACACTTCTCTTGTCTCGGCTCGCCATATGGTAATGTCGAATATCGGACACCTCGATTTTCGGCCGAACTGACGGTCTACCAGCATTGAATTACCGAATCTGAAGAAGCAGTTGTCGTCTGCTTTCATTTCAGTGATTGATAGGCTGTCAAGAGAGTCTCGACCCAAGATACCAGATGAGGTTAGCAGTCAGGAAGCGCCAGGAGTCGAAGGGCCTAGGTGAACAAGGCTGACGCTGGTGGAAAGATGGATCGGAGATCAATCCACCCCCTCAGGCTTGACCAGTTACAATTTTCCGTTGAGGAGGACGGACTGAAGGAAAGCATTCTGAGGACAGTCAGTAGGCTTGTTCCTGCTAGACGGGCCCAACAACCACTGGTTCGACCATTGAGCGCAGTCTCCGGTAACTTGATATGAGTGGAGCATGTGGGCTGGGATATCACAGCTTCCGAAACCCACGGGGTTGATTGTTCATCACCTCGCTGCATCTCCGCGGGTGCGACAGGACACACCAGCACGGCGACGATCTGTCTGTCGACCAAATTTGGGAATTGAGATAAGAATTGGACTCGAGGTTGCTGGTACTGAAGAGAAAAGCCAACTTGATCAACGGGTCGGACATAGGCGGCCAAGGTCGAGTATCCGGAATGGGAGTGCTCGATGAAGAATCGGCTTCCGCGTCTGGTATGGAATGAAGCAGAGACTCCACGCAGAAGCAGCTCATCTCCTCGGAAATCTGGAAATGCATCAAGTGATTGGTCAAATATAGAGGAGAGCATCGACACGTCGAGACGAGGACCGAGTCTTGCCCCTCCAGTTTGGGTTTGGTGGCTGTGCTACTCACAACCCAATCGCGGATATCAATTTTCAGGGAGAGATACGGAGCAGATGTATGGCGAGTTAGGTATGTTTTGCTAGCGGGAGCCGTGTCAGACCGAGTCTTCCAGTAAGACAAGGTCTCCGAGTATGCTGTGTACCGATCAGCGCATAACCCAGACATGGAACACAAGGCCTAGTGGAGGTTCCATGATAACGGTGCCGGCAAACCGAAACAGAAGCCACATTAATCAATTTAGCGTGGGCTTGAAGCTAGGGAAGACCAGTAGACAAGAGATATCACACCCAATCAAAGATGGACGCGAGAGATGCTTTGTACTTTGACAAATAGGACAAGGGAGTAAGGCGCGTCGCGGTAGATACAGGGTTAATGTCTTTGAACCGAGAGGGGGAATACGAGTGATCCATTCCTGGTAATATCAATGTCAAGAGCATATACGCCAGGCGTCCCGGGGACATACGTATTCCCTTATCAATGCTCTTCTTCTCTATTGTCCCATTCCCCAGTCTAGCTCTTCTGTCTAGGTAGCTTTCCACGTCAATCCCCGGAATAATGCAACCCGTCAACCAACCAGCGTGCGGATCCGCAATTTGATTCCGTGCCGAGGAGCGCAATCAAGGGGATGATCTGCCGAGTCAACGAGCAATGACAATCATGTCTGGATAGAGGAAGCAGGATGCATTGTTCAAACCGCCCGACCCAAGTACTTTACACAGAGGCCTTGTTTGGCTCCCGAGTGCGAAGACTTCAAACTCAGATAAGACCCTGAGTGGCAGTGCGGGTCTCGCTTGAAGGCTGTGCGATATCAGAGTCCTTTTGATTCCTGGTTTGGTAGAGCTTGGTATGTGTGTCTGTGTGTCTGTGTGTGTGTATGGTGTATGGAGGAGAAGGAGGTGCGAGGGCAAACAGCACCAAGAACACCATGGGGTGTATATAAAGGAGGATGTGTCCGGCATGGTTCATCATAGACATCCACAGAGTTCAGAGTCACTCTGACAGACAAACCCTTCCTGATCGAGGCCACCAACCAGTCTCACCTTTATAGTGGAAGGTATCTATATTTATATTTACATTTATATATATATCCACATCTGATATATCGACCTCTCCTCCCCTCCATCTAGTCCCGCCACGCCCACACAGACACCTTACCATCTGAACAAATCGATCCTACCATGGCGATCGACTTCACCCTATCACCCTACCAGGAGAAACTCAAGGCCGACGCACGGAAGTTTGCCCAGGAGGTCCTGGTCCCCACGCGCGAAGCGTATCTGAAACTGCCCACACAGGAGGAGCGCTTTCGGGCCACCCGCGAAGCGTACGCCAAGTGCGTGGCCGAGGGATGGATCAAGATCCAGATTCCCGAGAGCGAGGGTGGGTCGCGCAAGAGCTTGGTCGACTTGGCCCTCATCACCGAGGAGTTCTTCGCCGCCGACTCCAGCTTTCCCATCACCTGGCTCGTGACGGGGTTGGGCCTGGCCCCGATCTTCATGTATGGCAACGCCGAGCAGAAGAAACGGTTCTTGGCCCCCTTCATTGACTGCAAGGGGGACGCGCTGGCGGCTCTGGGCTTTACCGAGCCGGGAGGCAGCGCGAACTACCTCCAGAACGAGGGTGGATTGGGGGTGCAGACTCTGGCCACGGTCGAGGGCGACGAGGTCGTCATCAACGGCGGCAAGCAGTTCGCCTCCAACAGCGCTGGGTGGGACTTCAAGGGTCCCGAGATCTTGACGTTGCTGTGCCGTTTTGGCGACAAGGGAGACCCCAAGGAGACCCTGTCCATGGTGGTGCTGACCCGCGCCGACTTTGAAGCCGACAAGAACAAAGGCGCCTTCGAGGTGCTCTACGACATTGAGACGCACGGGTTCCGCGCACATTCGGGCCCGCGCACCAAGTTCACCAACTTCCGCGTCCCCGTCAAGAACATCCTTGCGCCACCGGGTAAGGGGGCAATGGTCAACGTGGCGGCCTTCACCGAGTCGGCGGCCCTGGTGGGCGCAGGGTCCGCGGGCCTGATGCGGAGCTGCTTCGCACACACGCACAAGATCGTCACCACCGAGAAGCGCGGTGGCAATGTCCCGACCATCAACTACCAGTCGGTCGCAGACTTCCTCATCAGCATGAAGATGCGAGAGGAGACCACCCGCTACCTCACCTGGAAAGCGTGCCACTACCTCGAGACGACGGGCGAGGCTGAAATGGCCTACCAGGCCAAGGTCTGGGGCTCTGAGAACGCCATCCAGTGCGTGCTCGAGGCCATGCAGGCCGTCGGCGTGACCGCGTACGCGACCTCGCAGCCGTACGGGCTGATGATGAACGACGCTCTCTGCCTGCCCCTGTTCGAGGGTTCAAACACGGGAATTCGCCGGCGCCAGATCCAGAAGATCTTCACCCAGGCAGGGTATGACCCGGAGTCGTGCGCGAGTGGCAAGCCGTGGAGTAAGTCGTTGATGGATTTCCCCAAGGGGTTCTTGAGTGTTTATATCTGAGGAGAAAGTGGATTACTACATGGGTGGAGGTGATAGGGGGCCCAACCGGGGGAAAAGGATGAGGGAAGGCAGAGGCGAACGAACCATGGGATCTAGTCAGCGTTGCTCCAGCCGGCACGGCGAGGTGATCTGCCTTAAGTAGCAGCTACAGAGCAAGAGTTTTCCAAGAAATAAAGCCCTGGACAAATGACAAGAATTCTTCTGGTCCTCAAGCGGATGTGATTGAAGGTCGACAAGGCTGTCAGGCTGCACCCAGAGTGATAGAAATATACGTCGTCATGGTAAGTCTGCATTAGGAACGTCAGAGGTGCCGCTTTATTCCAATGACAGGGCAGCGTTAGCATCCTTCACAAACGGGTCCATTCCCTTTCGGGCCAGACCTCCAGCCGAGGGGCTGAGTCCCTCGTCTTGGCCTTAAATATCAGGTGTGAGTTATCACTGACCTCGATCGACCTTTACTTCTCCTGCTATGACCGATTCTCGCCCATTGAAAGGTAGGTGTGAGGTATCAATCTTCAATATCCTTGATAGCAGGGCGCAGCATTACTATTCCCAAGATTTCTTCTTGTCTTCGTGGATGGGTTGCTTCCACACCACCAATCTCCAAGCCGCGACCGTATTCGTTTTCTGGCGTGACAATTAACGGACACATCTTCCCTTTTCGTCCTCTGTCAAGTCCTGGTGTCAAGCGACTAACTGAATATCTGCCACTTGCTGACTCGCTTAGCCCCTCTCTGCCAGCTCTCTGCCTTGCGAACCTGATTAGTCGACACCCAAGAGCCAAGAATCAGCCTCAGTGCCTCACCGTGCATGAATACGAGATGGCTGGCCAAAGGCTGCAGACACACTGCCCCATGAGTCACGGCACAGCCCACCAGGAAGCCTAGTAAGGCACAGCTATTCATTGCTTCCGGACACATCCACCACGAGCCTCGTTTCTCGGCGAGGTATCACGACAATACCTTATAAGTCAGCTTTGCACCCCATGGCCGCGCCGCGTTGAAGTTCGGAACATGAGCTCCCCAAGATCCAGCATTTTCTCTTGATTCCACAACGATGCTAGTCAAAGATTCAGACGGAGAGTACAATGAACTTTCTGGGTATGCGTATGAGGGGGTATGGGAGAGATATGGCGAACCAGCCCTTCGGAAGTGGATCTGGACTGTCACGGACTCAGATGCCCTATTGATCCTGGCTTGCATCGCGCTTTTCATTGCCGTTACACAGACACGCGCGTGGGTCATCTATCGCTATGTCATTCTCACCCGGACCCAAGTCCGGCCCGTCAGGCTTCCTGATGAATCCTCTCCCGAACCCTTGCTACATCTTTCACAGGGCAAAGCAATTGCCGAAGTTCTCCCATTCGCTAAAAATGGCATCTCCAACCTGTGGAGAAAGCGGGCATCGATGCTGCGAAGGCGCACTACTCAGCCAGCGCCCGAGCCAGAGCAAGAGCAAGAGTCGAGGTCCGACGAGCCGGCGACTTCACCTTGGTTTGGTATCATTGCACTGTTTAACGTGGCAATTTTCGTCACACTGGGCGTCGTTATACCATGGCTGCTCTCCTTCGGATCCGCAGAAACCCCAGTAGTGAGATCAAAGGCTACTGACAGTTGTTTGAAGTCGGACAAGTTGGCCAACCTGTTCACTCTTACTTCTATCTCGCCTAAGTCAGGGGCCATCTTCTCACAGTGCCTGGATCGTTTGGATGGTGGCTGTGACGCTCCGTTTTATCTCGAACAGCCGGTGGTGACCAAGAAGCGTTTGGACCACTGCCCATTCCATGGAAACATCTGCCACAACCAGACACGTCCATTCCAGATCACCCATGGCAATGTGACTGCACGCCAGTTGGGGGTCAATTCCAAAGCACAGATTTCATTCAACCACCGGCTCACTTGCGCGCCGGTTGATCTCTCTCCCTTTCTTCTCTTCTCAAGAGATACGCCAGTTCAGACCTGGATATCTACCAGAAATTTCGATCTCCCCAACGGGAAAGCTTTGTGGCCAAACTTTACCATGCCGTTAAACACTGTGAACGGGCCCAACATCGTGTCCAACCAGAGTTCGGGGCTTCGCATGGCGCGGGAGCATAGTCCCTACGACCTTACAGTACTGCCTAGGCGCTGGGCTGGTTACGAGGGTGTCATGGCCGACCCAGAAGCACTCCACAAAAGCATCCAGCGAGATGACGGACTGGCGTACCTCATCGTATACCGATCTGGAGCCACACAATACTTGGGTCCCGTCGATGACCCCTTCTTTGCTGCTCACAACATGGGCTGGTCGAATCAGACCGACCACTACTACGCAGATCGTGAAGCCACCGCACTGGCTTGCTTCGAGACTTCCCAGTACTGCGTGATAGGGTCTGGAGTCTGTACTCCGTGGGGTCGAGGGGCGACGCAAGCATATAAAATAGTGAAATACCCCGGTTTGAGTGTCGATTCTCTTGCAGAAGTGATTGCCTTATTGAGACTTCTACCATCCTTCTTCTCGGTATTCACTTACCTCGCCGAGCTGACTGAATGGCATGGGATGATGCCTTTGAAACAGATCGGTATCAGACCATACATGTTCACCGTCCTCGACGACAACAAAGAGCAGTGGGTCATTGAGGTGGAAACGTGGTTCAGAAAATCCATTCTCAGCGCTATTCTTACAGTGCGCCACGGGGCGAGGTTCCATCTGAATGAATATTCCGTCTTTTTCGACAACCCCAAAGTGCTGGAGGGATTTCTCAAGAAGTGGTCTCTGTGCGGGAGGATCCTCTTTCGAGATGGGAACTACACCAATATCAACTGGATCGGATTCTGGGCGACCATGACTCTCTTCGGATTCATATGTCTCTTGAGCTTTTTTATCGAACAGGCCCATATGACTGGGGCAGCTTTGTGCAAGACCACACGGACACTCCTGATCAAACTCACACGAATCGGCCATAAAATAAATTTGGCAGTGACGGCATGTGGTAGACAAGGGGTCGATGGATGGCGGTACTGGGTGCTACGGTTCTCGAGATCACATCCCCTGTTCCACCCGGCCACTCCCCCGAGACCCAGGACTCGCGACCAGGAACAAGGACCGGCCACCGTGGACTCAGAGCTACACGATCTGGGAGACTAGCATTCTATTCCACACAGTATCATCTCCATCTTGACAATATGCCCTCACGATAGGTGCGGATATTTCAATCACAAACACCACGCTGGATGTCTCAAATTCGCACAGAGAGGGACATTCCCACATCAACCACCGAAGTTCTTCCTGGGGAAAGACTGTGGCTAGCTGGTGTAGAGTTGCTGCGAAGATATAGAATCAACCGTAGAGAGCATCACAAGGTCCAGAGAACCCGAGAATGCTTGAAGTCTCTTCTGCTCCCGCCATCTCCGCACATGACAACCTGTCCTGACTAGTTGTATATCTTCATCCCACCCCCACCCCCGCAACTCTGGCTTGTCTCTGGTGGGTGCCTGGGCATCCCACCTCCGCACTTAGCGGATCCCGATCAGGATTCGATTAAACGATTAGCATCGACCAATAGAAGTCCATCTAAAAGGGGTATGGGTGACCAACATACATCTTCCTCAATGGGAGGATTTATAGTTAAGTCGCACAGTCCCTGGCCGTCGGTCATAACACACAACTTAGCCTCTCACTGTACTGGATATTCTTTCAGGCTCCAGACATCATGCCGGGCATGTACTTTCTACTGGCTGTGGCGGCCCTGATAGTCGGCGCCATACGTCTACTATCCATAGGTCGGAGGCCAAAGGGCTACCCTCCCGGCCCTCCTACGCTGCCACTGTTGGGCAATCTTCATCAGGTACTTAGAGTTATTTCGCCAGTGGAATTGCCAGAATCTAACCGACTCGCTTGCGGTCTCTAGATGCCAACCCGGGATGCACACTTACAATTCGAGAAGTGGGCGCGCGAATATGGTCCGATCTACAGCTTGATGCTCGGCACGCAAGTATTGATCATACTATCGAGCGACGAAGCCGTGAAGGAGCTTCTTGACAGACGAAGCGGCATATACTCGGACAGGTTGGACATGTACATCGGCCAGACACTGTGCAGTGGAGGCTTGAGGTTGCTGATGATGGTACGTCGAAACAACTGTCTTTCATGCTCAAACCGTTGCTGACCGTTTGTCAAGAGATATGGATCAGTATGGAGAGGCGTAAGTGGCAGGGAATTGTCCTGATTGCATATACATTGACTCACCGCTTGTTAAGTTCCGTAAAATGATCCACGGCCTTCTCAACGTCAACACATCCAAATCCTACATCCCGTACCAAATGCTCGAGAACAAACAGATGCTGTACCAGCTCCTGGAGGAGCCCGACGACTTCCTCAAGCACATCCGGAGGTATTCAAATGCGTTGACGACCACCATGGTCTTTGGCTGGAGGACGCCCACATACGAAGACGCCAACATGAAGCAGCTCTTTGAAGGCTTCTCCGAATTCGCCGAGATCAACCAGACCGGTGCTGCGGGACTGATCGACTTCTACCCTATCCTGCGAAGCCTGCCCGACTTCCTGCTCCCGACGCAGAAGAAAGCCAAGACGCTGCACAAGCACGAGAAGGCCCTGTACCTAAGACACTGGCTGAACGCGAAGGAGGACATCAAGAACGGGACGATAAAGCCGTGCTTCTGTGTGGGCATGGCCGAGGCCCAGAAGGCCGAGGGCTTCAGTGACGATCAAGCGGCATACATATCCGGGACACTCCTGGAAGCGGGCTCGGACACGACTTCAAGCACACTGTATGGCTTCATCCAGGCCATGCTCCTGTACCCGGAAGCGCAGAAGAAGGCGCAAGAGGAGATTGACACGGCTGTCGGGGACCGTCTCCCGACCATGGACGACGAGTCGAAACTGCAGTATGTGCGTGCGTGCATGAAGGAGGCACTCCGGTGGATGCCGACCACCATCCTGGGGGCGGTGCCACATGCCGTGACCAAAGACGACGAATACATGGGATACCTCATACCCAAGGGTGCGGGGGTCATGAACAACGTCTGGGCCATCCACATGGACCCCAACCGCCACCCCAACCCACGCCAGTTCGTTCCCGAGCGGTACATGCACGACACGCAGAGTCTGTACGACTCGGCCGCCAACGCCGACGCCAGCAAGCGCGACGTCTTCACCTTCGGGGCCGGCCGGCGCATCTGTCCCGGCATGCACGTCGCCGAGCGCAGCCTGTTCCTCGGCATCTCGCGGATCCTGTGGGCGTTTAACGTCGCGCCGGTCGTGGACGCCGACGGGAACAAGCTCCTCCCGGACCAGGACAAGCTGACCCAGGGGTTCGTGTGCATGCCCGAAGAGTTCCAGGCAAAGATCACACCGCGGTCTGCGGAGAGGGAGAGGATCGTGCGGGAAGAGTGGCGCAAGGCCGAGAATGAGTGCCTGGACCCGCAGAGCAAACAGTGGTTGAGCCCTGCGCAGCCTTAGCTAGATCCTTGTAGCGGATCTGGACTTGTCTGTTGCTGCACATGACTGGGTACATTGGAGCTTTCGATCCCGATCTCGATGCTGTGAGGTCTTGCTATGGGGGCAGCTGTAGATATATACCCCTATATACCTAGCTACTCCGTGCACATGGCGATATGGCAGAAGAAGAAGAGGAGGTGGAGGAGGAGGAAGATATGTACTCGGTACCTCGTAGGTTTGTCCCAAACCAATCAGATTGTGCGGGGCTCCGCTTTTCCGGGGAACCGAGAACATTTGCCGAGATGCAAATGATTGACGTGAAGCTGCAACACACGAATTGGATTTTGGCTTCTCTGGATATTTCACCCGATAGGTGCCGGTTCTATAACAAATGACTTAGAGATAAAGACTGCATTCTTTCCCCAATCTATACCTCCCTCCCCTTGTTCTTTTTACCCAATATACTCACTCATCCCTGCGCAACGCCTCCATCCCATATATGCCATGGCAGATCCTCTGACCCTGAATGTATGTCCGACGTGTTCCAAGTCGTACAAAAGAGCCGAGCATCTGCGTCGCCACCAGCTCTCGCATGGCAGCGAGCGGCCCTACGTGTGCGTCCTCTGTCGCAGCACGTTTCAGCGCTCCGACGTGCTCAAAAGGCACCTCAAGACGTGTGAGACGGTCGCGGACGCTGACGCCACGTCGGATTTCGAGGAGCCCCACCCCAAGAGGCTGGCCTTGTCCCAGTCACAGGAAGACCCGGGCTTGTCGTTCCTACGTCCTCCTATCCTGCAGTCTGATATGGTAATCACAGGCGACGACGACTCGGGTCTCATCCCCGTTGACATCCCCGACGACACTTTCGAGCACATCACGGGCTGGATCTCATGTGGGCTGTCACCGGCGCCGGCCCACGGTCTCGACGACGTGTGGCAGGATTTCCTGAACTTCAACAACTCCGGGACACAGACTCCGCACGCAGGCCACCCGGCCGAGAGCGCCACAGACCAGGACATCGACTCGTTGCGCTTCCTCGACACTTTCACCAGTACCACCGGGTTTGTGTCCTCGTTTGACTGCGGCACGCTGGAGCAACGGCGCCGTGTCAATGCCTACTACTACTACCACCACAACTCTGACACTGCCAAGCTGGATGGTCTGGAGAAGTGCTCGGCGACACAATCTAAGTTGATAAGCGCGGACACCACGGACACATATAGAGATGGCCCTGGCCCCGGCTATCATGCAGCCGGGGAAGGCACCCCATCGGCAATTGGGAATACCAGCTTAAGCCGCTGGCTTTCCGATCCGCTCTCCTTCAAGTGCCACGAAATCGTGACTTCGATCAGAAACATCGTGCTGCACAAGTCGCGAAAGAGCTACATTACCTTGTCGTGGTCGCCCTCGATCCACGAGACCTGCGCCCAGTTCTTCTTCCCCGCCAACGTCCGGCGGTTCGTGCAGCTGTACTGGGCGGTGTGGCACCCCAACGTGAACATCGTGCACAAACCCACGTTCGACCTGACGACGGCCAAAGCCGAGCTTCTGGCGGCTATGGCTCTGATCGGTGCCTGTGTCTCTCCGGACCAGACCGACGGCGAGAACGCGAAACGGTGGTTCAACTGCGTCGAGGAAATGGTCTTTGACGACGACGATTTCTGCGACGACCCGCCGAGCGCAACACTCGCCCGCGGCGACGGCGACTGCGAACTGCGGTGGCGGCGACGGAAGATCAGGGCTCTGCAGGCCTCGTACATGGTCTGCCTCTTTCAGAACTGGGAGGGCACGACGTCCAGCAAGCGGCGGATCCGGCGGCAGCGGTTCAGCATGGTCATCGCGGCGGCGCGGGACGTGGGGATCCGCAATGCCCGACACCCCGACTACAGCCAGATGGACCTCTGCGATTTCTCCTTTGAAAACTTCGCCGTCGTCGAGGAGTTGATCCGCGTGCTGCTGTGGGTGTTTCTGCTCGACACGGCGTTTGTCATCTTCAACAACCTGCCGCCGCGAATGGTGGTTCGTGAGATGAGGATGAATGCTGCGTGTCCCGAAGCGTGTTTCCAGGCCTTGACGGCGGAGGAGTGCTTCAGGGCTCTTCAATACCGGCATCAACGACAAAGCAACACACAACCAAAGGTGTCGGACGATTTCACGGCGGCCTTTGAGCTGCTCTACCGGCCCGACCTCGACGAGGAAGCCAGCGTGGCCCTGGCCGACCTGGGCCCGCTGAACCTCTTCGCCATGACCTCGGCGCTGCACTCGCTGATCTTCCACCACCAGAGCTCCTTCAGCTGCCAGGGCACGCTGGACCCGATCCACCGCGCGCTGCGCTCCTGGCGCCGAGTCTGGCACGTCTACCTGAACCGATTCGCGCGCGAGTCGCAGCACGCCACCCTCGCGGGGGACCTCGACCTCGACCATCTCGAGCCAGACGAGATGTGGCGCCGCGTGGGATTCATGCGCCACGCAAATGAATACTGGTACCTGGCCGAGCTGATGGTCGAGCGTCTCTCAGCACCGCCGCCACTTGATCCCGGGGCTGCGGCTCCTGAACCCACCGAGACGATGACCAGCACCACCACCACCACCATCACGACGGTGGCAGCGCAATACCCCCAGAGTCCCCTGAGTGCTGGTGCTGCGGGCAATGAGACGGCAATGAGCCCTGGGCCCCTGCTCGACAAATACGACGAGACGAGCATGCAGCAGGTGAACTCGCTGATCTCGGACTTTCAGACGTTTCGGATTCACTAGGACTCGGCCGACGGTGCGTGGTTGGCTCGATCCCAGCTATGTATACCCATGGATCTAACACTTCATCGGTATGTTATATGGAGATCCTGAGAATTGGAATTTGTCGAAGAATCCAGGTGTATAATGAGTGTATATTGTATAGTGTACATATATTATCATTGTTTCGAGTCGCTTTCGCGACTCACGACATCAATAGCAAAGACGGTGGTATCATCTCTTGTATCTTCGAGGGAAAGGATTTGACCCGATCCGAGCATCACTCTGGTTGAGCAGCCTTTTAGTCTTGTTCAACACTATCGCGGATTTCTCGAGCCTGGATTGGAAATGCTCTAATGAAGCGTGCGACCGTCAACTTCCCCTCTGTAATGTCGTCGACTCTGTCTCTGGTAATTCGTGGTATTGATGAAATTCACCAGGCTGATCTATCATGTAGTCTGAAATACACAAATAGCAGTGTGAATAAATCAACCCTTGCCATGTCCTGATACCAACAGGCTAGTAGATGTCTGGCGTTGCGTTCATGTGAACGCTGAGATCGTTGAGATCGGCGTTTGTGAAACAGTGATCTGCAGGATTGACAGGAGGATCGCCAATGAGATCTTCCGGCGCGAGTTCCACTGACTCGTACATTCAAGGACGACGAGGCAATCTCGCAGACCCGCGTAGATCAAACAGGCGCGCTGTGGTCAGAGTGGGTGACGGGGTAGCGCCATGAATGCTCCTAGGTTCTGACGAAGCCTAGTGGACGTTTTTCAGGGTTTCTGACAACACAACATCGGGATACCAATGGCAACACACTTCATAACCTTGGGCAGGGTTTGAAGTTGTCCGTGGCGTGCATTGTCGTTCCTTGTTGTTTGTTTGCCAGTCTGCAAGGTGTTCTGAATGAATATTCCCGAAGAACTCCAGAAATTTAGGCGTGGGACTATGCCTCCGTACTGATCATGGCCATGCGCGCGCAAAATCCCAACTGCTGACATAAGTTCTACAAGGCTCTCGCCCCTGAACGACCCAGTCGGGTAGATTCAGAAAGGAAGAACTGGAGAAATGAATATAGCAGCCCTTTGCCGATGACGCTGCAGGTGTCATGTCGTCCAACAGGATATGGCGCTTTTGATGGAATCTGTTGTGTGATGGTACTCGAACTTTTTACCGAAGCTTCTGTGCGAAGGACATAGCAGAGACAGTAAACCGTAAACACGTAATACGGCGGGGGACATAACAAGGAGTCCTGGTGACGCCGAGCATTTTGGCCAGATTGGATCAATCGAGTGACCAAGATCAAGGCAAAGGAACAAGCATGCGTGACTTTCAGCCTTTCAAGACGCGAGCCAAAATTCTTCCAAGCACTCCTCGGACATTCCGCTCATTGCCCGAGGTCAACGCTGTAAACACGATAGCAATGCTCGTGGCAAAAATGGCTTGTTCCCTGCGCCGGTACTGTCGGTCGTAAACGCGAGGAAGAACAGTCGCCAACGCTCGCGGGGCCACAAAGAAGGCGACTTCCTGTCGTCGACTCGGTTTCTCCAGAAGAACAGACCATCCACATGCAAGACAGCCTGCCAGGACACATAGCCCCGAATCCCACATCTGGGGCGTTACGGTCTTGTACGAAAAGACTTTTGGACCAAGTCGAGTCCGAGCCAAGCAGACGGCATAGTAGAATGATGCCACAAAGCCAGCCAAGAAGGACGAGGACCTCACTGCAGCTCGAAGAGCTTTCAGGACGGACTCGGGCTTCAGTGAACGCAAAATCGTCAGTAATTGAAGAGGCAAGTATATGCCCATAGCAAATTTCCAACCTCTCCAAAATCTAGAAAGCGCATGAATCTCGCAACTCTTGCCTGTCCCACAATGATACAGCTCACACGGAATTGGAATGGTCTTTGAAGGGTCGGCGAACTCGTCGGGTAGGTTCAGCTCCTGGCAAAGGCCTGTAAGAAGCGGTGCTTGTCCTGTATCCTCGCCATAGACAAAATTACCTTGTCGAGCTAAGCGGAGTGCTTGGATTAGACGAGGGTCGATGTCGGCCGCTTTCGAGATCCAGTGGTTGTACGAGCGAGGGAGTCGCTCGGGCGAATAGAACCATGACCACATAATGATTGCAGCGGAACCAGCGAATACTGAGGGATCGACAATCTCGCGGATGAAGTTTGCGAGACGTGGATTGCGTTGCTCCGGATGCCACGATCGATTTCGAGTTCGAGTCCAAAGAGCTATCACTGCAACATCCAGCGCGCGGCAGAAGGCAAATGCCGTAAAGTCAATGGTTTTGCCTGCATAGCGAGGCTGATAGGACGGCGGGGGTGGTTGATGTAGAGCCGATGCGCTCGGAGCACTGGTAGAGATAGTCGTATTGCTCCGAGATATCGCACGCTTTCTAGCCCAGCTTTCATCCCGATTGAGCAGACTAAATGCCAGCCATGCCGACCAAAAGGAGCACAGGAAGCGGATCAATGCGGCAAGACGATTGCTGAGACGCGTAGTACCCCTGCGCTGTGATGACAGGACATAGTCGATACATGCCTGAATTAAGTGCGGGAGCGCAGTTGCTCCGCCCACAATGACAGCAGCTGCAGTAGGGAACCGATTGATCTGGGTGGATGTGACGAGGATCTTCTGTAGGATGGACAGGATCTCTCGAGATTGCAGATGGCTGCGTCGAAGGGTTCTCAAGAAGGCAAAGAGCCGGGGCGTCGTGACGGTGAGATAGCCCAGGGTATAGGCGCGAAGAAGGGGTTTGATGGGCTCGAGTGTATTGAGATGAACATATTTCTTGCGGTGCATTGTGGTCCTCGGCGTTGCTCACTCTCCCTTGATGCTTTGATAAGAGAAAGGAGATGAGGCTTGATCTGCGTTGGATTTCGATAGGCCAAGGAATGTTTGACACTTGATTGCAAGGGGCCTCGGTTCAAGCGTCAGAGTTGGCACGTGAATGTGTCTTGAATATGCCAAGAGGCCAGTTGATGCTAAAGTATGCTAAGCCACCAAAACTAAGAGTTTAGCGACTTGGCGTAGTCGGAGTCGGTGGGCTGATCGTCATTGCCGCTCCCAGTGACGTAGTTCCCGTCACACAACAGCTGGTTCGGAGATGAAGTCGGGAAGGAGCGCAGCCAATAATGACTGGGCCGCTGCATTTTTCTGTGTCTTGCATATCGGCAACCACGGCAATCTGGGTGGCTACAAGCACGAGGACCTACGAGTAGCTAGGTAGCTACCAATAGGTACCTAAGCGCCTAGGTAGGTATCTACTTGACTTGAAGGGTGTTCACTACCTATAATGTGTCCTGGTTACAGGGTGGATAGATGCAGGTACCACGTACATGCCTAAATACCCCTGGTCATGCCATTGCACCTTCCTCTGGCTTTTCAAATCCTCATCATCTGCACTTTCCTCAACATTCACTCAAGTACCTACAAAAATCATTGAGCACATAATAATAATTAATACAACTGCGTTCATCCACCTCGCTGTCTCCTTCTTTCCCTCCCTCCTCTCTCCCTCTCCTCCTCTTTCCTCCCCCCTTCTCCACTTGTTACTTCGCTCGCTTCTTCTTTGCCTTCTGTTTGCCCTGCCAACTAGGTGCTTGGTAATTTCTGCCCTTTACACTCGCTATGTTCACCAATTCCATCCTCTTGGCTGCTTCCGCTGCACTGTCATGGGTCAGTGCTTCACCAATACATCTGCGCTCCGATTACAATGTCAAGGAATCCAATAACGTCCCTCCCGCGTGGTCTCATGTCGGCGTCCCTCATCCTCTCCATCTCTTGACCCTCAACATCGGCTTACAGCCAAATAATTTTGATCTCCTCGAGCAGCACCTCCATCAGGGTAAGCCCGTGTTTTAGACAGGCATCTGAGAGCTGGTCTGCAGTCTTTAATCTAACCACACTCCAGTCTCCAACCCATCCCACGAACGCTACGGCCAACATCTGTCCCAACAAGAAGTTCACGACCTTCTTAGGCCGTCTGATGAGACGTACCACCTAGTTCAAGACTGGCTGGCTGACAATGGCATTGACCCGTCTCACTGTCAAGTCAACTCGGTTCGAGATTGGGTCACGGTCATTCTCCCTGTCAACAAAGCTGAAGAACTACTTGACACCAGGTACTCCATCTACCAACACCAAGACGGTACCAGACTCATTCGAACCACGAGCTGGTCTCTCCCACGCTCGCTTCATGACCATGTGACCACTATTCAGCCCACCACTGCGTTCCTTCGAGCCAACCCCAAATCCAGCACACTGATTGATGTTCCCACGGACATTGACATTTCCCAAGTCACAGCCGCCGCCAATGCTACAACCATCAAAAGCTCCTGCAACTTTGGTGGTATGACACCTAAATGCCTGAGGACCCTGTACAACACCGTCAATTACAAGCCTCAGGCTGCCCACAATAATTCAGTCGGCTTCACCAATTATCTGGGCCAAGTGTCGAACCGATCGGATGCTCAGACCTTTTTGCGAAACTTCCGTCCTGATGCTGTCGACTCCGCCCACGCTATCACCCAGGTCTCGGTGAATGGTGGACCTGTTGACAATGGCACATCAAAAGCAGGTTTAGAAGGCAACCTTGACCTGCAGACGATGCTTGGTATTGTCTATCCCACGCCTGTCACCTTGTACTCTACCGGCGGCGAACCCCCCTTTCTGCCCGATGACTTTGTCCAAACTAATACGAATGAGCCCTACCTGACTTGGCTTCTCTTCCTGCGCGACCAAGATATCAACACCATTCCCAAAGTGATTTCCACCTCCTATGGTGACCATGAACAGACTGTACCGCAAAGCTACGCTAAGACCGTGTGCAATCAGTTCGCGGCCCTGGGCGCTCAGGGGATCTCGCTGTTCTTCAGCTCCGGGGACTCTGGTGTAGGTGATAACTCCAGTTGTATCACCAATGACGGGCTGAATCGAACTACATTCGTTCCTGTTTTCCCAGCCTCTTGTCCGTACGTTACCAGTGTCGGCGGAACTATGAACTATCCCGAAGTTGTCGCCTTCGACACCCAGAATTCGTTTGCCTCTGGATCTGGTTTCAGCAATTACTTTACTCGACCGAAATGGCAAAACACATCCGTGGAGCGATACCTCGATACCATTGGCGACAAGTTCAAAGGGTTGTACAATCGGTCGGGTCGCGCGTACCCTGATGTGGCGGCTCAGGGGTACAAGTATCTCATCTTTCTAGGCGAAACCATCCGAAGTGTCGATGGCACGAGCTGCTCTGCCCCAACCGTGGCCAGCATCTTCTCGTTGGTGAATGACGCCCTCGCTGCAGCAGGGAAACCACCTATGGGCTGGCTCAATCCTTGGCTCTACGACAAAGGCTTCGCGGCATTCACTGATGTTGTCAATGGCAGCAGTGTAGGCTGCGATGGGCCCGGTTTCAGCGCTTCTAAAGGATGGGACGTTGCAAGTGGCTTTGGCACTCCGGATTTTGAGAAAATCTTGGATGTCCTAGGTATTGGCGGGTCTTGAATGGTCCTTTATCTGCTTCGATTCGTCGACACAACCTCCCTATTTTAGCACTGAAAAAATAATGGTGTCAATTCCGCCCCTCAGTTATGAAGGCACCACGCAGAGTCCAGGAGGCCGACACACATGCTCAAAAAGCAATATCTACCGATTTGAACCAGGAAGCTCATGATAATCAAGTTGAGATGATGGTCGATAGTAAATTCGGCTAGGATCTGGTACAGCCATACGCCGTGACGCGGTGTGGGGAGCTAGGGTGAACCGCCACATTGGGTCTATCGAATGCATGGAAAGCTAGAGGGGTTCAAGTACCCTTGCACTCTTTCTATGAGTATGTAGATGACGCTGGCGGCGCTGCTGGTCAATTAGGGACACCTGTTAGATAGATCATTCGTGCCAGAAATTGAATGATGAGTTGGCCAACTTTGGCAGTCCAACAAAGCACCAGCAGATGTATCCTCCATACAGATTCCGCCGCGATCAAACTACAAACGCATGATAGTGTTGAACGAAACATTTCGTCCCTGTCGCTCATCATCCCCTTTTAGTTTAGCCTTTCGCCGCTTTACTCACCTCGGCTCATCAGCGGCTCTTTAAGAGTCGGAGAACCTGCCGTATTATGTTCACTTGCACCTCAGTTGTAGCCTCAGCTGGAGCCAGCATCATCTTCAGGTGTACATACAGTATGTAATATATGTCTATCGTCGGCTGACAACTTACAACCTCTCGAGTCTCATCATCCCAACCTTCCTTGTACAGATGTGCACATTCAGTGGCAGCTCGTCATGTCTGGCTCAACGACTATGGAAGGCCACCGAACTCGCAATACCAAGGTATGCATGCAATGTCACGCGCGCAAAGTAAGAGTACCTCCCCCCAGATCGGGCGACAGACGAGATTGACTTGACCGGATCAGGTGAAATGTGACTTGCAAGACCGCACCGATGGGACATGTCAGAGCTGTCAAAGGGCAAACATCGTGTGCAGGTGGGTTTGACTTTACATATGTGCATGAAATGAGGTCGACCATTCTGAGCAGATGGAACAATCAATAGGCCTCGTGTGGGAGTTCGTCAACGCAACATGCGGTCCCGCCGGGAGACTGCCACTAGCACGCAGTCGACGGAGGCTATAGAGCGCGCAGAGCTGCAACCATCTGCATCACCGGGATCGGTGGGCTATCTGGGAGAGGAGAGCATGATGCTCCAGAATCCCAGCGCGCTCCAGGTTGACGACGAGACCGAAGCAGAGACGGCCAAGTTCTACTCGAAGGCTTTGATGGCCACTGGCGCAGTAACCTTGCCCTCACACATGATGGTGGCCGCACTGACTGATGCTTACTTTGAACACATTCATCCCCACCAACCCCTCATCGACCGAACAGACTTTGGGCGTTTTCAGTCGCCTCTGCTGGTGCACACTGTCTGCATGCTTGCAAGTGCTTATGGTCACCGACGAGGAGGAATAAGCCAGCTGAGTGCGGCTAAGAAGCACTACCTGAAGGCAAAGATGCTGCTGGCTGCCGAGCATGAACGAAATAAATTGGTGGTTCTCAAAGCGCTCTGTCTCATGACAAGTCGAAGCATGACCGAACCAACAGTCATCTGCCTAGACAGCCTGTGGCATTGGCTAGGGGTGGCATCGCGCTATGCAATCCACATGGGTCTTCACAAAGAAGCAACCTACAGCGGCAACCAAGATGCTGGAACCCGTCGAAGGATGTGGTGGCATCTCTTTGTAGGAATGGCCTCCCCAAGTGCGCACTCGATGCTGACGTTGCTCCAGAATCAGGACAAGTTAGTGTCCTTCTGTTACGGGCGGCCCTTGATGATTCATATGCATGACACCGACGTTCAACCGCTGTCGCAACGCGACTTTCCCAACGAACATCCAGACAATAACATCTTCATCGAGAGAACCAAGCTTTGCATGATTTTTGGTCAACTCGCTGACGGACGATACAATCCCAACTTGAGCTACCGAGATATCGTGCCTATTGGACAAGCCTTTGAGACCTGGGTCTGCGAGTTGCCGGCAGACTTGACTCTGCAGCACACAGACTCGAGGCCATATCGTCGAGTGGTTTCTGAGTTGCACATTTTATACTACGGCTGCTTATTGATCTACCAATTGTCTCTGATGAAGGTGGAGCCAGTCTCCAGCTCGGCCAGGGCTACCTTCGAAGAGTGCATCCAGACCGCGTCACATCTAATCCGTGTTTTCGAAGAAATTCAATGCAGAAACGACCTTGTTTATCTGGCACCGATCAACGCTTGGTTTTGTTACCTAGCCGGAGTGGTACAAATCCGCGCTCGCGCTACATTTCCCGGCCAAGCAGAAGGGTTTGATGACAACCTGGAAATTGTCAGGACAGTCTTGCAGGAGCTGTCCGCAACGGTTCCAAGCTCTGCCCTGGTCCTCGGCAACCTCAAACGCGCGGAGCTCTCTGGCGGAACTCTACCTGGCCAGTATTCCACCCATCCCGCCCACCCAGCAGCAGACGGGTTGGGCAATTCCGGCGCGACCAATGATGAAAACATTACAGCCGAATCTCTCGCAGGTCCCGACGGTCGCCGGAGTACTTCGAACCTTATGGGTGGTCTCAACGAAGGGATGGACAGCAGTTCTCTCTTTTTGCCTGGGAATCTCATTGCAGATGGTTTCGTCAACTTCGACTTCGGAGATGTTTTTGTGGACCAAATATTTCAGTACCAGTGACTTTCTGGTTGGACTGACGACGCCGAGGAAGGATTAGCGCTCAAGCACCTCATGTGTCGCTTGTCGTGCTCGGCATGACTTATCAATACCAGACTCGGAAGTCCCACCGCGGCCCCGACTACCGAGTGCCGAAGCGGATATTAACCGGCAGCCGTCTCTGTCTGCACACCAGGCCGGAACCATGCTTCTATCTCAATAGGAGTGAATTCGAAAGACTATTACCTTGTGGAGAGCCGAGATCATGCTCTACCGAGCTCCCTAATGTGTAATCCGGCCAGGATCCCGACCCACAGCAGCCTGGCTCTGGCTATTGACTCTGACCATCGACACAGGGAGAAAAGTCGGCAACTTGCCGACATCAAAAGATTACCGAAATACCCAACAAGTCGAACTGTCGATACTCTATCGCCAAACCCTGCATCACTCATCACTTCAGATCTAAGCAAGACTTTGGCAAACCGAAAGTAGGTTCCTCGAGGCAACCTTCACTCATGGCCACCATGCGTGCAGTCGACATCAGGGGCGAGACAGGACCTGTTTCGGCCTTGTTCATCAATTCCGAGACACCCATGCCCAAGCCCGCGCAGAATCAGGCCTTGGTGAAAATTAAAGCATTTGGGCTCAACCGCATGGACCTCTTGCAGCGGGAGGGCAAGTACCCGGTCCCGCCACAAGCCCCCAAGACCATGGGCGTTGAGTTCTCAGGCATCATTGAATCCTTTGGATCTCCCTCTTCCACTCTAGACTTCCATGTCGGAGATGAGGTCTTTGGTTTGGCTTATGGTGGCGCATACGCCGAGTACATCGCCGTTAGCACGTCGATGCTCATTCACAAACCCAAAGAACTCAGCTGGGAACAGGCTGCCGGGGTGCCTGAGACCTGGATCACCGCCATCCAAGCGCTCTATCTGGTCGGTGACTATCAGGAAGGCCAGAGCGTCTTGTGGCATGCTGGGGCGAGCGGCGTCAGTATTGCCGGAATCCAACTCTCAAAGGCCGCCGGAGCGTCGGCTGTCTATGTCACCGCGAGTACGCCAGCCAAAATTCAATTCTGCAAGTCTATCGGCGCGACCGAGGGGTTCAATTATAGAGAAGGCGACTGGGCGGACGCGTTACTTGCCTACACGGAGGGAAAGGGGGCAGACCTGATCGTGGACTTTGTGGGGGCCGACTATTTCAGGCAGAACCTGAAAGCGGCGGCAAGGGATGCCCACATTGTGAACTTGGGCTGGCTGAGCGGGACCGTCGTCAAGGGCGACGTCGACATCAGTGCTTTTCTCGGCAAGAGATTGAGGTTCGAGGGGAGCAGTCTCCGGAGTCGCGACGAACCGTACCAAAAGAAACTGCGGGATTTGCTGGTCGAGCACGCGCTGCCTAGGCTTGTGGACGGCCGGTTCAAAATCTTCATCGAAAGGGTTTTTGACATGGACGAGATCCAAAAGGCGCATGAGGTGTTGGAGTCGAACCAGACCATGGGCAAACTCATATGTAGGGTGTAGGGAGGGGTATAGGGAGGGCTGATATGCTACTGCATCAGATGGGAGGAGGGTTGGTAGGTGGGTGGAAAGGTCACCGTCGGAATCAACTACCATGTAACCAACTACACAAAGGTCTACGGAATATACACCGAATCAAGAACCTCCCTTTTGCCACCCAGACTTGTCGTTTTACAAAAGGTATATATATGTTCCTCGGCTCATTCTGATACGCAGCCCACCACTGCTACAAGAATTGAGACTCCTGAAGTTCCCATCCAAGACTCGCATCGAGGTCTGATACCATATTTTCATATTTTCGGCAGTGGTTCCTCTATTTCGACCATACTAGGTAGGTAGGTAGGTAGGTAGGTAGGTAGGGATGGTGACGTTCGAGCTGTAGCTATATACCCAGAAGAACTCGAGTCGATACTCGACTGGATACTTGATATCGGGTATGGCGTGTGAGAGATTCAGCGCCGAGAGAAGAGCCACAAGAAGAGTGAGTCTGCTGCCTGCTAGAGAGACCATACGCTGATACGGAGCTACATAAGCCTACCAGCCAATGGCCATCACGAACAATTTAGAATGCAATACAATCTCCTTGCCCTCCTCTCCCTCCCCTCACTCCTAACGGAGGAAGGTCAGATTATCCAGCATTCCCAGCCCATCTCATATACCTACAAGGTATAGCGAAACTGCGGATTCTGCATGAAAGAAAACATGTCAGATTAGCTTTTGATCCATATCTTCAACTCGCAGCGGAACCGACGCCTACTTGCACGCATGCATGCAACGCATACAAGCTCGTTGGTCGTACAGGGAAGAAGAAAGGAGAACTTACTTTTTTATCAGTCAAGTCGTCCTCGTAAGCATGGTCGAACGCCTCGAGTGTGCCTGTGGCATCTCGCCTCTTATTGTCCCTAACGCAGAGGAATCGGTAGAACATGGACAAGAACACCACGCCGATCGAGGTGGCGACCACGGTGGCTAGTCCGGGGGCGTAGACGGGCGCGTCCTGCGTTCTGAACGTGAGGGGCGCGACAAAGTTACCTGCCATAGAAACCACCGTCAGCATTCCATTCCGCTCCGACCAGCGAGTACCGTGCGTCTCGCCATCGTTTTTTGCTTATAAGAGACTCTTACCAATGCAATAGGCAACGAAAATGCCCGACGAGGCCAACGAGCGCTTTGTATACCCCGCAGTATTGGCGATTTGGAGGCCTAATTGAATCACGTATCCGGCGGCAAAGCAGGGCAGGATGACCACGCCGAACATCAACCCCCCAATGGCGCTTCTAGGAAGAGCCCAGAGCAGGGCGGCGGCGAGGATGGTGATCAGTTCAGATATCGCGACGAGATATGTCCGGATGTTGGGATACTTGTAGGCGAGGTAGGGGATGATTAATTCGGCGGTACCACTTGATATACACAGGTCAGCGTTTGGTTATTTTCATCATCATGGTCACCGCTGGCAGAGCACAACTTACGTGAAAAAACCAACAGGAACAACCAACAGCAGAGAGTTGAGCGTGTTGAACCCGAATCCGGAGATGATCAGAGGCGTGAACGTCGACACGGGTGCATTGGCAAACATAGCCAACAGGGTCATCATGAACATGACCCAAAATTTAAGGTCAAACATCAATTCGATCATTTGTTCTTTTTTAAAGTGCGTGTTGCGGACGCCTGAATTGTTCGACTGCAGTCGACTCACCGCGATGAAATGCTCGCGCTCGGTGAATCCTTTCGCACGGATGGGATCAGGGGGCAGGTAGAAGTAGACGATCACGGACCACAGGATGGTGATGGAGCCGGCAAAGAGGTACATGTAGCGCCAGGGGGACAGAGATCCTTTGACGTGCCCGAATCCGTAGTTGATCAAAGGCGAGAAAATGGATACGTAGCCACACGCACAGTACCATACACTATCGCCCCAGAGTCAGCCTGCGTTCGATGGAGCGCTGAGATTTAGAAGGGTGAAAAGAACACAAAAGAGAGACTGAGAAATACACTCACCCCATGCGCAGAGCTTGCTCGTTCTTCTTGTAGAACTGGCCCACAACCAGCATGAACATCGGACTGACTCCTGCCTCGATAAACCCGAGGAAGAACCTCTGCGCGAAGAGTCCCTGCCAATTGTGACATGCCGGCGTGCAGATCAGACAGATGCCCCAGGCCAAGATGATACTCGCGGCTACTTTCTCGATGGGGAAGCGCTGAGCCATGACAATAGCCGGGTAGGCGCCGGCGATAAAGCCCAAGTAGAAGATGGACGAGGCAAAGGAGAAACGATTGGCGACGGTGAGCTCGAGATCGGTGCGAAGGCCAAACAACGCTGCCTGCGAGATCATGGCCTTGTCGTAATATTGCAGACCATAGCAGATGACGAGGATAGGGAGGAGGCGGCGGTCGATCTTCCTCCTGACCTGTTCCTCTTCTTTGTCGGTCCATGTTTGCGGACCGCTGTAGCTGGCCAGCACCGTCATGGCCTCGTCATTGTGGCGGCTGTCGACGGCGATGGTGGCCTTTAGGTCCGTGTTGCCCGCGGCCTCCTCCAGATGGATGGAGTTCTCTTTGGTTTGGTATGCCATGGTGGTATCCTGAGCTCGACGGGGTCTTGCGACGATGGGCGAGGGATGCTCAAGAAACTCGGCAGGTTGCAAGAAGCATGCGCATTATGATCACCACTTGACGGATAGGACCAGCAGCTATAAATACTGAACTTGGATGCGGTGGAGGCGGTAGGCAAGTAGTCTGACTATTCTCATCAAAAGTCTGGAGACGCGGGGGATGGTACCGGTAGTCCATGCATCCCCAGTCCATGGCGGATGAGAGAGCGGCAGTCGGTAGTCGGTAGAGACGATGCAGGGGAGAGGAATTCTCCAATGGAGTGGCGTGTCCGCACGTACAGAGGGTACTCGGTACTGGATTGGGGATGCGCGGTCTGGAGTGTGGAGGAGGCGGAGCGGAGAGTGTGCGAGATGTTGCTGGACCGACAGGGGGGGTGGAATGAGTGGTACCTCGTAGACCTTGGTCTAGTGGGATTCTGGTACTCGGTAAATGGGGGAGAGAGAGACAGGGAGGGTTGTGTGTCTGACAGCTATTCTCTCTGCGAAATGTGTGCCAAGACGCTAGTGGTCTACCCCTCCACGTTGAGTCAAGGACCAGGACCTGATATTATCTGGCTCGCTGGCTCCCTGCGCCAATCCCCATACAGAAGACGGATCACCCAAATGATGCGAAGAAATCCCCTCCCACTACCGACCTTGACCACTGCCGAATACCGAGACCTCACTCCAACCCGTGCTCTCTGTGTTCTCAGAATATGTCGGTCGCCTTAACCACGACTGGGGCAAATGGATCCTCCTTCTCCAAATGATGTGTTCTCCCAAACTACGAGGTAAGCACTCCCGGCATAAGATTCAGCTGGTCAACCGGGATTCTTAATAACACGGACATCGCTTCATCTTCCTTCTCCCCTGCCATGTAGACTCGGATACGAAAGGTGTCGGGACAACGCGGAAAGAACCTAAGCATTCTCAACAGCACTCGTCCCAGTGGCTGAACACAAACCACTCGACCTACATCCGGACACTGTGTGCTATCTGAACTGCCTTGTTTCGAGCACTCCCAGAACCACCTCGTACCATGCCAGCCGCAATCTTGCCTCGGGAGAGAGGGATGATGGTCATCTGGGGAGAGGTCCAAGACAAGTCCATCGACGAAGAAGATCTCAACGAATGGTGGACCTATGAGCACCTCCCGGAGCGTCTCGCCATCCCGGGCTTTCGACGAGCTCGTCGCTACTACTCGGTTGAGGATGCCAAATCGCAGTACCTGGTCTGCTACGAGGTCACCTCGGTGGACGTCTTCACCTCGCCCGCGTACATGGACGCGCTGAACAACCCCACGCCCGGCACCCAGCGAAACATGCCCTTGATGGCGTCCATGAACCGTCTGGTGTGTCGCGTCGGCCAGTCTTGTTCGCGGCCCGAGTTTGGCCAGTCCTCTACATCAGGATCGGGCGCCACGGTAGTGCTCATCACCTTCCAGCCTCCCGCGTCGCAGGGACAGAGGGATGAGCTGGGTGGTTGGATCGCAGAAACCGTCTGGCCGAGCCTGTCGAGCCAGCACCAGAGTCTCCTGGCCATTCACCTCCTCCAATACGACCGGTATGCTTCACAGTCAGGAAGCTCGACCAAGTCATACGAGAAAGCCAGCTTTCAATCTGCAGAAACGCCGGAGAGATGGGTCATCCTGGTCGAGTTGGCCGAAACCATGGCGGCCCCGTTTGCCAAACACCGGGTGATAACTCAGAGCATTGTCCAGCAGCTGAAGATATTCGCGGGAGAGATTGAGTCTCGGGCATTTGGACTCATCTGTGCGTTGGGCCAACAGTGAATACCTAGTGTGCGAAGACAGTCCACTTACAACATAGACATTAGACATCACTCAGCGTCTGTTCCATTCAGCATATTCTCCGCAATAATGCTGCCTTGTGTACCCTATTCAAAGGCGCCAAAAATACCTGACATTGTATATAAATTGTTGCCGGGAAATCCGCCTTCGGTTTAGGCGGCCCAGATGTGGGCGCTGCTTTTGCTCCGGATAAGAGGTTCTCGTCTTTATGGAGCAACAAGCTGAAAGTTGCTGCTAGCACGCCGCGGATCCCTTATGTACCTCAGGCCGGCGTACAGAGCGTCTCCACCCCCTTGGTATATCCGATCACGAAGATACCGCGCGAGGTCATCGTCAGAGTGTCTGCGTTGCTGCCGGCAGCTCCTGAATCCCGACAGGTATGGATGGCATCCGTTGCCAGAGCCCACAGTAAACGACATGGCCGAGGCTTAGGACGGGTCAAAGACGGCAGAAGGAATGTGACGAAGACAACAAAAGTGAAAACAGCAAGCGACCCTTTCATCCCCCAAGGACTTTTTTTTTCTTCCAGAGCGACTTAGGTTTTTGGAGGAAGTGCCAGCCATGGACACCAAGGCTTCTGCATCGCACGCTTCCATTGACAGGATCGGTGAGGTGTGTTAGTAGCAAGAGGGCGACTATGAGAATTATGCCAGCCTTATCGCAATGGCTGCCGCAGACAGTCGCCCGAGAGCTAGCCAAGGGGGGTAATAGAGATGCCATGTCTGTGTATATAAGCTACACATAATGATGTATTTCTCCAAAAAAATCCGACTGTGCTGGACAACGTTTGGGAAGTTGACATCCCTGACACTGCTGCCTCTGACAATGAAACCCTCGCCCTCAAAGTCACGGACGCCACCCCCAGCTGAGTCAATCGATTCAAAAGAAAGAGGTAGTCTAGGCGTCATCCATGGATTCTACTCGAGCCCGGTCTCATTTGGCTCATCCTCAGCCTGTTCAGACCGTCCTCCCTTGCCTTACTCATACTTCCGGGGGAAGTTTCCTGCGATCAATCGAGTGTGCATAGAACCGCGAGCTCCGTTCAGTCAACCAAGTGCCGATGGGCTGGCTTGCTCGATCAGCCCGTGTGAGCCATCTCCGAATCTCCCACGCCACATCCCAATTCATGAAAATCATTGAGAGGATAAGGATGGGAGCGGAAAGAGTGGCCCAAATCCAGAGACTAAGGTCGCTGTCCGCAGAAAATTGCGAGAAGTTCATTCCGAAGAATGAACAAGTGAAAGACAATGGCACAAAGACAAATGCAAGTTTGGTGAGCTTGGTGATTCGTTCAGCCTGCACAATTGCCTTCTGGGCTTCTTTGATGCTTGCCTTGTTCATCATGATACCCATGCCACGATCACATTCGTTCGCGAGATCCTTGGCTTTCTCGAGTAGATAATCAAAATCATGTAATATCGTGTCTAGCTTTGACTTGGAACCGCTGGAAAGACAGGGTTTCAAGGAATCATGTTGGGCCATGCTGGCTTGAGTCTCGATAAAGCTTTTGTTTTCGAGTAGTCGTTGCATATGACGACGTAATACTCGCTTGTGGTATAGGAGGTTTGACACTGTGGGTTCGTTCTGAGCCTGTGACCGAGCCGGACTTAGCTCTATGCTAATTTTCGCCTCTATCATGTTGAGAAGTTGAACCTCGGAGTTGGCGCAGAGACGAAGGATATCAATCAACGCGAATACAGGACGATTGGATACGGTATCGGCTTCCAAACGGCGGTCATACTCGAGGTGCAACAACGAGGCTGTCTGGACAATCCGAGAATGATTGGTATCACCTTCTTCAGATTTTGCCGTTTTGTTGATGTATGACTTCCCGTCCAAGGCCACACCATCACGTTGCTGAATGGTAGGATGGAGGCTTATTTCAAGGGGGTCGACGCCGAATAGCTGTGGGCTCCATGGTTCGCCAGGACCTAGAGTCAGGGCTTGACCTACATCGAGCCATACCACTGCTGATGTATAGCGTTAGCATGTGGCAAACCCGAGGAGACTCTGCACAATGTTCTCACCAAGCCATTTGTCATCCGCGAACGTTATGTGCACCGAAATGTCCTGCTCGAGACTAAAGTGATCGTGGTCATGGATGGAAAATTCTCGCACGATCGAGTCCCCGGACCTGCTCTCGCCTTCACGGCCGCGGGCGAGTCTTTCCGCATACTCAGCCCAAGAGTCTTCAGCACGATGTCTGACCATGTCCAAATCGGCCTGGTCGAGCCCGCGGCCGGTTCTGTGATGCTGCATAACATAGCCGATCGTGTTGAGCCGGAATCGCGTCATCTGGCTGGCCCCGGAGGGCATTGTAGGTAACAAGAAGTAGTCGGGTCGTCTGATGGCATGTCTGAAATCAAGATGTCTCTGGAAGAACTCCGGCTCCAGGCTAAATTTAGCACCTATGACAGCCAGCCACTCGGGAGCGACGTTGCCGCGTATAAAGAGCAATCGCCCTTTGATATCAGTCTGTGCGTCCAGGTTGAGGTTTGTGAGCTGTGTCGATAGATTGAAGTGATGAGTCGAATCATTGTCGCCAAAGCAGTATAGGGTAACATAGCTCGTGTCAACCATGGGTTCATTGGCAGACACGTTCTCCTGAGAGCTCGCAGCGTTGTGCCTCTCATATGGCCCCAGCAAATACGCTGCGAGGTTGGCGAAGTTGGTTCCAGGATAGACAGTTTCTGCCGCAGAGCGCTTAGAATGGGACTCGACAAGACGTGCATAATCTTCTGGTGAGACTGTCAAAGGTTAGCCTCGGGCTTCAACAAGCGGACAGGTACAGCTGACTCGTTTTCTTCGATTGCAGCTCTGGTCTTGTGCGAGTTATTGACGGTAAGGCTGGCGGTGCCAGTGTAGCCATGGCATTTGTAGTCACGACAAGCGATTTACACAATGTGCTTTTTTCCTTCTTTTTTTCCTTTTTTTTTTTAAGAAAAGAAAATGTAGCAGTCAACGATTGTGCGCAGTTCAACGTTGTGTAACTCACGTTCAGGGTTCTTTTGGAGGGTCTAAAGGACAGAGAAAACAAGGCTAGCCTGTCGCACAAGGCAACTTGGTCAGTGTGCTGCGGCTCGTTTTGAGCGACCAGTTCGCCTTGCTCAGCCTGAGGGCGACCCAGTACGGCTTCTGGCGCGGGAGGAGTACGCGAGACGTATGCTCGAGTTATGATGCAGTATCTTGAATGGATGGGCGTTCCCTTAAGGGGCGTCCTTCCGTCACGGTTGTACCCACATCTTCCGCAACAATGTAGCTTATTTCCTTGTCGTTCTGTCCCAACTTGTAGCTGGCTTTCGCTCGTTCGCCGCATGTTGTAGTGATGGTGGACGGTCGGCGATATATGGGGCGCATATCGCCCCGAACTTGTATCCAACTCCTCAGTAACCTTTCAGGCACTACGTATTGCCAGGAGCCGCATGTAGAACTCACTTCGAGCCTAGGCGTAAGCCTTCTGCACTTAATATCACGCCTTTTTTTTACTAGGGTACAGTTCCTTCTTTACCGCACCGGTAGCATACCCTATCGCCTGTATTCTTCTTGCGCGTACCTTTCGTACGCGACTTGTTAGCTCCTCGCACCGGAGTAGCACTCTTCGTCTTTTGCTCTTCTACCTTTTGCCCTACCTCGGCGAGCCGCTGCTCAAACCCCTGAACCGGCGCGCGCGTACGCGACTTAGGTAGCTCATGTAGGGCTACGAAGCGTAGCTCCGGCTGTAGATAATTCACAAGGACCTAGGCCTTCTGTTCCTCGACCTCGACCGCTAAGAATAGTCCCTGCACCGAGAGAGTCCCTTGTTGTAGCCGTCTTAGCTTGAGAGATGAGTCTGCCATGTGGTTTGCGGTGTCCTGGACCATAGCCCGTAGGGCTCTCTCAAAATGTGACCACACCAGAGGCCACGCAGGGAGATGACTCTACTACCGTAGAGCTTCGTCGCGTCGATAGGACGCGGCGATTGCGACTCGCCTACTCTCGTCGTACTCCTCCACGGCGCCGAAGTATACTTCATACCCTAAAAGGAAGTCGCGAAGTTCCCACAGCGATGCGCCGCGATACGCCGGCGGTGGGAAAGCACGCTTATGTGTCACTTTTAGATCCTGGGACGCGGGGCTTTACCTATACCTCCGAATATACCGCTGCTCGTAGGTGAATTTCCTGCTGGCTCTCACTAGATCTCTTCATTCTCCTGGACATGTTTCTTTTCGAGGAGCGTCGCACGCAACCGAGTGTGACGCTCCGCAGTCGTCTTGACTCCCTCCTCTTCAATGGTTGTGCGTCCCGCTGTGATTGGCGTGGGTCGTCGTCAGGATGGTTCACGAGCAAAGGCGCGTGAAAGCAGCCCACCCTCGAGTCTGCGGCAGAGGGTTTTACGGTCGATGTCGTACGCGGTTCGAATAGAAGAATATTCGTGATCTTGACAGGCCCGTCTAGTTTTGCTGGAGTCTTTCTTCTTGATTTGAGGCCATCTTTGAAATGATGAGCCTGATGGTTGGACAATTGTAAAACAGGTGGAGTGGTGGTATCGAGATTGACGCGTGACGTGCGTGGGTCTTAATTATTACACCAGTAATTATTAGATTCTCGATCCGGCTGCCTTGCCTTTCAAAGTCAAATTCCACTTTGGAACATGAATATTTGTAAAACAGCTTCATTACAACGCACAAGCCGTCTGTCAGTCATGGTGATACCGGTCGGACAGTTTCCGGCCTGGCGCTCTGAGCGTCGAGGCCTGCGGTTGCACCTAACAGCATCACCCCTCGCCAGCAAACACATCGTTCCTGCCAAATGCGCACCGAACTTTACCGAAATTTGGGAAATGGGGTAAGCTCTACTACTAATGCCAAATGAACAACCTGCTCCGTTGCTACCACCCCTCGTTTCGAGACATTCAATCTTCGGCTCAACATCTGCCTACCATGACGCGCTCTGTGCAGGCTGCGCGTAGAACAAATAACCTTCACCGGGTCGGCCACTTGTTGTTGTTTGAGCTTCAAGACCTCAAATATGTTGCAAGTCATCGATTGAAGGTGAGCCGAGGGTCTTTGATATCTGTGCTGGCGGATGTTGCTAATCTCTATGGTGAAAAGTGTCCCGACAGTATAGGGTGGCCAACCAAGGCCTTATTGACAATCTTGCCGCGACAATTTCCCGAGTTTCCCTCGAAGGACGGCCAACAGTCGTACGTCGACTACGTCTTGCAAAATGATGACGTCTTGCAGCCCGAGTTCTTGGCCAATATCCTTCTGCTAGATGGGCCTGGCGACCCAAGAGGAAACGCCCATAGTGAACACGATCTCGTCAGGTCTTACGGCAGCAAAATTCTCTCACTGGAGCGGTGGTCACATCAAATGACCCTCCCGGTTCCAGGACCGTACCTTATTGAAGATGGTTCGTTGTGGCAAGTGTCCAGGCTATATGACGATATTCAGGGCGCCTTTATGGTTGCGGTAGAGCCACCTGAGGCAAAGAAGTATTGTTAGCCATGACTACTCCCATCGTACTCTTTGCTGACTAAAGAGCAGGGTTGACGACACCGTGTATATCCCGTTGAGGATCTCTGGTGCGCAGTATCAGACTTTGAGCATCGCGACACCCTCGCGTGCAGCAAGGCACTCTAAAGGACCTTTAGATGGGATGCGCATTGCAGTCAAGGACATGTTCGACATGAATGGATTGACAACGACACTATGCAACAGAGCGTTTTACGACATCAATACACCCTCGACTTCTACAGCAGTATGCGTGAAGAGACTCGTTGACGCTGGTGCACAAGTACTAGGAACGACCAAGATCAGCTCAATGATATCAAGAGAAGAGCCGACCGAGGCCATTGATTACCATGCTCCGTTCAACCCAAGAGCTGACGGCTACCAATCTCCGGCTGGGAGCAGCAGTGGAAGTGCTGCTGCGATTGCTGCTTACGACTGGCTCGATCTTACCATAGCAGAAGATACTTCGGGAAGTGGAAGACGTCCCGCCGCAGCCAATGGATGTTTTCAATATCGTCCAACACATGACCTTGTGGACCTTGGAGGAATGTGGCCGACTTTTCTGCAATTTGATACTCCAGTCATCTTGTCTCGAGACCCAACCAAGTTTGCTTCAGTGGCTTCGCTGTGGTGCCATCTCGAATCAACGACAGGCGCTGGAGTTACAACCAGGCCCGCTTGCATCCTGTATCCGCAAGACTACTTGCCGAAGGATAACGAACAGCATTTGGAACATCTTGAGTCCTTTGTTAATGACCTCAGGACTTCGATCAATGGCACGCTGGACCGAGTCTCGATAAGGCAGAAATGGCTAGATTCACCCCCAGAAGGTTGCGAGGGCCAGGATCTCGAAGCCTATCTCAGCAATGTTATTGTCCAGACCTTCTATCACGAGTTCTATCACAGCCAGGCTTCATTTCGCGACCGGTATGTGAAGAAGTGCGGCAAGGAACCCTACGTCAATTCTTTCGTGAAATGGCGATGGAACCTGGGCAGAGGAGTCACGAAAGAGCAACACCAAGAGGGTCTGCGTCGGTTGGAGGTCTACAAGTCATGGTTTCTCAACGAAGTCATGGGAGGTCCGGAAAAGAACTCAATTTTGGTGATGCCCATCTCGGAAGGGGTACCAAACTACCGGGATCATCCCCCTAACCCACCCACCGTACAAAGCGGATTCGATCCCCTTTTCCTGTCTCCTATATTGGGATGCCCAGATCTTGTCATTCCAATAGCACAAATCCCGTTTGAATCCCGCATCACCGAACGTCAAGAACAACTTCCCGTTTGCGTGAACCTGCTGGGAGTACCCGGAAAAGATCTTGATCTGATTAATGCAGCAACAGCTGTACTCGACGCTTCCGGCCGGCCGTGTGCAGTTCGGGTTGGCTCAGAGATGTTCTAACCTTGGTCCCCTGTTCCTTGACCCGGCCTTCCTCATCTCGAACGCTCTACTCTCACATTGAAATATCACTTGGACCAGAATGTGACAAGTTCATCGAAATCTTCTTCTGTCAAGTCCCGACCCGGTTTGTTGGCACCTCCGGAGAGTTCCCTCCATGATTTGGCTGCATATTTGAAAAGCGCTGAAGCATCGTCTACCGCACCGGCGCGATGAAGGATTTTGGCCTTGAGGAAGGAGGAGCGCGCCAATTCAGGTCTATAGGTAGCTTGGTGCGTGCCCCAGATCCCCAAAGCTTGGTCGATAACCTCACGAGCTTGCTCGAGATGTGTTCTGGGCTAGAGTCAGCTTCAAACAGGTCGAACTTGGTGGTAGTTGTCGCAAAAGCACCCACTTCGATAAGGCTCGATCTTCATCACGGTTGAGGTTGCTGTGGCGGAGCAAATGCTGTGCAATTCGATGGCAAATGTCGGCGAAGCGATGATGTCGAACGCCCACGGTAGCCTGAGCTTGCTTGAAAGCATTTTGATGGCATTCCCAGCTCTGCTGAAATTCTCCGAGGCTCCATCTCACGTTGCCCAGACCATACCACAAGCGCCCACAACTGTTGAAATATTAACATTACATCACGCGATAAAGGGTTCACGCAGGGAGGTAGATTAGCTCACCGGAAATTCTCTTTATCCAGAAACCCGAAAAGCTCTTCCCGGTCTCGAATTGCATCCTCGAATATCTTGATTGCACGGGTGAAGTCACCTTTCAGCCAAGCAGCCAAACCTCGGTTTGTGTGTGACACGGTGTTCATGTCCTTTCGGAAGTCCGGGAGCGAGCTGTACACGTCAATCGCGCTTTCAAAGCACTTCTCGGCTCCGTCAAAGTCGCGAGACATCATTCTTGCTATTCCATTTTCGTTGTAGGCAATGGCTAGGCGTACATCTCTGATCGCGGTCTTCTCGGCAATTTGAGTTCTCATATCCAGGAGAGCCCTTGTGTGTTTCATGCACAATTCCGGATCGTTGGTCTCGCTAGCTATGGCACCCATTGTGTAATGGATGTCCGCGAGTAGGTTTCGACTCTGCTGGCTTTGTTCGCAAGTCTGGCAAATTTTCCATGATTCGTCAAGCATGTCGCGAATAGCATAAGAGTTTCCTTTTGCGTGTTGATACCTAGTAGTCCAGTGGTAAGTCAAAACTCCGAAAAATAGGGTCGGAAAACGCCCCAACGCATCATCAATATTTGACTCACCATCCAGCTTCATACAACAGCTTCGCGTATTGAAACTTCGATAGATTCTTGCCTTCAAGCAACTGCTCCTTGTACCCGGCTCGAAGATAGCTGACGTGCTGGTAGATTTCTTTGCATCGTGGCCACCTCTCGACGTCGTGGATCTTGTGCATGGCAGCAGAAGGCCACGCTTCGCACAAGACAGCCACCGTGTCTGCAAAAATTACGTCCAATTTGCGTCTCGAGTTCACTCTGACGGCGTCCTGAAGGACCCTGTGAATCCTCACGCCAGTATCGTCATTAACCGTCTTTAATAAGGAGCTGTTCATCAAGGCAGCACGGGCCGTGAAGAACCCCTTTAGACGCCTCGGAAAAGATGCATCCGTGATTACTTGAGCACAGCGGTCTTTCATCAAGTAGTCTTGTATGCAATCTGGGTCCAGAAAGATCATCGCCTCGAGTAAACTCCGCGAGGACGGCGTCAGCGCGTCAATAGCCCAGATGGACGCGATTGAGCCTCTGGCTCTCGCCGGTCTTTGCTCCAGCTCAAGCTCTAGGACGTTCAACGACTTCAGCGACCCCGTTGGGGAGTCCATCGGATTCCTCGTGTCGTCGTCATAGACTTCTAGGAAATCTTTGAGAAGCATATACTGGCGGCGAATGACGCCAGCCATCTGAGCAATAGCCAGTGGAAGTCCGCCAAGTCGTTGTGATACCATCAACGAGAGATGGTCGTCGTCGTTTGCGCCGGTCAATCTCTGGAGAAGCTGGGCACCTGTGTGATCGTCCAGTGGTTCCACGTCCAGGACTGTAGTATCACGAGAAAACGATGTTTTCGCCAGTGGATGTCGGCTGGTGATCAACCACGATCCAGACCCGAATATGTGTGTGTATTCACTGATGACGTCCGGGTTGTCTGCATTGTCCAATACAATCAACCAAGAGGCCTCCGTCTAGCCGACAGTATCGTGTGTTTGATCTAAGAGCTTCGTGGGTTTTGACAGCCAACCTTTTGCTGTCTCCCTGTTGACCACGAGATCCCGAGGTTCTTTATCATCTTCAAGCCCCAGATTGACGGCGATATCGGCAAAATCACGCTCTAGCTTGTCCACGGTGTCAGCATGGATCCAGAAAACAGCATCAAATCGTTCTTGACGGGAATGTGCAAACTCTAAAGCGAGTTCTGTCTTTCCAAGACCGGCCATACCGCAGAGAGTAACATGTCTTGATGCTTGAGATTCGGAAGATACCAGACGGTCTTGAGAAGGAAGCAATACGCTGTCAAGCAATTCCAATTCTCGAACCCTGCCCGTGAACTCTGTATTCCGCGGGTAGCCACCCAGGGATCTGCATGGCAATACCGCCTGCCTTCTTGACGGAGCAAAAGCCTCCACCATGGGAATCACCTCCAGATCAAGTGTCGTGGATCCATATTGGCCCTCTCCAGTGTTTCCAGCCTCTGCGCTTCCTTCGTTCCGGCTGAGGACGTACTCGGCGGCCTCATTCGAGCCGCCACTGTCGGATCTGTGGTCAGATGGAGCTCGTGATCGATATGATCGCATCCGATCCTCTACATTGCTGATAGAGTATCTCAAAACAGTTCGCATCCAGTTGATAATATGCACGTTGGGCTCACCGTATTCATTCTTCAGACTGCATAGATCGAGATGTGACAGAGGTAAGCCGAAGCATTGCTCTCGCAGTGTGCCGATCCTCGCCAATTCCAAGTCAACAAGAATCAGTTTCTTGCTTGTGAAAGTCCGGGGGATAATAGTCTTCCTCTCTTCATACACCGACAAAATGTCTAAATTGGTATTGACATCTTGAAACCGAGCTCCTAAGTTAGTCAACAGGGATGTGTCATTTTTCTTCTGGAGTAGCGCCTGCTTGTTCGACATCCCCGGGTTGGCCGCTCTCAAAATCCATAAACATTGCTCCCAGAGAGTGTCGTCTCCTGGTGAACTATGCGGCGTGCCAAGGAACACCATGCCAACTATGACATTGAGCAGGAGATCATATCTCGGATACTGGAAGTTTGCAATAGATATTGCCTGTTTGAGGATGAATCCTCCAAGACCGTGGCACATAAGAAGCAACGGGCGCTTTTGTGCATCGGTGGCACTCCGAAGCTGAGAGAGTTCGCGGAGAAGATTGGCGCCTTGATCGAGGAAGAATTGCCAGGAGAAGTGGTCATCAAGTGGAATTTGGTACTGGAACTCGAGAATTCTGAGGCGGGTGTGTTCTCGCTCTAACATCGAGAGCCATGATGGCTGACAGATTCCCCATTCCCGGACAGCCGCGGTGCCAACTCCAGGTATCAGGACCAAATCCACGTTTGGATTTGGATTGGAAAGAGCCTCTGATATTGCCAATCTGCTGCCGACTTGGGTATCAAAAGTCGCCATGAACTCGAGGGGGTCAAATGTGACGGAAGTCGCGGAAAGAGTCTGTGCGACAAGAGAGAGCTCAGCCACATTCTATAACAATAGCGGCACGACTCGGCTCGTTTTCTTCTGCAGCTTGGTGGTGAGAGGTCCGGTGACTTGGTAGGATTTTTGAATGTAGAGGCGTTGTGGTGACACGTAACAACGAGGTCAGGCAGGTGGGCAGGTGGGCAGGTGGGCAGGTGGGCAGGTAGGCAGGTGGGCAGGTAGGCAGGCAGGGATAAAATTACGTCTGGAAGGCATAGTGTGGTGAACGCCCGTGACGCCCAAGTAACACAAGAGTGCCAGTCACTTCGAGGAGGACAATCACTCGTGCTAACTTCGGGATCCAACGTGAATTTTGAAACGAACCGTGCAGCCCTTCCTTCGCCCAATCTCAAGACTGTGGAAATCCGATCTATTGTAGCACTGCGAAATGAATATATATTCTTAAACGCAACATGCAGGCACTGATAGGCCTCAAGTTCTTGCACCAGCTCAGAAGCCCGGCAGCAAGTTCTTGGTCTACCCAAACACGCTGAGGGTTGGGGCTTGCTTGCCACGCATCAAGGGTACAGGCGTCGTCTCAGCAGGGATCGACCCTGGCCCTGCAAGCAGCCACTGTGTAAATCTGAAAAGACGCAGAGGTTTTGAATGGTTGTTATCTAGTGTGTCTGGTGATCACAATACACCAGTTTGGTGATTGAGCTTTTGGTTGGTAGAAATGAGCATGGAGGCGTGTTTCCTGTGTCATGAATCCACGGAACCCCTGTCGTTAAGAGCTAGTTGCAAGAGAACACGTTGACGCAGGGCGCATGACGCCCTGAGGGGTGTGCTTGGGCCGCAAAAGGCAAAGGACATAAAGACAGTGTCCATGTTTTCATCCACCGCCGTACCTTCGTCATACTACCAACAGTGATATCAATCACCGCCAGTCAGGTTTGTTATACAAAGCAGAGAGCCTAAGCACAGTTGCTTGATCGATTCTGAAGGAAACAAACTGTACGTATGGTCAACCGTCTTGGCCTCGAGAATGAACCTTGACTAAAGGAAACAATAGCGCTGCAATGCCTTCCCTAAAAGTCGAAAAGACTCAACCTTGGAAGGCTCACTGGCCCAAGAAGACGAGCCAACCCGTTGCCGAAGAGATTCACACCGATCATGGATTCGCAAAAGGGGAGATTGTGGTCATGGATGGGAACACCACTCGCGGCCCACATGTGGTGAAAGAGAGGAAGGCGGCCGACAAAGCTATGGAAACATAGCTTTGTCGTAGTGGACTGTGAGCAAAAGGGGATATTGTGACAAGCTCGGCAACGATTTTCATAACAGTGACAACAAACTGAAAGCCCTCCAGGGGTTTGGCATGTGTTGCAAGCATACTAGATCAGGCCAAAATCGTTGAATCAATCATAACATCGTATAGCATAGGTGCAGAGTGTTCAAAGTGCAAGAGCAAACTTCCTTCTCGTCGACGTGCTCGAGCTTCTATCCTAGACAGTAAACTGATAAAAGTCATACCATGTGACCGTGGATACCTTCAAAGAGCTTTCCCACTTGCTGAGGATACTCTTTTAGATCTGCATAGAGCACAAATGCGCGGCAGTCAATACTTTCTCGAGCCGGATCCCCAGCTTGGGTGTTAGGGCTGTTGAATCCTGCATGGGGGCATGCTGTCACAGATCAGTTGTTTTCGTCATGGATCGACCATGCGAAGACATACCACTCGGTTGTGACGCATCAGAATCAGCACTCTTGAATATGGTAGCCTCGTTTGGCATCTGGTCGGACAAGTAGTACCATCGATAGCTTGGACTATACATGACTTGCATGTTCTCCGTAACCCATGTTGGAAAGACAACATCCGAAGGGATGGTGTCGTTTTCGAAATCAACAGTTCTAGAATCAACAATTCCCAAAGGCCAGTCTCGTACTGGACCACGCAGAGGCTTCCACACACTAAGCAGGCGTTGTTAGCTATGGCTGAGTTATCCAGGCGCGTCAACGCACTTAATGACCTGCCAACGGGAAGTCAGAATTTCAGGTGCGTGCTTGCCGTAGAGAGTTGTCAACATGCGAACAGCTTCATCGTGTGTGAAGTCTAAGTCCTGTTAGTCACTTCTGAGGCTCTAGAGATCAAGAGTTCGCACCAATGTGACACATAGCTGTGGGTTGATCCCAATCATAATTTCTTCCTTGAGAGACCGGAAAGTGCGCTTCGCGACGGCGAACCTACTTCCTTGATGAGACTCGGTCTGAGGTCTGTCGCGACTAGCATAAATATACCGCGTTGTCCATGACAAAGACATGCTTTGCACCCAATTTCTTCTTCAAGGCCGAGATGAGGTCTTCGTGATAGACAGATTTAATCTTATTGTAGTCATTGAAGTCTTCATAGGTCATTCTGGACTCCAATGGCATGACGCTAAAGCCTTGCACGCCCACCGACGGCGGCTCCTCAAGCTTGCGGATGTCATTCAGGGTAATTTTGTGCTTCTCGCGACGTATGTTTGATTGAGGAACTCCGTCAGCATAATATCGCATGCCGTAAGGCTTTTCCGCCTCATACAGCGTTTCGCGTTTCAGGAAATACATATCAGCTTCCAAATGACTCTCGCCCATGGTGCTAAGGCCGTTGGTTAACTTTTCAGTGCTCTCACAAGTCACTACCCGCAACTTTTCAGGTGTCGTGGTTGCCATGCCGCGGGAACAAACGGCTGTTGGCAAACCTAGGGGGAAGTCCACGGGAGAATGGAGATTGATGAAGTCATTTCAGAGTTCTGGCACTCCTACCTCAGCAGACACTAACTAGCTGCTTCATGGCTAGAGGCTAACCGGTAGAGCACCTGATAGATTGATCACCAATTGTATGACGCACCACAAGCCTATCCTAGACCAGTCACACGTGCAGAACTGACGTGGCTGACGTTGATACGCAGGTGTACGGCGGACGACTGTCAGTCCAGGTTGGTAACGTTCAAATAAAATATTACACCCACGCGAACAAGGCGCCAGTAGGGCAACAGTAGCGCTAACTAGGCTGAGACTTCGGCCTAGCTTACATAACTGGCCGCATCATCGGATAGGTTGCGGGAAGGAACGACACCCAACCTGAAGTTGGCTGAGAACGTCGGCCGACCTACCTTGTAACACAGGCAAGGTGCACAACCTCTTATCTTCAGCTGGTGCTGACTGACTTGTAGATGGCAACAAACTCTCACCTGTCACCCTCAAAGTGGTCATTGTGAATATGACACCCTCTCCAAGTGAAGAGCAAGCTCTTGTCTCCAATTCAGGTCCAAGCTATGGAAGTATCAGCTTCAGCATCAAAGATCAAGGTGGTCACGATGAGACTCTTCGACACCTAGAAGGGGGTGTGAGAGAGGGCAATTCTCTCCCGAACTGGAATGATAGCGAAAATGCCGAAAATCCTCGCAACTGGTCGCGTTTGTGGAAATATAGCATCATTGCGCTGGTGAGCTTTATTGAGCTTTTCACGTTGGTTGATACACAGTCTTCTGCAAGGCACTTCAGATTAATATTTGTGCAGGCACTTGACGTCCATGTTGTATGCTCCGGGTATACCTGCTATGCAAAGAGATTTCAACAGCCACAACAACACACTTGCAACCTTCACCATGACAATTTACGTGCTAGGCTTCGCCGTTGGTCCCCTACTGTTCGCTCCACTTTCGGAGGTCTACGGTCGTGTTGTGATCTACCGATCCTGCCTGGCCTTGTTCATGTGTTTCACCGTGGCCTGTGCGCTATCTTCAAGCATTGGCATGCTAGTGGCCTTCCGCTTCATCGCAGGATGTTTCGGTGCCGCCCCTGTCGCCATAGGCGGTGCGATGGTGTACGATCTATTCGAAGTCAAGGAGAGGGGCCTAGCCATGGCCATCTACCACTCAGGTCCTATATTCGGAAATCTTCTTGGACCGCCCTTGGGTGGATTCATCATTCAGCACCAAAGTTGGCGGTGGGTTTTTTGGATCATCACAATATTTGTAAAGTGTTTTACGTCCTTTGCAGACCCATTTTGTCGCTAATGTTCTTCAGGCTGGCTTCGCTTTGCTATCTTCCTTTTTCATTCTAAGGGAGACTCATGCACCGACCATTTTATGCCGACGAAAAGCCGATGGCGGACCGCGTGACGTTACTCCAAATCATACAAATCCAGACCTTGTTGATGGTATATCTCAGGAGATCCCGAGACCAGAGATGAGGCAGGCTATTCGCTCGCCGACCACCTCACGCTTTAGGGGTTCGGATGCCCATGTCCCAGATGCCGTGAAACCAGGCCCTGCTACTCTTCCGGTGATCAAGACACCTTTGAAATCGGATATTGAAAACCCAAGTCTTACAAAGCCAGAATCTGCTGACAAGGCTACTCGGGCTGTTAAGAGACCATTGACACCAGATATCGACGCTCCAAATCCCAGAGCGCCAGACCCAGGTTTCGAGGTTTCTCGGGCGATCAAGAGACCGTTGAAACTTCTGTTTTTCTCTCCAGTCATCGTGGCTTGTTCACTTATCATCTCTATTGTGGCAGGAACAATGAACTTGATCTTCGCCTCCCTGGGGCGTATATTTCAGGACGAGTACGGATTTTCTACGAGCGCCTCCGGTCTCATGTATCTAGGAGTCACGACAGGATTTCTGTTTGCGGCGTTCGTTTTCGGCAGGACGAGTGATCGTATCTCTCAGTTCTTGATGAAGCGGAATGACGGAAAACGGCAAGCTGAATATCGACTGCCTGCTATGATGATTGGATTGCCGCTGGTGGTCGTCGGTTTATTCTAGTATGGCTGGAGTGCACGGTACCATGCATTCTGGCTTGCTCCCATGCTAGGTCTATACTTCTTTGGTATGGGTGTCACGACCATTCAGGTGAGCGGTCTCAGAGCCAGCGCAAACATTCTTCCAGTGTGCTAACACAGTATAGCTCTCGTTGCAGACGTATCTGGTCGACTCTTTCACCGAGTTCTCAGCCTCCGCTCTTGCAGCAACAACCATGACAAGGTGTGTTGGAGGATCTCTCCTTCCGCTACTTGGCCCGGTCCTTTACCAAAGACTAGGTCTCGGTTGGGGGAACAGTGTGCTAGCATTCTGCAACCTCGCACTTTGTGTAGTGCCATGCATTCTGTTCACGCGGGGGAAAATATGGCGAGAGAAGTATATGCCTAGAGATATGTAGAGCAGTTCTGTAAGCACAGGACCTTTGAAGGGTTTGGTTCATACATGTCGGACAGTGTGACCACAGACAATTATGCCCTAGTAGGATACACTTGTTAGGTGATTAACGTGTGGTCAAATCGTGATAAAAATCCGTGAATTCATCCATGCACTCCTTTTTTTTTGGTTTACACTGAAAGAATAGCTGGATCTATCTATCCTACTAGGAAATGCTGGTACTGGTTAGGGTTACCTGGATTATTCATTGCGATCACGTTAATTGCACCGTCCGAGCCCTCCAAGACCATACGTCCCCAAAAGCTTGTGGAGCTGCGCCGCCGCTCTGGCTCACGACGTGAAAAGAAATGTCTCCTTAAGAGGCAGGCCGTGCCGAGTTCCCAAGGTATTACTGAGTACAGTAATATCTTCTTCACAGGGCGTGCAGCGGGGGTTGACCTGATTTGGGCTACAAGGAGCTCATGTGGGATAAAGCGGGTTTTGCGCCGACTCTCCGTGCCCTCCCAACATGAAGTCGATTTAATTCTTGCACTCCCCTCCTTCAAATCAAAGATCTTCTTGAATAGCAAGACAGATTCGGCTGAAACACGTTCGACGATCAAGCTTGACGGGATTTTGGTACACTAATACTGAGTGGAGAGATCGAGTTGTCGAGTTATGGCTCGTACGTGCTATTTACAACCCTTCCCGGTAGCCTGATGCGAGCACAGCTCATGCCCCCCAATTCCGCATGAGTGGCCCATCACTCGATGGTTGTCGTTGTGGTTGTTCAGAGGCCCTGCATGGCCTCAAGATAGCCCTGAGCACTTGAAGTCATTCCGGGCCAACAGCTGACAAGCCTTCACCTCTTGCACAGACACGACATTCCCAGCGGACCTTCCCGTCCCCGAGGACGACGGTGCATATGACCATCTCAGCGACTTCGCTATCCCTACCAGCCTCAGCCTTCCCATTGCACGCGATCCATCGCAGAGGGTTAACCTCGCCGGCTTGAAGGGCTTGACCGCGATATTTTGCTATCCCAGGACAGGTATTTGTCCATCTTTTCCTCCATCTCTTTTCCCCCTGGCTGCCGAACTCCCTTCCATCCAATACTGAGACAGGGTTTTGACCAGGCGCACCCAACGAGACTGTTCCCGACTCGTGGAACTCGATCCCAGGTGCGAGAGGATGCACGCCGCAAGCCTGCTCTTTCCGGGACAATCTGCCTGAACTGCGTGCGCTAGGGGTCTCCCACATTTATGGCATCTCCACCCAATCGCCCGCCTACCAAGCGGAGGTGCATGAGCGGCTGCATCTTCCCTATGATCTTTTGAGTGACGAGGAGTTGGAATTCCAGAGAGGCTTGAATCTGCCGACATTCGACTGGGAAGGGCAGAAGGTCCTCAGACGCTCGATGATTGCGCTTCAGGATGGCAAGGTGGTTAAATGGTGGTATCCTGTGTTTCCACCCGATCGGGGCGTGGATGACCTGATTGAGTGGTTGAAAGGACGCTAGGCACCATTGTGGTCTACGCCTGCCCCGGGGAGATGCGGACTCAACGATCATGCACGACGTTGTGAGTCTCTCTACTGCCTCTCTTCACGTTGACTTCTCATCTATGCCCCTGCCATGGCCATAGGTATGGTAGTCAACACTCCATTCTTGTCGTATTTTGCCTTGAAGAACGTATAGCTGAGTGTGATGGTGTCGATGCCTCTCATCTGAGGATCCTTGGCAAATTCCGGATCGATAAAGAAGAATACTGGCATGTCAACCGTCTCGCCTGCGTTCAACCTCTGCTCTTCGAAGCAAAAACACTGGATCTTGCTAAAGTACGGCGCCACCTGTGCCGGTGTGACGGAATATGTAGCCACGCCGATGATATCTGCGTCTCCTTTATTCGTAGCTGTGTAGAAAGCGAGCGCCGTCTCGCCAGGAAGAACCCGAACTTCACGTTGCTGCGGCGTGAACTTCCAAGGGAGAATGTCGGAAACGGAGCCGTTAAAGGTGACACGCAGGCGACGGTGGTCTTCGACGGGTTTCAGGCGAAGGGCAGGGTCTCCGGAGGAATCGTGGGCCTTGATGGGTTGGCCAGACCACCCGGTTTGTTGGCAAATCTGGAAAGGATTTAGCATCAAAAGCTTCTCATGTGGTGCTCTCATGGGTGGTGCTGACCATTTTATAAAGAGGAACCGAAGCATAGGAAAGTGCAAGAAGCAGGATTCCTGCACTCAGTCCATAGTATCTAAGCTTAGTTAGTCGTTGGCAGATCGTTATCCTTATTTCAGTGTACACACAGAGTTGTTCGATTCTTCTCCCGGGCTTGAGCTCTGGCGGCCTCGAAAGGGTTGGCATATTGAGAGCGTTTAGTTGATTGTGAAAGTGGACGAATTTGTTTTGCAGATTGGAGAGGCCGGCGGGGTATATCATGAGGTTGGAGACGACGGAATGATCTACAACAACCAGATACGACTCGTCCGGACATACAATAGAGAGAGTTCATGGTGAAAGTGGGATTGTGCAGTTGTAAACAATTGGTGGACTGATTTATTCGTAAAGCTACAAACTTTCCGCAGTCGTAGCATCGTGGTTGCGTGTCGCGAATATTTGACATACCGTACTGCAGCTACGGCTAATCATAGATCGTTTGAGTGTCAGCCTTGTGAGTATTTTTCACCTCGACAAAACATGTTCCGTGTTCCTTTTGCTCATGCTTATGGTCGTATACTGCTAACAACAGATCAATCTTGACATCTCATTCTGCTGGGAGACAATCTGTGCCTCTAATCACAGCGGCATATACGGCATTTTCCTCCAGAATTGACGATGCCTTGCTACTGTTTGTGCATTTGAACCCCCACGTGTCAAACCCCTTTCACGAGGAGGATCATCAGGTGCTGGTCGGTATTAAGTTGTTCCGGAGCCGCAGACACCAAACAACATCCTCCTTGTCCATCCAGAATGCGCCAGTGACACTGACACCAATCACATCGATCCCTTTATAGCACGTTGGGAAATCCACTGGCATTGTCGCTTGTCCTTGATATGCCAGTATACACACATCGACGCGCCACCTTTCATCGCCATCAACACTACCCGCGCCAGTGCCCGTACCGTCGCCGCGGTTCCTGACCCCGTGGCTCCTTGAAATCCGCTGGCAATGACAATGTTTCTCGCTATTGGCAGATCTCGTCCAAGCTTTGTGCTATGTGCTATGGTGTGGCCTGGGCTCGTAAAGACTCAGCTGGAATTCACTCTGGCGCAACGACCATCACCGCTGATTCTTACACCCTCTCTTCTTGAGAAATGTTGATACCTGCGCTTCAAAGCATGCCTCCATGCAAACCCTTGGGCCAAGCCGCGCTGTCGTCTTTCGCTCTCCCCTAAGTGTCTGTTCACGTCAATCATTTTTCCCTCGACGCTCCTCAGTCACCTTTTGCACAAGCGCTTTGCCGTGTTTCTTAACTTTCCAAGTATGAGAGTGGCTTGGCTTTCTTCTCGCCAATTCCCGCGCCGTTTCATCGCATCTGTTGTTCTGTCCGCCTTCGCTATTTGGTACCTGCTTCTACCAGACCCAAAACATAGAGTGCAGATACAGCCCGAAGTCTTGGAGCGGCAATACCCCTTGGTTTGGCGACACGTGCATACGTTCAATGGTACTGGAGGAGGTGTGTATTCCAGTGCTAGTACTCGGCCGACAACCCGAGATTCGTTTGCCGCGATCCTTTTTCCTTGCTTCGGCTTCCCACTGACAAGCTTCAGCATGGTATATTCCACCCTCCTGGCTGTCGTCTGCCGGTGTTCAGCCCGAGACGATAGTTGATGCGGCTCTTCTGGCTGCGCAAGCTGCCAACACCAACAAGCACCGGTTCATCAATCAGTCTTCCATTCCGTTACTACTGCACCAAACATGGAAGAATCGGCGTGTTGACACTTGGTCGGATCTGCTGCGCGCCAGTGTGGAGAAATGGTTATCTTGTGTAGTGGCCGACGACATGGCTTACTTCTTCTGGGAGGATGAAGGCATTGTGCGCATGTTGGCCGAATTTGAGCCTGACTTTGTCCATCGCTTTGTGTCCTTGCCCTCGAACGTGGAGCGGGCTGACGTCTTCCGCGTTCTGGTTTTGAAATGGTTTGGCGGAATTGTAAGTTTCTTCCCCCTGAATCAAATCATACCTGCATTGTCGAAAGATTGACAATTTTGCAGTACGCAGACGTGGACACGCGACCGCTTCGTCGGCCTGTCTCTTGGGTTTCTGCTTCCGATCTTGCTCCCTGGACAGACGCTGTGACGGAACTGAAGTACTCCTACGACAACATAGTAAGCACCATTCTCGGCATTGAGGCCGATTGTGCGCCTTACAAGAGTGACTATTGGCGCATGGGGTATTCGTACCCGGTCCAACTCACACAATGGGCATTAGCTTCCAGTCCTGGTCACCCCATTCTTTTACGCTTCATGGACACTCTGCAACGGAGGCTAGAAGATGTTGCAAGGCGCAACAGGGGAGATATCACCGCTCCACAAGCCGTCAGGGAGCTGCAACGGATCGGACCGCTGTCTTTGACCGGACCAGTTGCCGTGACCATCGCAGCAAAGACTTGGTTAGAGGAACGGATTGGACTGCGGTGGAACGCTCTCACTGGACTCGGAGATGGCGGCCAAAGCAAGCTGGTCGACGACGTTTTGATCTTGCCAATCACCGGATTTAGGTACGCGGTCTTTCCTCTGTATTGGATCTGGCGTTCAGATGCTCACAACGGACAGCCCCGGTCGAGGCAAATACGGCAATATGGGCTCGAAGCCAGTCACGGACCCGTCGGCGCGAGTATGGCACCAGGCGCAGGGATCATGGCGCTCCTTCGACCCCAAGGTCGAGTTTGGGAAAGCCTGTCGGACCTTGCTCGGGTTGTGCAAGGACTGGTCGAAGCAGCCAGACTGACTACCGGGTACTGCAGGAGCCAATCGGCCAGTGGAGGTGGACAGCTAGAGACGTATCTTGTCCCCTTCGCCGATCTGTGGAGCCGGAGTCGAGGGGTCGACGATTGATGAAATGTACGAGTGCAACCAACAGGACAGGACAGGATAGGATAAAGGATCAAAGATTACCGTACCAAGTTATTCACTCACAGAGTGTCTCATTTTCTGACTCACACTTTGATGTGCGGGATACGAGACTACTGAGAAGGTAGTGTTGGATACCTGGGTACTCAGTAACGAGAAGCAGCCAGTCTAGTCGAGTCTATGTAAATCGGTACTCCGCACCACCACCAGCTGGATTTCCTATACGCAGGGATGTCATCACATCCATGCGTCGATACGACTTCGGACATGCGGGTTCTTCTACAAGAGAAAACAGAGCGAGGAATGGATACACTACCTAAATACCCACGTACGTACGTACGTACATAACAAAGGAACCTACCTGACTATCCATAAGTCGTGGTCCTAGACACTTTAAGCAGATCGCACAGGTCCTGGTGCCTCGGAGACATTATGTACTGGGTACCGATCTACCTAAAGGGCTTCACTCCATGTCCTTCACGCTTCATCGCGCCCTCGTCGCCGTCAAGACGACTCGATTCCGCCAACCACCCCTGGTCAGCGCGTAAAAGACCTCGCGCATCGATTCTTGGGTCCAAAAGATGCCGAGCCCGTCAAAAATACACTTCATCCCGGCGAGCAGCGTGCCTCGCTGGGCCGGGTCGGCCAGCACGCCGTAGCACAGCGGGCCCGCAAAGGTCATGTAGAAGCAGCCAAAGGGCTTGGTGGTGGCGGCGAAGTCGAGCGTGTCTAGAACAAAGGTCGCCGACTGGGCGGTCTGGAGGGACAGGGCCGGGTTGGGCCGCGGCGCGAGGAAGTTCTGCAGCACCGTGTTGATCAGGATGACGCAGCCGTGGTAGAAGGTCGCTTGTTTGATGGACCGCGCGGGCTGTACTGACTCAGCGGTGCTCTCGGGGTGGAAGACCGCCGCGGGGACTGGGCCGCGGTAGGCGCGTGGGCAGGTGGCGTGGACGCCCGGTGTCGAGAGGGTGCGGGCAACGGTCTCGGAGTGGATGACGATGGCGGCGCGGATGCTGTAGATCTGAGAGAGCAGTTCCGCATAGAGCGGCGATGAGGTCGAGGACGGAGACGCGGGGTCCATTTCTCTGGCACGGACCAAGAGCCCAGGCAGGCTTGCCAGGACCGTCCAGAGCTCGGCCATGAGAGGGCTGGTAGAGTCTGCGCCGCCGGTCCTACGCATCGCGTTCACCCATTCTGGCCCACTGAGGAAGCAGTCCTCGCCGCGCAGCATGCACTGCGTGATAATGCTCGGATACTGGGTCATGAAGATCGCGGCTTCAAACTCGGACGCCTGCGCGCGGCCGGGACCACAACCTCGCAGGATTGCAGAGACACCGCCTGAAAGCGTGACGAAAGAGTAAGCGGGACCCGGCTTCAAAATCTCATACTGAGCCATGAGGAGCGACGCACACAATGTTTCAGACGGCGTGGAGAGGAGGCCGTTGTCGTCGTACTGGGTGAGCTCTTGTCGAAGCGCGGAGATGGCAGTAGTATAGCGAGCTAGCTCGAGGGCTTGATTTCGAGGCTGACCAGCAGAGACCGCGGTAAAAGAGTACAAGAAACAATTGACTGCAGCGTCAAGTGCCCGGCTTCGACCCAGTCGAGGGGGAAGCTTCCCGAAATAGAATCCCATCTGCTGCAGGCTTGCACCGAATCCAGAGGGTCTCTCGAGTGCGGAGATCAGACTTACGCCCAAACGCTCCGACTGATTGAGTGGGACGACTGTGGCCAGAAGATCCGTTGTTTCCAGAGGCTGGGCAACCAGATTCCGGCTCGGGCCGTAGGAAACAATGCTGCCATCATTCTCGTCCATGGAAATGGCATCCAATGCCTGAAGAAGCTGCACGCGCTGTTCTGCCGAGCCGTACTGATATCGAAACGGGGAATCTGGGCCTGTGCAATGACGTTTGCTTTTCTGACACTGGGAGCATACCGGCGTGCGCTCATCACACTAGTTGAGTTCTCGGTTAGATTTGCGATACAGAGGGGGTCTCGTATTGCGGGAAGACATCAAAGCAAGAGATATGATCTTCAAGGTGGCATACTTTGATGCGTCGCTGCTTGCATGTTCGACAACCCTGGCCCCTGATTCCAGGCATGTCGATCGTGACTGTTATCCTTTGAATTCAAACGAGGTGAGTTTCCCACAAGTTGTCGGTTCCTAGCATGAGGAGATGTAGAGTACAGGAAGGACGCCTTGTAGTCGAGTATCCTCATTCTTAAAGAGACAAGAGGGCGGTGACCTAGCTTCAAGCCGGAAGTCGTCCACTGGTTGTACTTCTGAAGGTGAACATGAAGGGTAAGGCGATTCGTCCAAGCCAGTAGAAGCTAGCAAGTGGGCATGATCTGTTGCGTACCCGGAGAGGTAGCTGTCGGGGGTTAATCGTGGACCGAGCCATGGGACACAGCTGAACTGGGATCTACGCTTGGTTGCCGATCCACAAGTTGGGACTGGAGAACCGCTGTCCGCGGGTGGCACGTTGATCATGCATGACCGTTGAAAATATTGAACCCCTGGTCGCGGTATAAGAGGTAGTACCTGGGTAGATACCTACGCAGGGATCTAAGATGTCAGGATGAAACTGGACAGGGACGTTCAAATCTCGTACCCGTCACGTCATTTACATCGGGAATCTAGTCATATGTATACTAGTGTGTATCTATGGTGGAGTATAGATGCATTAGGCGTCCGGCCATACCATGTCGCCGGTAAAAAGCACTCAGAGATACCTTCAACAGGGAACTGGCTATATTTATCATATAAAAGTGTGCTACTGAATTCAGCTCGTTTCAGGTGATGACCGGATGAGTAGCCCGCCACCGAATAGAGAGCTTTAAGTGAACGTTGTACTAATCGAAGCCAACCATATGAGGTGATTCATACCGCTCGAGACTTCAGAGACCAACCGCGGAGGTTCAGGAGACGTCTCACCGTGATGGTTCTTGCAGCATTCAAAAATATTATCTCCAAGTAACAAAGCCTCAATACAACAGTCAAAATCATGAATAAGGTCACGTGCAGCCTGTTACATAAGCCACTTCAACTCCAGCGTCACTATCGTCACTCTCGACAACTCAGTTCCTCGATCGGCTCCCAGGTTGCATCGCCGTGACGTCAAAAGTTGCCCATTCCTGCTCAACAAGAATGGAGTCAAGTGCCAAAGGTTGCGAGATGCAGCTCAACAACCCTTTTCACTCACATGCAAATGGACGGACTCCTGACATGTGGCCCGCTATTCCTGTCTCATCTTTAAATGGACTTATTTCACACCGTCACTCAAACCATTGATCAAGTCTTGACTTGCGACTGGTACGACACGTTCAAGTCATTCAAAATGGAAGGCAACAAGGCCCAAGATAAAACTATGGATACAGTTCCTGGAGGCGAAACCCCTCAGTATGTGCTTGATGCCCTTTCTCTTGCTAGTCCGCTAATAGTCTTGTGTAGATACGAGTCCATAAAGACGGCGACCGTGCCCACCTCGAAACAAAGAGGTCAACTGGGCAGTATGCCATTGAATCCTCTCCCCTTGCCCTCTGTTTCTGACATTTTTCCAGGTGGCTCCAATACCATGGAGAACCCCTCCACGTCTGAAGACCGGGGAAAGCAGAGAGCAAACAATATAAGATATGGCCAGAATATATCAGAGTCCGGCATGGGTGGTAAGACAGTGGCGCAGGATGGCCAGGCCGGTCAACAAGGTGGATATGGAGGAACACCAGACCAGGCCGAAGGACAGAAGGATACCAGACCGCAGCAGGGGTACGGAGCAGGAAGCGGGGTCGGGGCATAGAGTTGGAAGGTCGTCGAGAACGATCGGGGACTTGCGGTTGTTGACAGAAGCCTCACGACGAAATGGGGACTGTCGTTGGCGGCGGATCTAGCTGAGTCGCGATCGTCTGAGGCGGCACTTTCATCCCTGATACAATGGCTTGTGGGCTTTCCTTGTCCTTGGGTTCCACCTCTCTCCGGGCTTCCTTGAGCTTTTCCAGTGTCACTCCGTTGCCCAGCTTTGTGATACCAACCATGGGAGGATCCCCCTTCTTGACAAACTCCCACAGCCCAGGTAGTTTGTTTCCCGCCAGCCGAAAAGCATCTCTTACGACCTGTTCGTGGAGATTGCTCTTGATCTCGAACACCACCCTGCTGACCGGGATACGCGCAGCCCAGTAGTCGAATTTACCTTTTCCTTTACCCATGCGCACGTCGCTGCCTTTCGTGTACACACCGATATTTGCGCTTACCCGCTTGTATAGTCTAAAGCGCTCACCCCGTAGCCGTCTGTTGATGGTATCCTCAGCGTTTTTGAGTTGTTTCGCCGAGACTCGGCGGTCGTGATCTTTCATGCGCAAGCCATAGTCGCCCCAAACAACGGTCGTCCCACGCATTGAACCGCCCGTCGGCATTCGCGGTCGTCCCACGTGAGATTTTCTCACTTCTGGTCTCTTGGGCGTCAACCAATCTCGATGGGCTGTCGTGGTAGAGAATGAGCGAGTGCATGTCGACGGAGCTTGTATCGCGCGGTGGGCAGGGAGAGAGGAGTGTATCCGAGTCAATCTGGTCGAGGACGTTCTGGGATGGTTTGAGAACATTGTTCTGATCCGGAGATAGCGCAAACAAGCAGCTAGAAAGCCGTCAGTCAGTTCGAGCAATCCTCAAACCATGCGGAAGGGAGCTCTCGTACAAGACGGGCCGGCGGGCTGCGCAGCCATCTTTCCGGTGTTTGTGTGGTCGTGAAATCAAAGTATGCTTTGTATAGTGCTGGGCGGGACGCAGAAGTAGCGTATCTTGGAGCAAGATGCTGTTGAATACGATGACAAGATCAGTGGTCTAGGCTTGTTCACAAAACACAGAGCATCGTGTCCCAGAGGTAGCACGCATTGAGAACGAAAAAGCTCTAGGGTGCAATTGGCTTGTCTGCCAAGATCCAGCTGCTTTAAGCCTTGAAAGGACAAAGTCAGTTTTAATACCGAGTTGAGCTAGCGCCAGCAGTACTTTAGCCGTTATGAACAAACATGCCGCCCTATAATTTTGTCTGCTACCTAGGTATACAATAACATGTCGCTACGTCTGGCCTTTGGTGGTCGTCAAAAATCTTCAAGCACGAGTAGACGACTTCAGCGGACTTTGAGCTGTCTCTCTCAGCCTCGAGAAATCATGAACGTACCTGTATTGCATGGTATTGGCGGAAGGGATTGATCATTGTATACATGGTTAAAGGAGTGCATTCGTTGGTCAACTTCTATTTTGATACCACAATCTTCCCATCGAAGCAAGCGCTTACAGAACTGGAGGCTTCCGACCCTGGACGAGTTGCTCCACTCCGTATGCCAGCTCCAGCAGTTTCTGCTCGCGATACGGTAGACCGACCAATTCCAAGCCCACGGGTAAACCACTGCCACCCTCGGTCAAGCCCGCAGGTACAGTGACGGAGGGGAAAAGCGACTGTGACGAGACCAGCGTATTGGTTGGGAAAGCCGCCGCAGGCCATCTTTGAGAAAGCACGTCTTCGAGCAACGGAGCCGGGACCTGGACGTCCGGGAAAGCCAGTGCATCGAGATTTTCCTTGGCTAGGGCGACTGTGATGGCGCGCTGGAGCTCCTCTCGGGCAAGCAGGCGAGTGGTGAATTCAGGATCATTCTGGGGCGTCCCGATACCTGTGGCAATACCCTCGAACAAGTCGAGAGCTGGGTGATATTTCTTCGACTCATAAATCTCTTTGGTGTTGGTCTTAAGGAATGGGTGTCGACCGAAGAACGCGTCAAGATCGGAACGAGAGCGCTCGTGATACGTAAAGGTTATCTCGAGGAGTTTCGTCAGGTTGGGTATCTCGACGTCGACGAGGACCGTGCCGTTGTCTTGGAGCGTCTGCAGCGCCGCATTGATGACCTTGTTCACGGATTGGCTCTCTGGGCTCGACTTTGGTCCAAATACGCCCCGGAGCACACCGATACGTGCCGACTTGATCTTGTCCACAGATAGATTCGCACCATAGCTTCCTCCAGTAGGCGGACCCGCGATCACTGCAGTTGCTGTATAGGGATCCTCTTCGTCGAAGCCGGCCAGTACATCGAGCATCAAGGCAACGTCTGTGACGGTCCGGCACATTGGACCTGGTGTATCTTGGGGAACTAGCAAGGGCGACAGACCAGTCCGGCTGATTATACCAGGAGTACATCGAATACCCACGAGCCCACAGAAGGAAGACGGCACTCGAATTGAGCCACCGGTGTCCTCGCCCACGCCCAGAAGACCAAGATCAGCTGCTATCGCCGATCCCGTGCCTGAGCTGGAGCCTCCGGGGTCTCTTTTCGTATCGTATGGGTTCTTCGTTGTCCCGGACAGAGACGACGTCGAGTGCCAGGACGTGGCAAAGTCTTCGGGCACTCTGTTAGTTGCGCGGACTCTGATTATCGATGTGTGGCCTTACCTGGCATCGTGGTCTTCGCCAAAATGATGGCTCCTGCGGCCTTCAGCTTTGCGACCAGCGTGGCGTCTTGCTCTGGTATATAATCTTTGGCAACGATCGACCCGTACGTCGTCGCGAGGCCATTGGTACTGGCCTGGTCTTTGACAACCACGGGGATACCATGGAGTGGCCCTTTCAATTCCGACGTGGATTTGAGATGCGCATCTAAAGCATCGGCCTCTGCGACGGCTGTTGACGAAACCGCCAATATGCTGTTCAACTTGGGGCCATTGTCGGCTTGGTCGATTGTCTTGATGCGATGGAGATAGTATTCGACAACTTGCCGAGCCGTGAATGTGCCATCACGGTAGCCCTTTTGTGCCCGGGCGGTAGTCAGCTCCTTCAACGACGTGTCCATGGTGTATCAGTTGTCGAGCCACCGGTCGTTGATCTTACAGGCAGGGAACTCGCAAAAGCCCTGTAATGTACACCAACTGGCAGTATCAACAATCAGTTGCTCGTGACTCGAGTCGCTGCGGGGATCAGACGGAATTCCTCCCAGGTACGAGGTATTCTGTCTCCGCTGAAATCCCGGCCCTTATCGTGGAAAGTATCGGACAAGGCTGGATACTCAGGGTTGTCCTATCTAGGATAGTGACAAAGTGTTATTCAACCATCTAGCCCAGTGAGGCTCTTATCTCTGGGCGCCTCTGAGGCAGAGAGCCTAGACCTGTGGGCGCTAACCACCTGTGCTAGCTAAAGGAAAACTCTCTCGGCTACTGAATCGGATATCACCGCACGACCAAGGCAATGGCATCGGTTCAAAATTGTCCAGGCTGCAGGTACCGAGCAATGCTTCTCTTCCGGCACACGGCAGACAATCGATTACGTCCGGTTCGATGGTGCTGAGCACTCCAGCTCTCCGAGAGCATAGGCGCGTCTATCAGGTTTGTGTCTCTCGCTAAGACTGTTGTACGCGTGGTCAACACATGCTGATCAATGTTCCTCAGGCATGCGAGCCTTGTAGACTCAAGAAGGTTCGCTGTGAACTGGGGTCTGTCGACCAACCCAAGAGAGGGCCTTGCGCGCGTTGTCGCAGAGAGAATAGAGATTGTTTCTTTGCTGCCACGCGGACCAGGAAGTTTCCATCAAGCTCAATCTCGGGTCAGGATCCTGAGCCTCGTCATCCTCCTGGTGCAAAGCGACAGCGGACTGGATATCACGGAGAACATGAGCTGACATCGTCCCTATCCGAAGAGGGATCTCCTCCGGCTTCATTTGCTCCGTTAGAGGGTTCAACAGGGGAAGAAACCCAAGGCAGGCGTGCTGAAGCAGCGCTTCTGAATGGACATTCCCGAACCTGGCATGACGCTCTTACATTACTGGCGAGAGTCTGCGACGAAGATGGGACGCAAAAAAGTGCCGTCGAGGTGCAGTCACTGTCTCCAGAAGAACAAGCACATATGAGACAGGCTGGACCGGCTGCTTTCCCCTTCATTGGTAGCACCGTCTCTCAAGACACCCAAGCTGCGTTGCGGGCCTGGTCGACGCTGCGATTTGTGCGTGGCGGACTGTTCACGGCTGAAGAAGCCATGGATATGGTAGACCATTTCTACACTTACCAGGCACCCTTTTCTCCAGCTGCTCCAGAGTATTATGCGCATCACAGCAAGCACCATCTCCTCATCGAGGAAGAGCCGATCCTCACCATCACAATATTGATGATTGGTTCCCGATACCGAACGTGGACTGGGCCAGCGTCGATATCGAGGTCCCGCGTCATTCACGACCGATTGTGGAGGTATCTTCAGGGGATGATCTCGCGTCTCTTCTGGTTCGAGGACAACTTTGTCGGTGAGTTCACCTCACTGAGAGATCCGTCAAGTAGCATGCAGAAAAGGGGACAAGACTCTGTGCGGTCCATCCGGTTTCGCACGCTGGGCACTTGCGAAGCTCTGTTACTGGTTCTGGACTGGCATCCAAGAGCCCTCCATTTCCCTCCGATTGATGATGATACCACTTCGATTGTGATTGCCGAACAACCAAGGTCGCGGAATACTGGCACATCGGGTGGAGAGTACGAGACAGGAGCAGGTCACCTCTGGCTGGCTCGCTCCGGGCACTTGTGTCGTTCGATGCTCTCTACTGTCTCTATGCTCGCCACTGAACTGGGATTCTTCGACGGGAAAGAAGGGCCTTCGACGTACTACTCTGAGTACCGTGACTACTTGTACCGGGTTCCATCGACTCGTCAGCGGGCGCAGTCGTTGCAGTATTTGATCTGGATATATGCTACGCAGCAGCAGACGGGACCACCGAGTACGTTGATTGATCATCTCCCCGTTCGACCCCTTCTAGTACGTACGGGTATACTGATGTGGAAACTCAGGCTGGAGAATCAGCACACCCACACCATCTGCACTACACATCGAAACGCACTTGGACAATACGACCGAATGCTGGGTTCGAGTGGCGACATTGGTGAAAAAAGCCGATGAAGCACTCTTCAGGTCTCAGCGGTATACCCAGAAGATTATCCGAAACGGCCAGTATCTCTCAATCATGCAGTCGTTCCAGCCACTGCTGCAAGAGTTCATCATCAAGTTCAATCACGCAAAATGTAACTTGGTCGCCCCCTCTACTCGGGCTCCCGGGCTAACAAAACACCAGTGTCTAGACAAATGCGACTCATCTTGTCGATCGAATTCAACTACATTCAATTGTGCATCTTCAGTCTCAGCCTGCAGGCAATGATGCTGAGAAAATGCCGAACTGGAGCTAACCAATCCCAAATCGACTACGATTCTCTCCAGACTCCTTCTACCACAGACGAAGAACACCTGGGTAAAACCGCCAGGGCAGCCCGAAGTATCGTCTCGGTTGTGGTTGACGACCTTCTCCCTGATGGCGATGTCAAGCATATCCCTGTTCGCTCATACTCGCGGATCTTGGGAGCAGCTCTGGTTCTTCTACAGGTATGAGCACAGTTGTTCCCCATTGACTGACTTGGATGTTCCGCAGGCTGACAGCGGACTAGATCTGCGCGTCAGAAATGAAGCATGTTCTCGACGTGTCTGCGACTTTTAGCCAGATCAAAGATCTCGGGACTGCGCTCGAGACCTGCGTGGTTGACGATACACACCTCAGCGCTCGATGGGGTGTCCTTTTGGCCGGGCTAACAGACAGTTTCCAGTCGCGGCTTTCTCAACAACAAATCGTCCTTTCCGATTCCCGGAGGGACGAACCCAATCCAACCCGAACAGGAACCTCTGAGATGCCCGAAGCTTCTGAAATGTTGATTCGGGCATCGAACATGAACGGCCGCACACAGCATCAAAGTCACCCCGATGTTGCTCCCGGTCTTCGTCCCAGCGCCGAGGGAATAGGCACCACATTACAAGCACCCAACTTTGACGTCTATTCCATGTGGTGGGATATCACGCGGCCGGTGGATGCCATGACGGCTGAGCAGAGCATGCGGTATGTTCCCATCACTTCGGTGGAAACGGACATGTCTCTACCAGATGTGTCTTTGGAAAACGGACACGATAGCTCGTTTAACTTTCCGACGAACTTGTTCTAGACCATAGATATCTCTCTGTACGAGTATTCCCAAGACATAACTGTGGCAAATCTCCGGTTGGAGGGATATAGAGATCCACCAGGACCGTGACCATGTTACAATTTGCCTGACAGGCTCTGGATATGTACGTGGACCACCTTGTTTCGCTCTGTATGCCTCCCTCCCCGGTCCGCGACTTGCCGAAGGATATTTTTATCTCTTAGCGGCTCCCTCTCTCATTACCGTTACGGTGCAGAGGACCAGACAAATTCCCCATGGCCTGGATTCATGCAGATGCAGAAATTTACTGTCGCCATTGAATCAAACCATACTGGCTGGACTTGACTAAATGCACGTCCTTTCTACCTGCACACGCAGGCTTTTCACAAGGCTGCCGCCGCCTTTGACCAGACAGTACTCCAGCCTTGTGAGCGACAACATGTCTCGCATCAAGCACAAGGCCATGATCAACGTCGACCTGGGAGAGGGATATGGCAACTGGTCGTGTGGACCGGATGCTGAGAGACTACTCCCCCTGATCGACCATGCCAATATAGCCTGTGGCTTTCACGCGTCGTGAGTTGTATCTTGTATGCTTTAGAGAATTGTCACTGATTGATATTCGGGGAAACAGAGATCCCCTCATCATGATGGACACGGTTGAGCAATGCAAAGCCCACGGCGTCAAGGTCGGCGCACACCCGGGATTCCCAGACCTGCAGGGCTTTGGGCGGAGGGAGATGAAACTGTCCCACGAAGAACTCACGGCCATGACCATCTACCAGGTCGGCGCGCTCAAAGGGTTTCTCGACCGGGCAGGCGTGCCGCTCCACCACGTCAAGCCGCACGGGATGCTCTACGGGGTCTGCTGTCGCGACTACGACGTGGCGAAGGCGGTGTTTCGGGGCATTCCCGAGGGCGTGCCTGTCTTTGGTCTCGCGGGGACGTGTATGGAGCAGGCGGCGCGGGACATGGGCATCGACTTCATCGCCGAGTTCTACGCCGATGTCAAATACAACACGGACGGCAGTTTGATCATCGACCGGAAGAAAGGGTATGTTGTTGATGACCACCTCCTGACCACATGTCCATTCAATATCTGTCTCTTTTCATCAAAACCCGCTTCTCTTCAACTGATTATGAAATAGGGCATGGGACCGCGAAGAAATCAGCCGCCGAGTTTCGCAGCAGCTGGAGACGTGCAGCGTGGGTGCCATCGACGGCTCGAGCTGTGACCTGCGAATCAACGACTATCGCACGTCGATATGTTGTCATTCTGACAGTCCCGGGTGCGTCGAGATTGTCGAGGAGACGCGAAAGGTTGTTGATGCTTTCAACAAAAAATACTTTCCCGGTGGTTAGCATAGTCATTGCTTTGGTCTGTATCGTTGGACCAGCTCGGAATATACCAACAGTAAGTGAAAGTTTGTTCAATCTCGGATCGGATAACCACGGCTCAAGGCTCAGTCGGTTCGATATCCGATACCCACCAACAGGCCACAAGCCACGAGGTTATCAAACCTTTTGTTGCGAACCGAGACACAAGTTACTAACAAAATCTACTTGTAAACAGGAAAATGCCCGCTCGAGGCTTGGAAAGGGCCCACCACGCCACAATCGCAAGAACAACCACCACCACCACCACCACCACATGGACAGATGATGGTCACGGGAAAGAGATGCACAGGGCACAGCAGCCTTGTGGGAATTTATGCTGGGATATTGTCGTTGGAATACAATCTGGACAGATCATGCCGCATCCTCCGCGCAATGACTACGAGGCTCTCGATACAGCGTCAAATCTTGATGCTTGTCAGTGCTTTGAGTGGTATGGCCTCGATCTCAAAATCAACCGGTGCCTCGAACAATGTATTCAGAATCACAAACAACAACCGTCTGTCCTTTCTTCACGGCCATCCCTCCTTCTCCCCCTCCGGTATCAAGGTCTCGTTGTACATCTCCAGCTCTCGGAATGGACTGTGCACGACCAGCCTCGAAAACAGTCTGCCAACTGCCCGTCCCCAACGTCGAGGACCAAACCTCTTTCCTGACCGCAAAATCCCCCTGTGCTGATTCCTGCATTCCCAAGAACACGTGGCCGATTCTCCCCAGGAACATGGATCCGTCGGTGCTTTGCAATATCCACGCGCTTCTCCCTTCGTCAGACTCTGTGTCCTCTGTAACATCCCGCCACACCTCTTCGTAATCTGTCAGTGTCCCATTGCCTTCCTTGTCGAACTTGCCCGTCTCGAGACTGTCGCCGTTGCTCAAGTCCACGAACGACGCTTCGTCGGATTGCCGACTCCCCAGGGAATCGATGATGCGAGTCCACCGAAACGTCACTGGGAGGAGGTGTCAGTCGGTCAGTTCTTTGAACCAATTTTCAAGACTTCATTCAGATGTATTCTGTCAGAAGGTACCTACGTGGATCGCGTGCGAGCGTCTTGCGCTCACCTGCTCGACTCCACTGCAGCGTCTTGTCGGCCAGTGTCACGCGCAAGTCCATATAATATCCGTCCACGTTGAGGGCGATGGTGTCGGTGTCTTCAAAGGCGTCGTCTGGGAGCCAGCGAATGCTGACTCGCTTGAGGATCTGGGGCGTTGATTTGATCACCATCTTCCACTCTTCCACTCACTCCCACATGCGAAAGCGAAGCATGGCTTTGGTTCGTCAAGGCGCAATGTCCCAGAAGAATGGTCGAGGCTCTATTATCCACCACCCCTTGTTGCCCCAAATACTACTTGTGTCTACAACCGATCTTGACCCGTAATGTGTGACAGAAGTGTTCTCCCCATCGTTTTCCCCGGAAAGTGAGCGGTCCTGGTCAGCCTAGCGAGTCACCGACTCCACCGCCGAGAAAAAGGCTCGGAAATCAACGGCGGCGGAGCTCTGCGTTCTCGGCTCAATGATAAGGAATAGTCTTTTGGGGGTATCCCGTTGATCAGGTTAAGCACGCCAATCAACGACGAGGACTGAATACCTGATCTGGAGAATTGATTGTTTTCGGTTGCGGGAAAGAGCTGGATCGTTTCCCAGCCTGTCCTAATGTTTCAATCTCCACCGGATACCTCGTATCTATCTCTTTTTTCCTATGGATCTGGATTAATGTCAGAGCCAAGAAGGCCCCCCTGGGCCCTCGTCTCATGATAGAATCCGCCAGATACCAAACACCAGGGAGGGCCGGCCGGCCATGTCGAAGTTTCCCATATATCTCGTGTACGGGATTTGAGCGCAAGGGGGACGAAAGAGAGAGAGATAAAAGATCCCTGTAACCGCCAAACCGGTACTTCTTCAACACACTTTGCTGTTTCGTTTCCTCCCGATCCTGCATTGACCCCAGAAACGAACGGATCTCAGCCAACGCACATCCCACCATGCAAGACTCCAAGGGAGAGACGACGCAAGAGGTGGGGGAGAAGATCGAGGCGGGCGTCTCCCAAGAAGCCGTGCAGGACAGCAGCATCTTGAAGGCCGATCTGAGCGAAGATGACGGCGAGGTCTTCAAGAGTCACACCGGCGTGGCCGAGTTTCGAGCCTTGGGGTGGTATGTTGTCACTCTTCTGCTGCTCTCTCTTTTTACAAGGGAACACTCGCTTATGAACAACGACGCAGGATCCGAGCATGCATTATCCTCCTGAAGCTGTGTTTCGCCACGGGTGTTTTGGGGATTCCCTACGCCATGAATGTGACGGGCTATGGACCGGGCATCTGCATCCTCTTCGGCTGGGGAACCATGACAACCTGTAAGTCCCCAAACACCAACACCGTGACATGACTTGTGTTGTGTATCCTTGCTCACGGACGCGGCTTGGTTGGTTCAAGATTACGCCTATATCATGTACCTGTTCCGCATGAGATATCGCGGCGTGCACAACATCGCCGACGGCGCCGCCGTCATGGGAGGACCCATTGCTCGCGAGGTCGCGGGGGGCTTGTTTCTCTTGACGTGGATGTGAGTTTCTCGAGCGCTTCCTGAGAGTGAAACAGCTTCCGCTGACAGGTCATGCACACCACAGCTTGGCCGCCGGCTCCGGGTTCATTGGGTTGGCTCAAGGCCTGAAGATTCTCGCCAACGGCAAGGCCTGCACGGTCGTCTGGACCATGGTTGCGGCCGTCTCGACAGGCATCGTCTCGAGTATCCGCACGTTGGGCAAGATGGCCGTCTTGACCTGGATCGGGTTTGCTTCCATCTTCACGGCCGTGTTTATCGTGGTGTGAGTATTGTCCCCATGTCGGGTCGACTCTGAATTCAGACAAGATTGATATAATTACTGACGACTCTTCCACATAGTGTCGGCGTCACTCAAGTCGACAGACCCGCCGCCGCCCCGGCCACCGGTCCCTTTGATCTTGGTGTCATCGCCGTCGGGTCACCAGGATTCGTGGCAGGACTCACCGCGACACTGAATCTCTTTTGTAAGAACAACTACCACCAAGAAGACCCTCCCCCCAAGCCCTTCCAGCCAAGAGAGAGAGACAGAGACTAATGGATCCTATGCGAGGTATATAGCCGGCTACGGAGCCACACCGACCTTCATGCCCGTCATCGCCGAGATGAGGCGGCCCAAATCCTTCCCCAAGGCTCTCTTCACCTCGCAAGCGACCCTGTCCGTCTGCTACATCACCTTTGGCACCGTGGTATACGTGTGAGTTTTGTCTCACTCCAAAGTCTATTTTCTGACAGAGCTGATAATCTGTTCCAGCTACTGCGGTCAATACGTGGCCAGCCCATCGCTCGCCAGTGCCGGCGGGACGATTGAGAAGATCGCCTTTGGGATATCGATTCCGGGCTTCATCATGACCTCGACGCTGTGGATTCACATGGCTGCCAAATTTGTCAGTGGCATCTTCCTCCTCCTCCCGGCTAGAGCTACAAGATATGCTAACACTTTTTCCGAGTAGCTCTTTGTCAAGATCCTGCGCAACTCTCCTCACCTGCAGAGCAACAGCATCGTGCACTGGAGTACCTGGCTGTAAGTGTCCGCCCTCCCCTCCTTTTGCCTCCTTCTTCCACCTGCTGGCTAGCTGGCTGGAGACACTACCTACATTTGAATATATGAACTAACCAGATTTCTGTTCAAATAGAGGCTCGACCATAGGAATCACGCTATTGTCATTCATCGTGGCCGAAGCGATCCCCTTTTTCGGGTTTCTGCTCGGACTGATCGGCTCGCTCTGCTGTGCTCCGACATGTGTATGTTTTGTTCTTCCCTACTCCCCTTCTCTCTCCTTCTCGATACCCAAATACTAGAGAAGAAGCCTTGCTAAACGAAGCCTGTGATTCCGTCCTCTAGTTGATAATCCCCGCCTTCATGGGCCTCTACATGGACCGGGGCACGTACAACACGAGCTGGCGCCGCCGCACCATCTGCGGCCTGCACGTTGCCGTGATCGCGCTGGGCTCCTTCATCACCGTCGCGGGCACGTACACGACCATCAAGAGCATCGTGGACGCGTACCGCGACGGCACCGTCGGGGGCGCGTTTAGTTGTGCCTGAGCACAAAGGTGTCAATGTCAGGGTCAAGGTCAGGACTCTGGAAAGAAGAGAAGAGAAAAGACGAGGAAGGGAACAAGGGCAAAGGACGAAAGAGTCTTGTTACTGTTATTCATGGGGTATATGTAAACATACTATATAATAGAGCGATAGACAAGACATTTCCCAGAATCTGAATCTGGGCGGTATATATGACAATGTGATGCGCATGTCATATCATCCTTCAACACGATAATCCAACCGAATCAATTACTGGAAGCCATCGTAGTCTGTCTGCCACATCCCAATCGGCTCAAATGAATCCCCCATGAAGGCGTCTTGGAAGAAATTGTCATGGGTATCAAAAGACCACGACAGAGGATTCAACTCCCACCCCGCCGAGGTCTGCGCCAAAGCGAAATGACCGCCATTACTCGTAGGCATGGTGCCAGGCTGCGGGAGGATGTGTTGCTGGGATCTCCACAAGCCGGTATCTGGCTGGACCTGAAAAGGCTGCTGGTCGGTGCTCGGCGCCTGCGAAGGGTCAATGTTGCGGCGTACATTCACGTTCCCGAGCAATGGGACCTTGAGGTTCAATTGACGAGAGTTGACCGCGTCGCCATTTTGCTGAAGCAAAGCATTGAGAGAACGAATCGTCATTGCGCCGAGCCGGGCAAAGCTGGCGTTGGTTGTGTCACGAGATTTCTCGTCCATAACCTTGAGCACTTGCGCGGCAATACCCTGTATTCTCGCCTTGTTCACTTCCGAGTCGAGATGGTTGCTGGAGGGGCCTGTGTGGGATGTGAGGAGGAGAACCGTGGTTGCGGTGAATGCTTGTAGATCCAGGATCGGAGAAAGAAAAATACCGGAGGGCAGCATACGACGCAGAGCTTGATAGCGTTGCGCGACCGCTTCGCAGGCTTCCATGCATGTCAAGCGGCTGTACATATTTCCCTCCGCCGGGTCCTGGCGCATCGTAAAAGGCAAATGCACCCTCATCAAAAAGTAATAATGTAATAGTTGGCAGAGACTCTCAGGTTTGAAATGCACAACATCCTGGTCCCACCAGGACTTCGGAGTCTGAGCGGCAAGAACTCGCAGCTCTCGGTCAAGCTCCAGCGCGTACGCATATGCCTGTGCACCAGATGCATGGTTGGCACCGAGATCGTCCAGGGTAGAGAACTTGGCTGTGATATCCGTTAACTTGTTTAGATAAACCGGGACCTGAATGATGCCGTTGATTATTATAGGCTTCAAATTAGTGTAATCTGAGCGTCGTGTGGCAGGAGGGCGATTGACTATCATGCAGAGCAGTCTCTCCGCCGAGCACATGAACTCCCAAAGCTGAATCCTCGGGAACAGTGATTGGTCTGGTGTACCATTGCCGGGCGGGAGGCTTTGAGACGCTTTCGGCAATCCGAGAAGCTCAGCCATGGCTACAAAGTGTCGCATGCGGATCCATGCTTTCTGGAAATTCCCATGGCTTATTTGACTATCGCGCTTATCAGCTCGTTTTGACCATTGACATGTCCACTGGAACATCTTACAGCCTCAAAAACTGGTAGGTCTTGTCAGCATACGTTGGCAAAGACGGCTCGGATGGCAGGGAGGGACGCAGGACAACAATGTCATTGCAAGGTGAGGACAACTCACGTGCATCGCCATGCCCAACCCCTCAATTGTTCCCATCAGTCGGTCGTGCGATATTAACGTGCTCTCTACCGCGTCAGATACTGCCCGAGCAAAGTCGTGGATTCTGCGAAATCTTTTGAGCGACGTTTCTGGGCTGCCGTGATCTTGTGGTTCTTGTAGCCCCGTGACAGCAAGGTCAAGAAGCCATGATGCCAAAGATATGGCATCAGCATCTGGCGCGCACATGCTCTCATAGCTGTCCAGCAGTTCCGTGTGAGATTTCACCGCAAATGGTTGTGGAAGCAGGGCATGAACGAGATCAATCCATTTGGACGCTGTCCTGGCCATATCCCGGGCGTCCTCTCTTTGAGGGATTAGCTGCTGTAGTGTCTGCCGAGCCAGATCCAGAAGGTGGGCGGATGCCTTGGCTTTGCGGTCCTGTAGTTGCTGGTCTAGTTGGCCGAAATCCCCACTCAACCAATCATTCTGGAAAAGCGAACGGAGGTGTGTTGGTTGCTCAGTCGCAAGGACATCTGAAACGTTGGATTCATTGTCCGAGTCATCGTCCCCTTGACTGCTGGTAGCCTGAACAGAAGCTGGCCTTGCGACGTCTGTTATTTGGTACCCAAGCTTCGACTGAATTTCACGCACTGTCTTGCGCAGATTGGCGACCTCGACCTCTAGGAGAGCAATTCGATGACGCGACGGTAGTCTCTGCTCGTGGACCGGCCGAGAAGTGTAGACTTGGGCAACACATTTCACGCCTCGGTCTTCGCAGCTTCGACATGATTCTGCATCGTCGGATCTTCGAATACAGCGGATTTTGCGACGTCTACCTGCACATTATCAGAACAGCACTCTTGATGCACCGCAACAAACACAGACACTCGCTACAGCTCTTTGTCCCCTTCCGTGATTGACTAGGCATCTCAGGTTGGGACATATCAGGGGGTTGAACGGTTGCTCGAAAGTCCCGGGGCAAGGAGATATTCGGCTCGGACACAAGGGCTCGCTGTTTCTGAGAAGGGAATACTGCTCGGCTTACAGCGTAGACCGTGGTTGGACTCGAAGTTGTAGTGTTGGATGTTCGCAGCTCGGATTTCGGCGGGAAACGAAGCCGAATCGAAACTTGGAGCAGCGCTTTGACGCAAGGCAAAGTTGCCGCTTTAGGAAAAGTCACGCGTTCACGGCTGCGCTTCTTGTCCGCGGCTCCGTTTTTGTTGCGAGATTCCGTCGTCACCTCAGTTGACTACCTACTTCTATTGGTTTTCGGTGGCTGCTTTGATATCAGTCATTGTTCGTGCACCGGCCGATGGGACAATTGGATCCCTAGTGCGAACCGATGCCCCTCACATACCGTTGTTCGATCTCGTATCGTGAAGATCCGCCTGCGTCACAACTGGGGAGCCCCATGTATATAACAATGGACTTCCCACTAGAAAGAGATGGCTATGGTCAATATTCAACGTCAACAGTCTATCGATATTTGCCTGTCAAGAATATCACAGACCCTACGATACCCAATCGCTACTGTCGCAATTCACCAACGCAATGGGAGGACCATATCCCCCGACAACGGCCGCCATAGGTGGCGTACCGACGGTTGGCACCGATATCCCAGCAGGCGCTGTCCTCCTCCTTTTCTATGTCTGCTTTGCAGCCACGAACATGACCATCTTTCAGCTCAATCGCCGGAGGAATCACAAGTTCATCCCATCGGCGCTCCTGTTCGGCTTTTGTATGGCCAGGACAGCCACTCTGTGTCTGCGGATTGGGTGGGCGACAACGCCGCATGATATTCAACTGGCGATAGCGGCACAAATCTTTGTGAACGCAGGCATATTGATCATCTACATCATCAACCTGATCCTCGCACAACGCATACTGCGAGCATCACAGCCACAAATTGGATGGAATCCAGTCCTGCGAGCCGCATACAAGTTGTTGTACATCGCCATCGGGGCAGCACTCGTCATGGTCATCACATCCGTTGTCCTCTCAGTGTACACGCTCAATCCGCACACCAAATCTGTTTGTCGAGATATCCAGCTCGCGGCGATCACCTACCTATTCTTTTTCACCTGCCTCCCCGTCATCCATACTGCATTAGCGGTCCTTTTGCCATCGTCGAGAGATGCGGAGAATTTCGGCCAGGGCAGCATGAGGAGCAAGTTGGTCATTGTTACCTCTTCGGCCTGTTTATGTATGTTGATAGCAGGCTTCAAAACTGGCATCACCTGGGAGTCCCCGCGACCAGCCACCAATCCACCTTGGTATGACTCCAAAGCCTGCTTCTATGTCTTCAACTTCATGCTCGAGATCATCATACTTTTTATCTTGACGTTCAGTCGAATTGACAAGCGATTCTTCATTCCAAATGGGTCGACAAAGCCTGGAGATTACAGTCGAATTTTGGAAGAAGGTGAACAGAAGACGGAACATGCCTCATGGTACGCTTCGCCACAAGAAACCGAGAAGTGCTGAGAAGGGAAATTGTTGCGCACCTTGTAACGATTAATGATGATTTCTGCATGATAAGTGAAGCGGATAATATATGCTGTATGCTTGGCTAGACATCGATTGAATTTCTTATAGATGTGTCAGTCTTGATTCTCTCATATTCCTTCGCGTTTCTCCACAAATGTGCCAAGCACTGTAGGTAAGCTGTCCAATTGCTCCGCCGTAGCGCGTACAGTGGTTTTACGCGTCGCGTCCATCTCGAATTGGGAAGCGGGCTCTTTACGACATTTCAGTCGCTCCTTCCCGAGCTGTAGCCAGACATCACTGGTTCACTTTTTTTCGGCATTTTCTTTCTCATTCATGGCTGTCATGTCAACCTAGTTATCCTACCAATCCTACCTCCTCTTGAATTGAAGACAACATGCCTTCAGATATCAGGAGTTTCTTCGGCAATGGAGGGGCAAAGCCTTCGGTGAAGACTGCCACTTCAAAGGTTAGCAGGGGCGTCGTTCGCTCTGTATCGCTCAGCCGAGCATAAAGCATAGGTGACTGATCATGAGGCAGGACACGCCCAAAGCGACTACGAAACAGCGCGGCTCTCGCAAAGTCGTCTCCGATGACGATGACGATGATGACGTTGAAGAAGTAGTCAAACCCGCCTCTAAGAAGCCTACCACTCCAAAGCCCAAGAAATCGGCCAAAGAACCGGTGGAAGAGGAGACTACCAGCTCAGCCTACTTTGCTGCCTCAAAAACAAAGTCTGCGAAGTCTACCCCAGTGCGAACCAAAGCTGCCGCTACGAATGGTGCTGCAAAGACACCCAGCAAAGAAGTGAATGGCGACACACCATCTACTGGCAGAAGATCCTCCAGAAAGACTGGCAGAAAGAACTATGCCGAACAGGATGAAGATGACAATCCCAATAAAGTCTTGGAGGATGACCGCGAAGGCAATGATGACATTTTCAGTGACTTGAAGAGCAGGAAAGTGGACGACGATTACGAGGAAGGAACAGATGAGGAAGATATAAAGCCACAAAAACGAATGGGCAAGACTGTCAATGGTCACTCTAAAAAGCCCCAAGCGAAAAATGATGATGAAGACGACGACGATATCGAGATGGCACAGATCCCCGGATATGACGGACCTGGTGATGCGAGAAGTAAGAAAACGTCCAGCAGAACCACTTCCAGTCGTAAGAGAAAGTCCAAAGATCTTGAGGATGAAGACGAGGACGATGCCGACGATGCCGACGACACTCCCAAAAAGAAACCGAGGACTACGACATCGACAACTAGCAGGAAGCCACGCGCGACCCCCAAGAAGGAGGAAAAGGAGGAAAGCAAGGAGATACAAAATATCTTTGACAATATCCCTACTGTGAGAGCTCCGACTCCACCACCAAGAGATGACAAGAAAAAGTTCACATTCGGTGGCGGCAATGCCAACGTGGCTCCACCCGCAGCTGGCTCTGCTGATATTCCAGTGGGTGCAGAAAACTGTCTTGCTGGACTAACTTTTGTCTTCACGGGGGTTCTCAACTCGCTTGGCCGCGAAGAGGGACAAAACCTCGTGAAACAGTATGGCGGCAAGGTGACAGGCGCGCCATCCAAGCGGACCAGCTACGTCGTCCTTGGCGCCGATGCAGGACCGAAAAAACTTGAAACGATCCGCCAGCTGGGAATCAAAACGATCAATGAAGAGGGTCTCTTCGCACTCATTCGGCAACTTCCAGCAAATGGTGGTGATGGAAAAGCAGCCGAAGCCTATGCCGAGAAACAAGCCAAAGAGGAAGAGAAAATCCGCAAGCAGGCAGAAGATGAGGAACAACGCGAACGTGAGAGACAGAAAGAGGCTGCGAAAGTTGCAAAAGCTGCCGCGGCTCGAAGTGGTGCTCCTGTACCCCCAGCTAAACCAAAAGGTCCCAGAGTGGAAGACAGACTCTGGGTTGACAAATACGCCCCAGATTCAACGAGCGCCGTCTGTGGAAACAAGGCCCAGGTTGAAGGCTTACAGAGATGGCTTCGAAATTGGCCGAAAGCGGCCAAATCAGACTTCAAGAAGGCGGGTGCTGATGGGAAAGGCACCTTTCGCGCAGCTTTGCTCCATGGCCCCCCAGGCGTTGGCAAGACCACCGCTGCCCATCTTATTGCCAAACTTGAGGGCTATGATGTGGTCGAGAGCAATGCCAGCGAGACTCGGAACAAGAAGCTTCTTGAAACTGGGTTGACTGGTGTTCTGGATACTACGTCTCTCCTCGGGTATTTCGCCGGCGATGGCAAGAAAGTCGAACAATCGAAACGAAAGCTCCTGCTGATCATGGACGAAGTGGACGGCATGTCAGCAGGAGATCGTGGTGGCGTGGGCGCTTTGGCTGCTATCGTCAAGAAGACCAGCGTCCCGATGATCTTGATCTGCAACGAGCGGAACCAGCCAAAGATGAGGCCACTCAACAATGTGACAGCAGAGTTTCAGTTCCGACGACCGACCACGGATATGATTCGAGGCCGGATCGCTACGATTCTGTTCCGCGAAGGCATGAGATTACCCGCACCCATCATCAATGCCTTGATCGAGGGATGCAATGGCGACATTCGCCAGATCATCAACATGATTTCCACTGTCAAACTCGACAATAAGGATCTCGATTTCAGCGACACCAAGGCAATGTCGAAAGCATGGGAGAAACATATGATTCTGAAGCCTTGGGACATTGTGAATAAGATCCTTCGACCACAAATGTTTGCTGCCAGTTCATCTGCGACCTTAAACGACAAGACCGAGTTATACTTCAATGACCATGAGATGAGCTATCTTATGCTCCAGGAGAACTATCTCAAGACCAATCCTGCCCTTGCGAGCTCTTATAGCGGTAAAGAGCGAGAGATGAAGCTATTGGAGCTTGCAGACAACGCCGCTGCCAGCATTTCTGACGGCGACCTAGTTGATCGGATGATTCACGGTTCCCAGCAGCAATGGAGTTTGATGCCGCTCCACGCTATCTTCAGCTTTGTCCGGCCTGCTAGCTATGTGTACGGAATGCTTGGGGGACAGGCTGCATTTCCCACTTGGTTTGGGCAAAACAGCAAGCAAAGTAAGTTGAAATTCAGTCCCATGTGGCTCTGTGTACTAATATGCTGTAGCGAAACTCTCTCGCTTTGTCAAGGAGATTCAGGGACATATGCGGCTTCGTACCTCTGCCGATCGTCATGAAATTCGCCAGCAGTATCTCCCGGCCCTATGGAGCAAGACAGTCGGCACGCTCAAGAATCAGGGCAAGGACGCCGTGCAAGATGTCATCGACTTCATGGACTCTTACTACTTGACCAAAGAAGACTTCGATGCCGTGCTGGAGCTGGGTGTTGGAGAGTACGACATGGACGGGATCAAGATCGACACCGCGACCAAGGCAGCATTCACCAGATTGTACAACGGTCAGAGCCACCCTATGCCATTCGTCAAAGCAAGCCACATACTGGGTACCGCCAAGGGACGAGCGAAGAAGGAAAAACCAGACTTGGAAGAAGCAGTAGAGGACTCCGAGGCAGAAGAACTCCTAGCGGAAGCTGAGGCCGGCGACGAAGAGGATGATGACGAGGATCTGAAGAAGGACAAATACATCAAGGCACCAAAGAAGAAGGCTGCCAGTGCGTCTACTGCTGGTGCAAAGGGCAAAGGCAAGAGGAAGAAGGCGGACGAGGATGAGGACGGAGTCGTCGAACCTGGAAGCGACGAGGAACCGAAGAAGAAGCGAGGAACTGGCGGAGCACGCGGTGGCAGGAAAGGAAAAGGACGAGCGTGAGGGGCCATTGATAAATAGGAACAAATCGATCCCGGCTCAATTGGCTGGTAGAGACGACCAACGAACATGGAGCGAGGAGTAAAAAAGGTGTACATAAGGGGCTGACATTGTTCATACATCGATAAAAGTACAAACTAGAGGCGGCTCGCGAATCGAAGATATAATGGTAGAAGAATGTAGTAGTGCCAGCACCAGTGTCAGCGAGAGTCTATTGTCTACTAGGTAGTAGGTACATGAAGTTCTGCTGATTTCTTGACCTTCTGATCCTTCGCTGTTACATAATGATCAACATTCAAGGTACGAGGTTCTGACAGCCACAGCTAACGAGAAAATGGGCATACCGCAGACTCACAGGCTGCCATGAATCAACAGGCTGAGATGCAGCGACCTTGAGAGACGAGAAATGCTGGTCTGCATATGAGTGGCGTTGACACTGAACCTCCCAGGGTCAACAAGGCTCTGTCACCTCTTGGAACCTCAGCTCCATCTCACCACCCAACAAAAAGACCCAAGAAACGCTGTGCCTAGATACCAATAGGCGCACTGTTGGTGCTACGGACGAGACTTTCCGGGGTTCCATTAATTATTCACCCCTGTCCCCCAGCCGAGCCGTCGATCACACAAAAGCCGCCTTACCGCAACCACCCAGTGGCAAATCCTCGATCGAGCCAAGGGTCCAAGCTGTGGCTCTGGGTGGCAGTGTACCGTATTCGGATTGGGGCACCTGAAATGTCAGTTCTGCCTGCATCAGAGGTCACGTGGGAAAGATTTATATATGCCCAGTTGTCGTGAAAGACGTCGAGGGAACAAGAGATGGGTAGAGCGCAGCCAGTTGAGACTATATCACAGCCAACCGATATATCGATGTTAAACAATTGTCGACGGGACAGGATCTTGACAACCGCAACATGGGTCTCACCAAGGCCGAAAACTCACCGGGCCTCTCGTTCGAATTCAACAACCCTCGCCAGCGCCATTCTCCTGGCGATGTGATCAGTGGCCGAGTGGTCCTGAACACCGCTGCCGACAGTGCGATTGGCAGATTGGTGGTTTCATTCTGGGGCCGGGCAAAGTCACGGATCATCCAGCAACATGGCCAGAGCGTCACCTACCACCGAGGTCGGACACAGTTCTTCAAACAGGAGTTGCTTCTCTACGAAGGTCAATACACCCACAAGCCCGGATCCTTCAGCTGGCCGTTTGAATTCGTAGTCCCTGAACAGGCGGATGCGACGAGCATCTTGAGCGGTGAGAAGTGGAAGCCGAAGGACCACTATCGAGCGACCACGGATGAGAACGGCCTCGATCTCACGCTTCCACCCTCATGCTATCACAGAAGACACATGTTTGGCCGGCAGGCGGAATGTTTCATCGAGTATGTTCTCGAGGCGACGCTTACCGAGCCAGAAGGTCTGCACCATATCCGTGGACCTCAGAGCAAGGTATCCAGCTATCCGATTATCTTCCAACCCTTGTCCACCCCAGAACCCATTGAGAACTACGGTCTGGTCACTGACCAACGCCTCTTTACCATCGCAACGTTGAAGCTTCTCCCTGAACATGCTGGCACCAGCCTGGGTTTGAGGGATCGTGCCCGATCCATCTTTCAGCGGGACTCTATTCCCAAGTTTTCATTCAATTTGACTGTCCAGGCACCTAGCATCATCCAGCTCTTCCACCCGAACCCCATTCCGTTTTTGATCACCGCGACACCGGACCTGTCACCTGAAAACACGACCATTGACACTTCGACGTCGCTCCCCACGGTGATTCTTCGCTCCGCAAAAATCGAACTGAAGACGCACATTCGGTGCCGCGCCGCGGGGACGTTTGCAGACACCAAAACCTACGAAATTCCAGTATTGCCAGAGAAGGCATTAAATCAACCCCTGACCATGGCGCATGGCAGAACCACTGCTGTGGAAGCGACGCTTGACCTCGGGAAGTTGTGCGATCTCCATCTGGGTAATGCGAAGCTGGGTTCTCGCCTCGAGACACCCATGTGCCCAAACTTCACGACCTACAATGTCTCGAGATCATATCATCTCTTGTGGGAGCTGGAGGTTGAGTGCGCCGAGAAGACGGAAAAATTCTCGTCGGTCAAAAACGGTCCAGAAGTGTCTATCATTTTGCCCCCAGCTACGGTACGCGTGGACAGTGAATTAGACACCAATCTGCGTCTGGGCGGAGACCTCATGCAAGCTCTGTCAACAGAGAGCACAGGATCTGGATCCAGTTCGGGATTCTGGTCTCGCCGGAGCCACGAAGCCCGGGTTGGAGGGGAGAAGGAGAAACCAAAGATTGGGACGCCGAATCCCTCGGGCATCGGAGCCGAGCTGAGGGGTCTGAACATTAGTGACGACAAGAAAGCCAGTCAATCTAAAGCCGAAGAGGCAGCTGAGGACCGAGCACGCGCACGTCTTGAGGAAGTGCAAGCGGTGTATCAAGGCCGTCTTCAAGGGTCACTCGGAAGAGGAGTCGGGGATATTGATGACGCTGCAACAGATGCCTACCCCTTGGCGACAGATCCGAGTCTCCCTGCCACCACCAGACCAGAAGCAGCCACGGTCGCTGTGACAGACACGGATGCGGACCAGCAACTACCGAGATATGTCCCATAAGTGTACCAGTCTCATTCAGTGAATCGGAGGCGACAGATTCGAGATCCTCGTCAACATCCTCAATCGATTCCGACTCTCAGCATATTGAACACGGATTGCTGCCAATTGTTTTTCGGAGTACCCTTGCTGTATTATATGCTTTTGCTGCGTCTATTTGTCAGAATGATATATTTCATTGTTTTTGGGTTACGGCAGAAACATACCCCTGTGAAGATCATTGCGGTAAAAAATTGGGAATTTGACAGATGAGGGCGACGGATATGAACGGCCTGGCTTGGGTGTTGCGGCTCCTTTTCAAAGCCGCCGGTGTTGACGGTGGGTTTGACGATTCACCTCAATATGGCATCGGAAATGGCGGGGGCCCATAGGAAAGCATTTGAGGAAGTTTGGGACTTGTATCATGCATGGCCTTCCAACTGGCCGTATTATTTAGTAGTAATCCAATATCAGAATGCTATTTCAAAAAAAAAAAAAAATGAAAAGTCTGCTGCCGGCATTGCACGGTCGTATACAGTCAAGCGGCGAGGCTGCACACGAGGCTGAGTGACAAGGCTGGATCACAAGGCTGAGTTTCCTGCCTCCCGCTCCCACTTGTCTGCCGCAGACTCCACCGTACCTCATGCGCCTCCAACCGACTCCAAAATCTTGCGCCTTCCACTGTTATTCGCCTTAGCACTTTTACATCAACTTGACCGCAGGACACCATGATTTTAGAAGACCAGAGGTTCCTCCATGAGGACCTGGAGCGGCTTGAACAAGCGATCACCGACCGGGTTGCGGAAGACCCCAAAAATGTACGTCTGGCTGTTTATTGATCTGTGAATGGAGCGCAACCACTAACTCGCCTTGCCCCAGATCAAAGACCGATTAACGCGCGACCACCAAATAGACGGCTTCCTGACGCGCATTCAAGAGCAATCCAGGCGCTTACTCGACATATACAAGGACGCCGAGGGGCTCCGCCTGCAAGAAGTCCAGTCCCTTTCGACCGGCGAGCCGTTTGAAGAATTCTACAAACAACTCGACGAGGTCAAAGATTTCCACCGTCGCTATCCCAATGAACCGGTCGAAAATCTCGAGCGCGCCTACAAGCGCCGCCGGCCCGAGGAAGGGGAGTACATTCCCTCCGAGGTGGACAACATGTTCAGCGGGGAAGAGTCCAACGGCCGGTTTTTGGACTTGACGCAACTGCACGAAGACTACCTCAACCTTCCCGGAGTCAAGCGCCTGACGTATCTCCAGTATCTGGACAACTTTGACGCATTCGAACCCCCTCGGCTACCCATCAAGCGTCAGAATAAAATCACAGACCAATATTTACAATATGTCGCCAGCCTCGACAGCTACCTCGAAAGCTTTATCCGGAGGACGAGACCGCTAGAAGACCTCGCGAAACTGTTTCTGCGATATCAGAGAGATTTCGACACGGCTTGGGAAGCGGGGACAGTGCCCGGTTGGACAAAAGAGCAGAAAGAGCAGGAGTCTACAAGCGCCTCGGCGTCGTCGGGTCCTCAGACTGAAGGCACCGGCGCCGGAGTATGGTGTCCGGACTGTGAGAAAGAGTTTACAAACCAGAATGTATACAAGTCGCACTTGACGGGCAAGAAGCACATCAAGAACGCAGAAGCGAAGAAGTCCCGGGCCGCTGCTAATGGCGATGCCGCCATGAACGGCGCGAAACCTACAACGTCCAATCCTCCTACAACAGCACCTTCTCTATCGGGTGCAGCGCTCAAAGAACGCGCCATCGCTGCGCACGAACATCGCATCCGCGCCCTCGCCGATTACCTTTCCAACGAACGCAGCAATACGCGCGTGAACGTGGAGCGCAAGCAAGGCATGACGGAGCGGGAGCGACAGGCTGAATTGGACGCTCTGTTCGCCGAAGACGACGCCGCCGTCGCGGCCTCTGACCGCAAAGCAGCAGGCAGGAAACGAACAGGTGGTGGAGACGACTCGGGGTCCGACTCCGAAGGCGACGAGAAGATCTACAACCCGCTGAAACTGCCCCTGGCCTGGGATGGGAAGCCGATCCCCTACTGGCTGTACAAGCTGCACGGGCTGGGCGTCGAGTTCAACTGCGAGATCTGCGGCAACTTTGTCTACATGGGCCGGCGGGCGTTTGACAAGCACTTTTCCGAGGCCCGCCACATCTACGGCCTCAAGTGCCTGGGCATCACGGGGTCGGCGCTCTCGGGCACCGCGGCCGGCGGCGGCGGCCTCAGCCTGTTCCGCGAGATCACGGGCATCGACGACGCCCTCAAGCTGTGGGACAAGATCAAGAAGGAGAAGCGCGAGAGGGAGGTCCGCGACGACCAGGTCGTCCAGATGGAGGACGGCGAGGGTAACGTCATGCCCGAGCGCATCTATCTGGATTTGCAGAAGCAGGGTATCCTGTAAACAAACGAGCGACAAATCCAAGGAAGGTAGCGGAATCAATCACGGAGCTATATAAAATGCGACCATAAAATTCGGGGGCGTGATCCGGGCGTTACTTTTTCTTTCGCTCTATCTCCCCGGTTCTGGGAGTTGTGTATGTACGTATCATGCATTCATCAATCCTTCGGAACCTGGGAAGTTTGATTGCTCTGAATTCGAGGAAAGGGCGGGCGAATTTTGGGAGGGAACAGAACCAACAGCACCGTTGAGATGGAGAGTCGGACTGGACTGTGTGACCTCTGGCGGTCAATGCCAAAAAGAAAATCTTGGTTGCTCATTATAACAGACAACGCCGTGTCCTGTCTGTCCAGTAAATCCCCAGTACCCCAGTGCCGTATGTACAGCGTACGTAAACATGAATTGTTCATCAACCAAGAACGACTTCTCCCGAATGGCAAGGCTTCAAGGTTCCATCATGCCCTCGCCCACGACTCGTTCCACTCCATCAACGACACCCTCGTTGCTCGTTCTCGCACTACTCACTCCAATACTTCCCTTTTCTCTCTCCTTGACCTTTTCCCCACTCTTGTCGCCGCTCTTTTCCTTGCTCTGGTCTTTATCCACGAGAACGGCATTCCTCACCTTCTCCAACAGTTCCCAGCCCTTGGCCGCCCCGTGGATTGCCCTTTCGACTATCTGATCAAACAGTTCCTCGTTGCCCACATAGAAGCCGCACAGCATGAGTTTGCACAAGCTGGCCGTGGACGTGGCTCGAACTTCGTCCGCAAAGGTTTGTGAGAGTGCTTTGATGAAGGGCGAGAGAAGGCCAGAGAGTGTGTTGCTCTGGTCGTCGATCGTAGCACTCGGCGCATGATTGCCGTCTGCTGTCTCGGTTGTGGCGACAGGGGACTCTGGTTGCTCGTGGGAGTCGGAGTGTGTTGGCGAAGGCGGTCCTCGTGCGAGGAGAATATCGCAAAGAATCTGTAGCGCCATGACTTGTAAGGATTCGTGCCCTCTCTTCAGCAAAAGCGTGAAGAGCCGCATGTTCTCGTCGGCAAGCTTGGGTTCAAGCAAACAACACAATCCCAAGCATTGCACACCACGTTCGCGAATCAGGGCTTCGTGGGATCGCACAGCCGGAATGACCAAGTTGTCAAACATGGTGCGCAGGTCGATGTTTGATTGCAGATTTCCTGCCACGTTCTGCAGCATGCATTGAGCGATATGGAGGCATTTCATATTGATGACAATCTCCTTGATGGCTTTCGCTTCTTGCTCCTCGTCCGTCAGGTGCTTATTGCGCTTGCTCTTGGCTTGATCATTTCTGGGCGTCGAGTCACCGCTGACTTCGCTGCGGGCTGAGACGAAACTGTCTTCCTCGTCTGGCTCAGCTTCATCTTCGAGGTCGGAGGAAGCAATGTTGTCGTGGACTTCGGCGATGGCTTCAAGAACAATCGAGGTAAACTCTCGCTCGCCAGCGGCATCCGGATTGCATACGAGGCGTAGGGCTTCCACGGCGAGTCGAGTGCATTCATCTGGCAATTCAGCCATGGATAATGCATGTCGCAGTAACGAAAACATCTTTCTCCTGCCAATTTCATCTGTATAGTCCAGTGACTGAGCAATGTACAAGAGCTGCTCCACAATGAACTCCTGCTCGGCTTGGAGTGCGATCATTTCGTCCGAGTCCGACTCCCTGGCGTTTTTGACCCGCGTGAGCAACTCGTTGATATGGTTCTGGAGATGAAACCCCAGCCGTGTAACCTCGGGCATTTTCTCTTGAACCATTTCCTGGTAGTTTTGATTTGCCTGGCAGTATTCATTGAAGGTGCGTGCCATAAAGGCCGATTCCGGAGTAAGATTGTTCCAAAATTCGTCGTCAAACCCGACGGCATCGAGATAATCGGGTCGACCAGCCCAGAATTCTTTCATCGCTTCACGAGCAACGCCATCCTCGTTCCCGGTGTTCAAAGTGTCAATTCTTTCAAGCAGCTCTAAAAGAGCAGGAATGCTTGGGTCATAGAAGCCAACGTGGGGATCCTTGTCATCCTTTGCGTCCCCAGATTTCTCGGCCTCGGTTCTGGCGCAGTTCTCAATCCAGCATTCTCTAAACAGACGCGCCGCAGCCGCACGCACTCTCTCGTCACGATCTCTCAAACCCCATCTCAAGAGCTTCTCCCGCATAGACAAGGACAGGTGTCGGAAATCGCCAAGTCTGGGGAGCAGTTTTGCATACAGGGCACGTCTCGTTGGAGCGTCACGATCTCTGGCCCGCTCGAGTAGGTAGGGTAAGGTCTTGGGCGTGGCTGGAATGTTGACGAGAAGCGCCCTTCTGACGTCAGCGTTGGTATCGTTTTGGAGGACATCGAGGAGTTTGTCCAGTAAGCCAGGCGCGACATCTTCGTCTGAATCTTGGTCCTCCCCTTCTTCCATTTCACTCTCCACCAAACGGCCCAGAGCCATCACTGCTTCTAGGCGTATAGCAGGGACCTTGTCTCTCATTCTCTTGATCAGCTCGTGTCTAATGACCTTGTACAGATCATCGTCGATGGCTTGCAGGACACCCAAGATCTGACAGGTCAATTGAGTGGCTCGATATCGGACTGTCTTGTCTTTCGCACAGAGAAACGGAAGGATGCCCAACAGGATGGTGGCAGAGATCTGATTCGAGGCGTCATCACTGGCGAGGTACGTCGTGAGGAACTTGATGACACGCGATCCGGCCGGTTCGGATTTTGCAACTTCGAGGAGTCGGAAGACGCATTGTTTGACGTGCGCTTCGAAGTTTGGAGAGTTTTCGAGGCGGCGCAGTCGTTTCGCCAATGTTTTATGGCCCACTAGAGAGCGCTGAGCATCTGAGAATATTGCTGCGACCGACATTGTTGTGTATCCCGGGTCTGGCTACGGGTAGATTGTTGGGATGAATTTGAAGCGCTGTCGAAGAGGTTTGAATGGCCCGACAATACCAAATTGGGACAGGGAGTAAACAAACTCGAGTGGCAGCTTAGTCATTTTGTCGGCAGACCTACTGTGTGTGCCTCGGCTTACCTGCCTAACATGCTCGATAGTCCAGCACTATTCAAGTCCTTCGTACATTCTTCGTACCAAAGGGATCAAGTCTCCCTCCACTACTTCAAAGTTCGCTGCAGCATCGCCAATGACCCGGACGACCAGGTTGATGGCTACTGAAGGTGCAAAATGACTCACCACGGATAATGCGGTGGCAGCAGAGATGTTGGGCATCGTCTGCAGACGTCGTTGGTGGTCTGGTGCATGAGAAAGCCAAAACTGCGCAAACATACGAGGAGAGTCAGGCCAGCCTCTACCAAAGTGCACGGAGCGTCCCTTTCCCAGAACATATCTCTGGCGCAAGCCATGTTTCTTGGAACGAATCGTCACACACCGTGTCCCGCGTGGCTACGGAAGGTGGATCCGAGGCCATGGTACGAATGTGCATGACAGGATCATCAGGGACGACAAGGATGGCGCTTCGCATGGGAACAATGGTCCAGACACCGTTGCCACTGATCCCTGAAGAGATGGACAGGTGGCGACTTACGAAGCTTCAGGAGTTGAAGTTGAAGGTGCGGTTCCACCCACCCTCCGCCATGGTCAAGAGACCGCGGCGAAACGTTCAGACATGCGTGGACATCACTCGTAGGCTGGGAAAGAATGAAATCGCGATGGTCAATGTTATAGACGGGAGGGACGGCGAGAGAAACAGTGTAAGCGATGGTGTAGGCGATAAGGTTGTGTTTGTAGAGTATGTCGTGGTGGACGCAATAGAACAACCACATTTCCACGCCACACCACGTCGATCTTTCTGTCTGGCCATGACGAGGGCAAGCCACCCAACTCTTTTTCTATGCACGAGGACTGTAATTGCTCGTCCTCTGCGCGCCTCTTATTCATCTACTTGTATTATTTGCGTCATCCAACGGAAGTCGGTGTGATTGATGCCAGCTTAAGCTCGCGATCTCAGCGACATGATCAGCAGGAACAGAGCATGGGGTGACGGATCGATCAACGATCAGCGTCGACGATCCTTTACAATGACAATTCCGAAGCCCTGGTCGACCTGAACCAGTCCTCACTTTGTACGACGGCGGTGAGGCTGTAGCAAGACTCTTTTCTCAAGGCTGCACACACCGCAAGTCATGATATTTGGAAGAGTGGCGCGATCATCACTGACAGCCACATCCATCCCTCAGCAGATCTTATCCTCCTCAGGTGACGGATATATTGTCCCGGGACAAGGACCCTTGTCGACCAGAGTCGAGGCTCGTTCGCATCCATCGCTGATGAATTGCAAATTGCAGTCCGCCACCTTGTCGCCATCTGCGCCAGCAGCTCGATCCTGCGCCAGCGCTGCGGAAACCGGCACTGTCACTTCCGTGTGATGGATGGGAACCATTGTGCACTTTGAAGAGAGGGTGACTCATTAACGGTAACGAGACATTCATTCTACAACAGAAGATGGGTTGGGCTGCAAAGGCCAGCTGCGCAGCAAATCAGATAACGGGTCCTGGGTTCACGTACCTGCTTCCATTGCTTCTAAGCGAAGAGAGACGAGGAGAGACGTGAACCACAGTTTCGCCAAAGTATCAAAGACCACATGAACTGCTGCTCCAGCTACCCAGTCGTGCCAGTCCCAATGTGCAGTGGTTGGCCCGGTTCCAGGCTGACTTCTGTCTCTTGCGGAGGTTACACAGAGAACGCAGAGTTCTTTTCCTTCCGACCACTCTGCTGGCCCTTTCGGCAGTTGATGCAGGTCATAGTACTTTCTCATCACGGCCCTGCTGCGGCCAAGTGCGTGGTACTCTTCTCCAAAGGCACTGGCGAGCCAAACCAAAGGGTCAACCGGAGTCGATTGCTGTGCTTCGGCTCATGTGATGGAGGAACTCGAGATTCTGCACAAAGTTCACCGTTTCACCCGCATCGACGACGAATGAGAGTCGTTCCGAGCCACGTTGGGCATGAATTTCACATTATCAGACCAAACAATCTTACTCGAGGAGTGGCCGCATTTTCAAAGTGAGGCGACCAGGATGAGTTGCAGCTGCCCGCAGCCACCCAATGAGCCGCCGACCAGGAGTCCGTGATCGTCGTCCCCTCGGAGAACCCTCAGAGCCAGCCAATCGAGATCTGCCCACCGTTGCGTGTTACGGATGGGGAAAACGGACACTAGCCCAGAAGATCCCTGTGGCGGACATTCTTGACATCCTGAACAAGGAGCGGGAATAGTGATTGACAACGGAGTCTCTGCGGGCAGTAAAGAAGGGGGAATTGGTACTCAG